AACTTTGAAAAAGTGGTGCAGAGCACCAGCAAAGTGATTTTTGAATGTAACAGACAAAGTTGTACACAGAGAAGACAAAAAGAACATGGAGCGAATTCATTGGTGGAAGTGGGTGGTTGCAATCAACAAAGGAGGTATAAGCAATAATAGACCAACTAACGTTAACCTACGAGAAACCCATCATGGGTCAACTCCATGTTAGTCCATCATTTTCCCCCTCAGTTTTTAACAACCATCCGTTTCAACCAGAGGGATTGCTCCATTTTCTCTTTGTCTTCTGTGTCTATTGTATTTTCCATCAATTTTAAGAAACATCTCGCTTAAATGGGAAAGTTCGGTGTTCAATTTGAACCGGAGTTCACTCCCTGCACAAGAACTTAGTATCTCAATGTGGCCTCTGATATTTCTACCCATGCGTTTAAGTCTCTCGGCTAATATCAAAACTGTTGTGAATTCACGGGAAACTTGCGGCATGTTACTCACACCATAGCTTATGGGATTCTTGCACAGTTAATGTAAGCCCAAAAGAAAGTGCAACCTCGGAACTTTACTAAAAATTCAAGGAGGAAGTAAATTTTCGTGAAGTAAAATATTTTAAAAAGCTATTCAAAGTCTTCTTAGTCTATTGCTTTGCTCATAAATTTCAATAATCAGCCTTCAGAGGCAAAGTTAGTGAGAGGTTGCAATCCCTCTCTAAAAAATAATGTGGTAACATCTACTATAAGTCTACTTGATTTCTTACACAGCGCCATACTATATGATGGAATGAACCAGAATTATAGTAGTATTCACCAGAACTCGAACTCTGGTGATACTCACCATAATATGGTGAATGCTGCCATAGAGTCTGGTTTTTATTACTATACTCGAATCACTGTGTCACACTGGAAAAAAAATCTCGGTGTATTTTCTAAGAAAAGGGTAAAATTATACCAAGAATTCAGGGTTCTATTTGATCCCAGTTTTTTCTTGGTAAAATTACCATTTATGGAATTGGTAATTTTACCTGGAAATCTCGGTAAAATTATTGAACTTTCTCGGTAATTTTACTGGACCTTGGTAAAATGCCAATATTTTTCATCGACTATGGTAGAATTACCGAGATAAAATGGCAAAGTTACCGGGAATCGATTACCTATAAAAGTGGTATTCTTACCTGAAAACAACAGTAAAAATACCGGTTTTTAGGTAAGTTTACCAGTCTGTCTTGGTAAAATTACCAATAATTGGTAAAAAAAGTGAGATGGTAAAGGTACCAACGGACCTTGGTAAAAACGCCGAGAATTTTTTTCCAGTGCGAATCACTGTGTCAGAGTTTGGTAAAATCTACCATATTTTTTTCTCAGCGCTGTTTTGACGACATGGTGGATTTTTCTGGAACCAACGCCGGAGATGAGGGCTTTTTTTTTTATCGCGGATCAGGGTGGATCGCAGTGAAACGCACTGGATCGGAATCCTGAGCGATCCGGACCGATCCAAGTGTTCCAAGTGAAAAAAAAAATTCCAAACCTGGAATTTGGTTCGATTTGTTATTGTTTTGATTTTTTGGGGACGGCAACTTCCTCGCATTAGGTTAGGATCACAGTGGATCGCGAGCACGCCCCACCTCGGAAGAGCGATCCAGCGTTCCACCCTGATCCACCTGGAACGCTTGGATCACGCTGAGGAACGGAATAAAAAAATACCGATGTTCATCGCGATCCACCGCGTTCCACTGCGATCCGCATAAAAAAAAGCCCTAGCATGGTAAAATCTACCATATTTTTTTCTCAGCGCTGTTTTGACGACGTGCCGGCACCGCCACTGATCAGATTTCAGCAGCGCGACATGGTGGATTTTTCTGGAACCAATGCCGAAGATAAGCATTGAGGATCGTTGTTGATCCTCGGGGGTCAGGTGGAGGACTCCGTGGGAGTGACAAAAGTGGAGGGGGGGGGGGGTTGGAGCAGGAGCAGGTCGCGGTTCTCGGAGTCGGAAGGAGGAAGGCGGGTCAAGTTGATTGACCGGAGCCGCAACGCGTCGAGTGTTTGTGTTGCCTGGTTGCGTGTTGCGTGGCTCCCGGCTCCCGGCCCGCCGCAATGGCCAGTGACCTATCGTCTGCCCGTCCCCGGTGTCAAGGCCGCCCTCCCCCTCTCTCCCTATTACCAATCCGTAACTTCCGTAACGTAACACCGCCATGCCTCCGGCTGAGACGTTACGTCTTGGGCCACAGACGGGGAATCCGTAAGTCAGTGGTCGGTTGGACGGGGTATTTGAGGAAGGGTGTAAGTGGAGCACCTACATTGAGATCGTATAGACATTTCGGCAATTTTGGAGGATAGGTCATGGAACTCTGAGGGCAGCCAACTTATGTACTCAAATGCATAATTTGCAGGTATCTGAAGTTATGTAAATTGCATGTTTTAGAAGAAACTACCGAGTGAGGTGAGCATGAGGATATCCTTGGTTTCTAAAATGAACTATTAAGAGAGGAGATATGATCAAATTATCTTATCTGCTAAGATACATGTGTTCAAATGGGAACTGCCGCCAGATGACGTCACTGGGCGGTGTATTCCCTCAATTTTAAATATATTTTTATATACTATTGCCCAAATCAGAAAAAATAATAAACAATACTGTGAAATCAGATCTTTGAACACTCTCAGACGGAACAAAAAAAATTTGCGGGCATATTCTCCATTGATTAGAATGATTTATTATTACAATTGTTACGGCCTTTGTTTGTAAGCTCGTACTTGTCTTAGTTTTTTAATAAATTTACTCATTTTTGCGGAAGAGCGCTCATTTATGAATATTTCTCGGCCATCTTGGTTTGACATTGAAATCTGAGGATTCTGAGGATTGGCAGCTGCATTTTTCGCGTTGGACGGTTGGATGCCCTTTTTGGGTCCTAATGGCTCCATATTTTGACTTGTCCGAACTCTCCCTGTCTAGGTGGTATAACCTAGAGAACACTAACCGAACAATATAGTAGCCGCGAGTTTAGTTACTGTGTGTTCTACTTCCTATATTAACACAAAATGTCGGTTACTTTTTTTCTTAATGTGTAAATGCAGCCGTGGAAGTCGGTTTTAAGTCAATAACGCCCTCCAAAAAACCAAGTAGTTTACTATATTCACTCGGAATGGACTTTCAAAGTACCTACCACCGATGAAATGTTGTGTGCTGATACTTGAATCGCTACATTATGATGTGGTCGACAGGAATTTACTAACTTTCTTAAAATCTCACGCTTTACAAAAGGATATTTTTCACTTCAAATTTTTAGTGAAGTTTTAAAGTTCCAAGACTATTTTACTCAATTTCTTGTGCAAGACCCTCATCCGCTAATTTCCAAAACGCGGCATGAGTAACATGTCGAAAATCTCCCACAAATTCACAACAGTTTCGATATTAACCGAGAGACTTAAACGCTTGAGTAGAATTGTCGGAGGCGACACTGATGTAAATAGTTTGGTCACAAGGAGTGAACTTCGGTTCATCTTGAACACCAAACTTTTCCGGCTCCGCGGGATATATATTGAAATTGACAGACAAAATGGTCGACAAAGGTGGCATCGTATCTTGCGTCGTTAGTTTATAATACTTCTATTTCAGCAGCCCGCGCTTTCACCAAAAGGATTGCTCCATTTCCTATTTTTCTATCACTTTGTCCATCAATTACAATAATCAGCCCGCCACTAATTGCAGTTTTTGGTCCCAAGAACCGAATATTTGTAAACCGAACCAAATTTTAGCCTCTTTAACCGAAAGCTATGGTTACCTGAACCGAAAAAATTCAGTGTCCTTGACTGAAAAAAATCGGTTATACGTATCGAAATTCCATCTTTGTGGAGCACAAGCTTTTTCGGTTCGCACAATCGAATATTCATCCTGCCGAATCGAGGTTTGGTAATTAACTGAATAGTTTGGTGAGTAAGCACCAAAAGTTTCGAGTCTCTGATAACCAAATATATCGGTAATAAATATATTCACCAACTATTTGGTTTATTGAATAAGCAAACGTTATTAGATTATACAAACCAAACTATACAGTGTTCCTTGCGAACTTTGGCACGTGTGTAATCGAACTTGTTTCTAGTAAATCGGCTTACCTTTTTTTACGATTATAAGAAAATACTGATACTTAAATTGCTGCTGACAGGGATTTTTGAATAATTGCCCACGAAAGTTCATTCTTCACTCTAAATTTTTAATAAAGTTCCAAAGTTGCACTTCTTTTTGGACTCATAATTGTTTTGCAAGAATCTCATGAGTTATTTTCTAGACCAAGACGTAAGTAAAAAGCCGAAAATCTCCCATGATCTCACTATAATTTCGATATTCACCGAGAGACTTAAACGCACGGGTAGAAAAGTCAAAGGGCAAATTGAGATTTCGGTTGCGCAGGGGGTGACCTTCGGTTCATATTGAACACCGAACTATTTCTGTTCGTATAATCGAATTTTCTGGTCTTAAGAACCGAATTTCGGTAAAGGGGACCGAAGTTTTGTATCTGTGACCGACATCTCTGGTTATACCAAGATTAGGTGACTGGAAAATCACATGAATCAAAACAGTTCTGTGTTCCACATGAACCACACCGGAAAAAAAACACATTGGATCTAGAGTCCAGACTCTTAAAAACATCGAAAAGAAAAAATACTCTTGATTCAATCGGATTTTTGCTTAAATCAAGAACCACGCCTCTTAATTTAAGCGGATTTCCTTTTGATTTAAGCTTAAATCTGATTGAATCAAGTCAAGTCCTTTTTCTTGTCAATGTTTTCAAGAGTCTGGACGCTAGATCCAATGTGTTTTTTTTTCCAGTGCACATACAAACCGAAGCAATTTGCTTCGAGTTTACGCTCCCATTTCGAGGTTAAAAGTACGAATTTCGCTATAACGGATCCCTCAACGGGAAAAATAGCATATTGAGCCGTCAAAACGAATTCGCGAGCGGGAAGCAGCTCATTAATATTAAACATGGGAGGCTCGTTAGGGCCGTTTGTACTCACATTCCAAGTTCTAGGTTATGATCGGTGACTGATCACAATTGGAGACATTTATCGCGAAATTAGTCCAAACTTTTATCCTGTTGTGTCGTCTCCGCTTCATCTTAGCCGCTACGCCGATCCTCGCGCCCGAGTGTCACACCGGAAACGGAAAACCGCACTCCCGCATTCGCATTCCGCCGGCATTTTTCGGACGCCGAAACCAGCGCCAGTCCCCGGCAACTTTGGCCTCCTTTCCGATTGGATTCGCCCTCCTTCAGATGTCGCGGGTCACTCAAACACCTCCCGACACTCCACACCCGCGCACAACTTCGCACAATCGAACTTTCAGAATCGCACTTCAATTCGAACTTCGAACTTTTAAAATGTTACCTCAGCGACGAATCAACTTGTAAACCTTGAAAAATTTCGAGAAAATCTCCACGAACTTTCGGAATCGCACGTCAGTTTGAACTTAGAACTTTTAAAATGTTGCTTCAGTGATGATCAAATTGTAGTGTAAACTTTGGTAAGTTCCGAAAAAAGCTTCACGAACTTTCATACAATCGAACTTTTAGAATCGCAGGTCACTTTGAACTTAGAGCTTTTAAATTGTTGCCTCAGTGATGATCAAATTGTAATGTGAACTTTGATAAGTTCCGAAAAAAGCTTCTCGAACTTTCTTACAATCGAACTTTCAGAATCGCAGGTCACTTTGAACTTGGCACTTTTAAAATGTTGAAAGATTAACCAACTTTTAATGTAAACTTTGATCAGTATCGAAAAAAGCTTCACGAACTTTTGAAGTATTGAGGGAATGTGAAAAACGAATATGTAAAAATTTAAGTTTTTTCAAAAGAGTATTTCATTTCTAGCAAGTTTGAATATCGCACCAAAACCGGCCGTTTTAAATAATGAGTATGAAAAAAACAATTCTAAGTGTTTTCTAACTTGATCGTGTTATATTTTTCAAATTGCCGTCATGGCACAACTGAGAACCATCCGAAAATTGCGTTTAAAGTATTTCATTTCGACTTTTAGAACTCTTTTCACACATCGTTCGACGTTTCTAAACTCTGGAGCTTTGAAGAGTCGAGTGTTCACAGAAATGACACGCCGCTCAGTCCACCGAGGACCAGTTTACCAACGAACTGATTTGTCCGAACAGGCACCACTCAACACCGACTTCACACCGGAAACGGGTCAACAAAACACCCGTGTGTCCATGTGGGTTTTTTCCTCACCGATCACAGTTTCTTTATCGATCTTCAATTTGCTTTTTGTTTCTCTCGCTTTTCACTCAGGAACAGCGCACTCCTGGAGCTCCTCTCTGTTCTTTTCTGTCCTCGAAAAACAACGAGTCACTACGTGGTCGTGGACAACGACCAAAAAAAACAGCAAGACTTGACGGGAAAATTTGCAATTTCTCTCCAAAATTTCGCGGTCTGATACTAGAATTTTCGCGGAGTTTTAAAGTAATCCTTCAAGACGCACAGACAGAGAACACTGAATGCAAAGATATTAGGTCGAAGAAATGCTGGAATCAGGGTTAGAGGACCGAAAGAGTGGGAACAATTTTGACGTCAATGATTTACACCAATCCCGCGAAAATTAACTCCGAGGACTGTGTTGATCGGAGGAAACGGGGTCAAGGCCAACCGTCGGGTCACTCTGACGGTGTAAATCACGCACCGATCCCGGGAAAATCAACTCGGAAAAGCGTGTCAATCGGGGAAAACACAGGAGACGTCGTGGGTAACTTCAAAGCTGTCGTGGGAAACTGCAAAGACGTCGTGGGAAACTGCAAAACCGTCGTGGGAAACTGCGAAGACGTCGTGGGAAACTGCGAAGACGTCGCGGGAAACTTCGAAGACGTCGCGGTAAACTTCGAAGACGTCGCGGAAACGTCGGAGTTGACTCCGGACGCGTGGCCGGATCGCTCCGCGGGAAACCTCGGGAAAGCGCGAGTGGAAAGCGCGAGTTAAAAGCGCGAGTCGCGGCTCGGGATCCCTCGGGAGGAAGCGCGAACCGGGGTCGTTGCCGGACGCGAAGTGTGGTCTTATTTGTTACTAAACACCTGTCTTAATAACGGGGTTTATTGGTGGCACTTGTGCCTCTTCTGGCTCTTGGGCAACGCGACACCGCTGCCGCCTGGTGGCCGAAATCGGGACTCGCGGCCGGGCCGACGGGTTCTCGCCGCGCAAGACCGCGGGAATGCGGTGGGAAGCCGGCATCGAGAAATGAGTATCGTCTAACGGGATTTCTCGAATCATCGCCGCGCTCCGCTCAAGACGCGCCGCCGCGACCGCCTCGCGTCGACTTGACCCCGCCGCAGCCCCCACCCCCCCCGCCCCCGGTCCCCCATCTCGCAACTTTTTTGTCCCGCTTTTTTAGCCGAACCTTTAAGCTCTTAATTTGCGGTACTTTTCGGTCCGCCGTTCATCGCTGCTCCCCTGACTCTCCATGCTTGGTGAACGGGTCTGTTGCAAACTTTTACTAAATTCTAAAAAAAAAAAAAAAAAAAAAACCGGTCCAGGGAGCTGATCATCGAAATTTATAGACAAATAAACGACAAAGAAGACATAGGGAGTATGGAGGGATCCTATAGGTCGAAATGGGTGGTTCCGATAGACTAAGGAAGCAAATGATGGAAGGACTGTGCAGTCTTTCATGGGTTGCCGTCACCTTGGGAACCTTTAAGGTCTTAATTTGCGGTGCTTTTCGGTCCGCCGGGTAGCGCTGCTCCCCTGACTCTTCGTGCTTGGTGAGTGGCACTGTTGCAAACTTTTACCACTTAAACTCTAAAACAAAACCGACCCAGAGTGCTGATAATCGAAATTAATAGACAAAGCGATAGACAAAGAAGACATAGGGAGTATGGAGCGATCCTATCGGTCGAAATGGGTGGTTCCTATAGACTAAGGAAGGAAATGATGGAGGGACTATGCAGTCTTTCGTGGGTTGCCGTCACCTACCTACTTTGTCCATTGCAACCACCCGTTTCCACCAATAGGATCCCTCCACACCTCTGTTGTCTTCTTTGTCTATAGCTTTATCTATCAATTTCAATAATCGGTCCTTAGGACATTCTCGAGGCAACCAAGATGAACTCCTGGCGTGGATCGGCCGGAGAGTCAAGGAAGGATCACATTCGGAATAAAAGGATACACGAAATTTTGGGAGTCGAAAACAACATAGTGCATGGAATTTTCAAGAGACAGCTTGTCTGGTATGGGCATGTGCAAAGGATGCCAGATGATTAGTTGCATAAGGAGGTTCTTGATTCCCCCCCCCCCCCCCCCCCCCCCTGGCAGTAAACGTAGGGGACGCCCTGTCTAATCGTGGATTGATGGAATAAGGCAGGAAATAAGGAGATCCGATTTGCCGGAGGTAGGAGTTCTAGCAGGATCGCTATCAGTGGCGGTTGGGTGTCGCAGAGCGCACGGAAGCGCTTTAAGAGCGGCATGTTAGTTAGAGTGGATCGAATATTGTGAATTTTTTAGAAATTTTTCACAAAGTGCACATATTCCACACAAAAAGCCGTTTAAAAGTCACAAGTGACTGATCCCGAGTCGCGTGAAACGATCAGCCGATCGGTCGTTTTTGTGTGCTTAGGAGTCTCCAGAAACACAAATTGCACATCTTTCGCACAAAAAGGCGTTTAAAAGTCACAAGTGACTGATCCCGAGTCGCGTGAAACGATCAGCCGATCGGTCGTTTTTGTGTGCTTAGGAGCCTCCAGTTACACAAAGTGCACATATTCCACACAAAAAGCCGTTCAAAGTCACAAGTGACTGATCCCGAGTCGCGTGAAACGATCAGCCGATCGGTCGTTTTTGTGTGCTTAGGAGCCTCCAGAAACACAAAGTGCACATCTTCCACACAAAAAGCCATTTAAATGTTACAAGTGACTGATCCCGAGTCGCGTGAAACGATCAGCCGATCGGTCGTTTTTGTGTGCTTAGGAGTCTCCAGAAACACAAATTGCACATCTTTCGCACAAAAAGGCGTTTAAAAGTCACAAGTGGCTGATCCCGAGTCGCGTGAAATGATCAGCCGATCGGTCGTTTTTGTGTGCTTAGGAGCCTCCAGATACACAAAGTGCACATATTCCACACAAAAAGCCATTTAAAAGTCACAAGTGACTGATCCCGAGTCGCGTGAAACGATCAGCCGATCGGTCGTTTTTGTGTGCTTAGGAGCCTCCAGAAACACAAAAGGCACATCTTCCCCACAAAAAGCCATTTAAAAGTCACAAGTGACTGATCCCGAGTCGCGTGAAACGATCAGCCGATCGGTCGTTTTTGTGTGCTTAGGAGCCTCCAGAAATACAAATTGCACATCTTCCGCACAAAAAGGCGTTTAAAAGTCACAAGAATTGAGGGATCCCGAGTCGAGTGAAACCATCAGCCGATCGGTCGTTTTTGTCGGACCCTCCATAATTGTTAGTAGTACTGGTAAAAAATGAGAAAAAATCGTAATACAGGGTGATATAAGAGTCCCGTACCACTTTTAAGACCTTTAGGCGGGCGTAGGGTTCTTGACTCATTATAGAGTCCGCGCTAACTAAGTTATGCACTTATAAGACTGCAACGGTAGATCCAGCTTGCTTTTTCCATTTACGTTCCATGCTAAAATTACGTCAGAAGATCTCCTGTCGTAGTCTAAGAGTGCGTTGTGGAGTGGTTCTTTCAAAAATATGGAGGCTCCCGAAAGTCGTTTCTTTTGACCCAGGGGCACTTCCAAAATTTCAAGTCTGTTTCTCAAGCTGTACAAAAGTTACAGGGATGATGTCTGGTGCTGGAGCGGGACTTTTGAATAATCTTTTTCATAGTTTTAGAGTTTCTACCATGGACTGAGCATACCATGCCGTTTCCGAAGCCGATTTCCATGATTTTTGCGGCTATCGACAAGAGTCAGTCCCTAGATGAGCCCGTTTTATTTCGATTGCCGAACGGGGGTTCACGAAGGGGGTCTCGGAGGGCACGAAGCCCCCTCTGGGGGTCGGGCCGGGTAGCGGTCAGGGGGCGTACCCCGTACTTTAATCTCGGCGCGTGCACTGCTTCACGCTTCGCTCCCCTCTTTGCCTTCCTAATTTGCTCATCCTCGTCCCCCCTTTTACCCCCCCCCTCATAGGAAGCGGGGTATCGGGAAGCCTCCGATTTTTCCGGTTCGATTCCCGTAGCTTCGTTTCACTCTCGCTCTCGTGACAGTAAACTCATTTCTGGCTTCTTCGAGTGTTGAAATCAGTGCGAGCTCTCATTTTTTACCACTGCACGCTTGCCATTTTCTCGACATTCTTCGCACAATTTTTCGTTTCGTTCTCAAAATTATGATTGAAATACGGCACCAGAGTTGTACTTTCAGATTTTGCGGGTGTATCGTATGCAGAAATCCATGCATAGATACTCATTAGAAGAATGGTTATCTCTAATTAAAAATTGCGGGGTTCAAAAGCATAAAATCCTCGTGAATGGCAAAAAATGGCAGCTATCGGGAAGATTTCGCTCTCATAAGGTAAACACCTTTGCCTCTGTATAAAAAAAGAGTTTTGAAAAGGTCGAAAAAGTGCTCGAAGTGAGTTTCGATACCGTGTAGGAAAACTGAATAACAAAAATAATGAATGAGCATACTGATCAGGGCCGGATTAAGGGGGTGGCCACATGGGCCGTGGCCCATGGCGGCAAATTTTGGAATTTTTATTTAAACGTAGGTATATAAATAAAATTGCAAATGGGAAAAGGCGACAAAATCTAGCATTTCCTGTGAGTGTCGTAATCTCTAATTTTGTCGTTTTGCGGTGATACAAAAGACAGCACCTTTAATTAGTTGAGTCATGAGAGAAACCCAACACGCAATTTGGCCAGAACGCTCATTTATAAACATTCTTGGCCTTTTGGTCTGACATTGGAATCTGAATTTTGTCAGTGACATTTTTGTGTTAGAAGGTTGGCTGCCCTTTCATTAGTCTAGTTGAGAGAGAAACCAAACACGCAATTTGTCCGCGCGTGGCGCAGAGAGCAATAATGACGAGGACTCGAGATGAAAAGGAGAGGCCCTCGGCGCGGCGGTCGGCATGTAACACATATTAGCGCCTACAAGACTGCATGAATACTTCACGCATATCGTCAAACACAGTGCGGTCAGCAGCGGTCGCCGTGTAACGCATAGCGCCTACAAGGCTGCATGAATACTTCACGCATTACGTCAAACACAGTGCGTTCAGCAGCGGTCGGCGTGAAAGGCATAGCGCCTACAAGAGTGTAGGAATACTTCAAGCATTGCGCCAAAAAAATTGCGATTAGCACGGCGCGGCGGTGGAAGTTAAAATTATTGAACCACATTTATGATTCTTCTTTCATAATTTTTTCGTTCATTTCTTATTTATGGAAGGCATTGTCCACACAGAGACAGGTCTAATTCAATCTAAATTAATCTAATTAATCTAAATAATCTAATTAATCTAATTAATTAATCTAATTCATTCGAGTTTTCCACAAATTAAAATCAACTAATAATGGAAAGGAAATATACCCATTTTAACCATTAATCCTAAGATTAGAATGAATCTACACATAAATCCTAAGTTAAATATACAGAATAGAATAAATGTAATTATAACTATAAAGAGAAAATTACTTGAACCAGATAATACCCTATTGTTGCCTCTCTAGCCCTGGATCCTTTTCCTGATGTACACAACCCGACAAACTTAAGTTCCGTATTCCGTTATTAAGTTCCGTAAGGAACTTAACTTTCGCGCCAAGTTCCGTGAATTTTTGCTAGTAGTGTTGACGGGGCTTCCGCAAAAATGTATCCAACACGAGTAAACGCGTCTCATGCATCCCTCTCCCTCCGGCACGTTCACTTAACGGTTTTTATTGATGTTTCAAAACGAATGAGATGGGGGCGACGAAATACAGGCGGCCCATGGGCGGCAAGCAGGTGACTCCGGTCCTGATACTGATTATTCTCTCAATGAAACATTGTTGACTTATTTTTTGTTTGTATTTGTTAACAGGAGGATGCTGCGGCTCCGCAAACAAAAGGACCATCGTTGGAGGTTGGGCATGGGCCTGGTGGTTCGTTACCGATGTCCAATATCTATCCTTGGAGGTAAGGAGATCGTACACGCTGAACCGTCAATGACGTCATCTGCGTATTTCTTTGAAATTAGGATTAATTTTTTTATTTTTTGGGTCACGAAAATGAGCCTCAGAACCTTTGCCTAGGCTTGCCTACACGTTGAACCGTCAATGACGTCGTCTGCGTATTTCTTTGAAATTAGAATTATTATTTTTTTTTTTTTTTGCATCACGAAAATGAGCCTCAGAACCTTTGCCTAGGCTTGCAGTACTGAAATGAGGAGAGGACTATGAAGGGAAAAAAAATCAATTTGCCTTCAGAAAATGAAGTATGCAATTTAAGCAACCTGGGAGTTGAAATTGTTGTATCACACATCTTGCTATCTTATCTCAAGTTTAACGAGAGGAATCAATGGAGGGAAAGAGTAATGTGCGTACAAGCATACATATCTTTTCATCGATGGAACAGGCGCCAAAACAGCACTCTAGGCCACATCCGCCATCTTGGATTTTTGACACGGAAAAAATAAGAGGGGCAATCCCCTAAAAGTGTGGTACTACCCCATTTTGTTGGATGGTACACTGAAAAAAAAATCTCGGTGTATTTACTAAGAAACGGGTAAAATTACCAAGAATTCAGGGTTCTATTTGATCCCAGTTTTTTCTTGGTAAAATTACCATTTATGAAATTGGTAATTTTTATTGGTAATTTACCGAGAAATCTCGGTAAAATTATCGACTTTCTCGGTAATTTTACTGGATCCCGGTAAAAACGCCAATATTTTTTATCGACTGTGTTAGATTTTCCGAGATAAAATGGCAAAGTTGCCGGGAATTGATTACCAATAAAAGTGGTATTCTTACCTGAAAAAAGAGTAAAAATACCGGTTTTAGGTAAGCTTACCAGTCTGTCTTGGTAAAATTACCAATAATTGGTAAAAAAAGTGAGATGGTAAAGGTACCAACGGACCTTGGTAAAAACGCCGAGAATTTTTTTTCAGTGTATGGGCATCTCCAATTAATTGTGGTAGTTCCGCAACTCAAGTTTGGGGATAGTACCGTAATGGTTGGGTCAGTAACCTAATTTATTTGAGTGTTACCACAATTATAAGCACCTAAATCAAGTCGAGTCTCACTCCTACGTCTTGTTTTCCGTGGGATTTTGAAAAATTGACTCCAAATTCGAACTTCTCGTCATGAAAGACTTCTGGACACCTAGTTTCAACAAGATTAATTAATCGGCCGATTAGCAACGAACTCTCGATGGTTTTTTTGCAAAATTTCCTTCACCTAAAAGTCAAAGAACGGTATGCATAGTGCCATTCGGCATAAGTCGTCCAATCTTAACGAAAAACATTGGAGTTAGATATTAAAATCGGATTGAATTTTGCAATTAGGAACTACAATTTCCGGCTCAGTTTAGAAACAACGAATGTATACCATTAGTTTTCCTACGCATACAACTGTTTTTACGAATGAGCCAGAAATTTTAGTTATTAATGGAGATGTTGCATGTGTGAGGAATTTGCGATTTGACTATTGATTTCTTATGTAGAAGTTCGCGAGAAACATGATGGTGCCACTGGTTTCCTCTGAAATCAACGCCCAAGCTCAAAAAAGCTCTCAAGTTGAGGCCAAAATTAAGGGGATATCCCACGCCATTCTGAGAGTCCACCTCTACATCAAGACAAACTCTCCATGCAAAGATGGGGAGCAAATACATTAGCAGGGTTGCCGTGTTTTCAGTTTTGGAGTCCCCAAATAAAGTGGCAGCCCTGTCAATGTATTTGCTCCCTATCTTTGCATGGAGAGTTTGTCTTGATGTACAGGTGGACTCTCAGGATAGCGTGGGATATCCTCTCCATTTCGGCCTCAACTTAAGAGCTTTTTTTGAGCTTGGGAGTTGATTTTAGAGAAAAGCAGTGGCCACATCGTGTTTCTCGCGAACTTTTACATACGAATCAACAGTCAAATTGTAAATTCCTCACACATGCAACATCTCCATTGTAGTTCCTAATTCCAAAATGCAGGCCAATTCTTATTCTGCGTCGTGATGACCTCTCGAATTAATTTTTTTATGACTTTTATTTGAGCGGCGATCTCATGTTTGGCAGGTGATGACATTGAACCCCATGTGCCAGAGCGTGGAAACATCTCAGGGTGTGCCCTTGACCGTGACCGGTGTGGCTCAGTGCAAAATCATGAAAGCTGACGAACTCCTGCAAACGGCCTCCGAGCAGTTCCTCGGCAAATCCACAAGAGAAATCGAATCCACCATCCTTCACACCCTCGAAGGCCACCTCCGTGCAATTTTAGGTAAGTTCCCATGCTTTTAATTAGACTGCATTTTGCAATTTGGAACTATACATTCTGGCTCTTCTGGAAAAACACTTATGTGCACAGGGAAACTAGATGCACATACGTTGTTTTTAAACCGGGCTAGAATTTATCGTTCCTAATTGCAAAATGTAGTCCAATTGGACGGAGTCAAACAGAAAGGAACCAAGCCACATCGGGATCGAACCGAGAAAAAGAGGTTTAAAGTTTGGCTCCTGCAAAAGACTCAATGTAAAAAATAAACTTCAAGTTCAATTTCTGCAAAGTTTGCTCCAACAAAAACTTTGAATTTTTGGCGATAGATAGTAGAGCAGTGGTTAAGTTCAAAACCACTCATAACTCAATTTTTTCCAAAATGTGGGTTGGTTCCTTTCTGCTTAACTCAGTCCAATTATACCTGTGCCTTTTTTTAAAAAGCCTTGGTCTGTTAGCTGCTTAGCGGGTTGATTATTGAAATTGACAGAGAAGCAGACAAAGAGAAAATGGAGCAATCCTATTGGTTGAAACGGGTGCTTCTTTTAAATTAAGGGGACAATGATGGACTACCGTCAGATGGGGCTATTTGGGAAATTTTTTGTAGTTTTTTTTTTTTTTTTTTAATTTTTAACTGAAAATTTCTCACTTCAAAGAAATTGACCATTTGAAAAGACCCTAGCGTAGTAAAAGAAAATAGAATTTTTTTAGATAATAAGTTAAACAGCGTTGCCAACAAGTATTTTTATCCGCTAATTCCCAAATTGACCCACGTTCTCCAAATAGCCCCCTCTGACGTTATAACTATAGGGTCTCTCGTGGGTTGTCATTAGTTAGTCTGTCACTCACTTCCTTTGTCCATTGCAACCTCCTTTCCACCATAGGGATTGCTCAAATTCCTCTTCTTTACTTTGTCTATTGCTTTGTCTATCAATTTTAATAATCAGTCCGCTGGATAAATGAGTGAAGAGTCAAAGCCATGAACAAATCAATTGTTTTTATCGAATGAATGATGCATCCAGGATCAATGCGTGGAATCTCCCTTAATTTCGAAAATGAGGTTTTGATGAATTACTACTCTGTAGGTCAAGATCTTTTAGAATAATTTTAGGATCATCACAACCCGTAAGTTGTTTTTAAGAAAGATGGATTTTCGAAATCCCGGTATGACACCGGGTAAAAGCGAAACAGCTTGTCCAAACGTCATCTTTTAATGTATGAGAATAACGTATTCATGAAAAAATTAAAGATGGTGTCTTGGACCGTGATGATATCTCCATTCATATTGGGTGTAAAAAATCTAGACCCACACGATTTTTTCAGACTAAAAGATGGTTGTTTTGCCATCATGAGTAGAAAATAAGTACATAACGGAAAATCCCTTGGTAGAGGTGAAATACACAGAGGTGGAATACACAGAGGTGGAATACACAGAGGTTTATTTACTGCGTTTTAACGCACAATAGCAAAGTCACAATTTCTTCATTATAATTAATTTGCTTTTCAGAATTTCTCTATTTAATGTAGTACTAATATGATAATGAAGAAAATTGTCATCTACAAACAGAATTAAAGTTAGAAGCCTGTGCCGAGTAGCGTGGAGTTAGCGGAATGCAAAGCAGACCTTGATATCAACGCCATGATGCAACTATTCGCGCTTGACGGATGTCCGTGTTGCATATACGATTCATTGAAGGCGCTTTGGATATCCTAACCCGAGATTCAAAGCCCATGGCCGCTTTTGCGAGCAACGAGATAGTATACAGCGGCAAGTAAAAGGAATAGCACTTTCTAAGGTGTTCAGAATCTAAAAATAAAGCCAAGAATTTTCGGGAGTCTTTGAAAGGAAAAAATCTGTGCGGAAAATTATTGTTTTCATCGGGGAATCGATGTCAAAACCGGGAATTTCCACTCTTTCCTCGCGGATATTATTTTTTTTCATTTTGGCCGTTCTTGTTGACTATAGAATGGGTCTTTTGCAGAAAAGAGATCCGCGTGTAAATTTTGTGTCGCCTCCATCAAATATCTGTCTAAAATAATAAAATCTAAATAAATCTTCAGAGGAAAATTTGCGTAGTCTGTGCCCCGAATTTTCAAATTGCCGCTCGCTATAATCGCTCCGACGTTTCTCGAACGAAGATGCGTAACTCCATTCCATGGTCGTAAAATTGACTCAAGCAATTCTGTTTTTTACAAGAGTGTATCTGTGCAATTTTTGTCCAATACATTCCTGATTTTTGCATGAGATCAGCAGAAAAAATCGGATAAATTTTCATTTGGAAATGCCTAAGATTCTCTCTGTGGAAATGAAATTTGCAGGGGAAAATTTTGGCAGTATTGAAATGCAGCTACGTTCTTACTTGAGGGGAACGACGATTGATCGATCGAATCACGTTTTTATTTTTCAATCCATGCCTATCGATTGAATCCATACCCTTCCCATTTCACATCTCCATCCTTGCCTCGATGGAACATTTCGACTGTGAAACTACCAAACCACGTATCTCGTTTGCGGTGTTTAAAAATCTACGCTCACATTTTATTTTTTTGAAGTAGACCGAATCAATATCATTCCTTGAAATTTTCACAGAATTTTCTTCGCACGAAGAGGAAAAATCACAGAAATTCTCAAGACTGGACATTACGTAGTTTTTCATTTAAAAAATAAAGTATGACAGGAAGTCTGCGACGTCGCAAACCGAGATACGTGGTTTGGTAGTTTCACCATCGATATCTCGTTTGCGGTGTTTAAAAATCTATGCTCACATTTTATTTTTTTGAAGTAGACCAAATCAATATCATTCCTTGAAATTTTCACGGAATTTTCTCCGCGCAAAGAGGAAAAATCACAGAAATTTTCACGACTGGATGTTAAGTAGTTTTTCATTTAAAAAATAAAGTATGACAGGAAGTCTGCGACGTCGCAAACCAAGATACCGACGGTGAAACTACCAAACCACGTATCTCGGTTTGCGACGTCGCAGACTTCCTGTCATACTTTATTATTTAAATGAAAAACTTCTTAACGTCCAGTCTTGAAAATTTCTGTGATTTTTCCTCTTCGTGCGGAGAAAATTCTGTGAAAATTTCAAGGAATGATATTGATTTGGTCTACTTCAAAAAAACAAAATGTGAGCGTAGATTTTTAAACACCGCAAACGAGATACGTGGTTTGGTAGTTTCACCATCGATACGTGGTTTGGTAGTTTCACCGTCGATTTACGGAAGGTACTATGAGTTTTGACGGTGCGGCGTTGTGTTTCAGGTACCCTGACGGTGGAGGAGGTGTACAAGGACCGGGACCAGTTCGCGGCGTTGGTGCGGGAGGTGGCTGCCCCTGACGTGGGCCGCATGGGCATCGAAATCCTCTCATTCACCATCAAAGACGTCTACGACAACGTCCAGTATCTGGCCAGCTTGGGCAAGGCACAGACGGCCGCCGTCAAGAGGGACGCTGACGTTGGCGTCGCCCAGGCCAATCGGGACGCCGGAATCCGGGTAAGACGTCCAATTACAAAAGCTCTTACAGAGGAGCGACGATATGTATAATGTATATGTGTCGCAGGCAAATAGTAAAATCAGGTCCTTTATCAAATGCCCAGGCAAATAGTCAAATATTCTAACTTAGATTGAAATTTTGATTATTTTCCTAATTTCAGACAAAATAATTCATTCTTCCTGCAAGAAAAAATTCTCAGTTAAAAATTTGCACGCACAATATAGTATTTTAAACAATTTTTAGCTCCTGAAGAGACACTGATCTTGAAATTTTCAGCATGTCGTAAAATACAGAGTTTTTGGAATTTCAACATTTAAAAATATGAGAAGTAATTGAAGAGGAAGAGACAAAAAGAGTTCGTAGGTTTGATGAGTTATTTTTCCAAAAGTAAGGAAAAATCGTGAACTCTTCGCCATAAATTCACAAAAATTTTTAGACCGTCAAAATTTGACTATCTGCCTAGGCATTTGACAAAATGCCTGATTTCACTATTAGCCTGCGACATCTGGACGCATTTCTGCCAAACGGAACTATGTGCATTAAGACATGAGCCTTTAAGAATATATGCATAGCAGGGCTCACGGCATACTGCGCATAGTTCCGTTTGACAGAAATAGTTAGTTAGTTAGTTAGTTAGTATATTTTAAGACATTCAGCGTCACAGGCTATTAACGTCTTTGCAGAGAATTTTGAAAATGGGAGTATATACGAAAATTTAGATTTTCAAATTAAGAGAGGTGAAGTTTCAGAATTTTCGTAGTAATATTGGGTTCATCGCATGTAAGTGGGAAATACGTTGGCAGAAGTACGTCCGTATATGGACGTATTTCTATCAAACGGAACAGACGTGAGCCCCGAGACCCATAAGAATACATGCATAACACGGCTCACGTCATAATGCACATAGTTCCGTTTGACATAAATGCGTTCATATCTAAATGACATGAACTTCATTTTCATCTTTCTTCAACGTTTAAGTCGACGTTATTCGCAACTTCTTTTTTTTCGTCAAAAATTTCATGTTCGGCCTCTCTAATTGACTCGATCCACTGTGTGCCGATGCAATTTAATGAGGCAGCGCGTATAACGCTTGCAAATTTGCGGTTGCTGATTGCCTCCAACAAAAATAAGACCAAAATTTAAGTACAACTTTTCAATTAAAAGTCCCTAAAGCGGAGGCGCATTTAGGTTTTTTTTCGAGTTGAAAATTTTGATGTCCTCCGCCTTAAGCGTGGGCGTAAGTGCGGCGTAACTATAGGACTTTTTATGGGCCTAAAGGGCACCTAACACCTCTTAAAGAGGATCTGGAAAATTTTGAAAATTAACACATATAGCTAGATTAAAAATCTTATTGCTCGGTTTCATAATTTTTGGTGTCATTAACTAGTTTCTTCCAATTTAATTTTTTTTCTCCTTTTCAGGAAGCTGAATGCGAAAAGTCAGCAATGGATATCAAATACAACACAGACACAAAGATTGAAGATAATTCCCGAATGTACAAACTTCAGAAAGCCAATTTTGACAAAGAAACCAACACTGCTGTAAGTTATTGAACTTTTTGTACGTGAATTTAGATACCCGTGTCTTGACTTAAGCCCCACTACTCGATGGCGTGATTATTCTAAAGCGAGTTCATTAATCGCCCCAAACACTGTGCCATTGGCATGAAACGCATAGAGCGCCTACAGGACTGAAGGAATACTTCACGTATTACTCCAAATACATTGCAGTTTGCAGTCGACATGACACGCGCGTGAGCGCCTACAACACTGTAGAAATACTTCACGCATTGCGCGTACACGATGGTGCGCGCTTTCGTAGTTACTTGCTGTCAGAGCTACCGCGTGGGGTGTACACAGTATCCGACCTGTGTGCAGTGGCGTGGCGTGACTTTTACAGACGTGCAGTTTTAGAAAAAATTGAGATTTTAGTGACTTCAAGTAAAACTAATCTTAATGCATATTCCGTGAAAAATTCGCTCCCAAATTCTAATTTTTAAACATCAAAAAGTTAGTTTGAACTTCCTTTCCGCTATTAGTATCCATGTAATTTCGAAAGTTCAAACACGTATTCTGCCGTGCAAAGGAAGAACGCCGTATGAACATTCGAGAGTTGCCAAGTTTCCTTCGATAAAATGTTCATTTCCGAGGACACGAATGAATATTTTCCCTTCAAATTTTCAGGACTTTTTGGTGGAATTGCAAGCAAAATTATATAAAAAATTTGAAGAAAAATGTTCGTAAGTTGACGAAGAAATTCGTTTTTTATCAAGAGAAATTTGGCAAAGCCTTAAGGTTCATACGACGTTCTTCCTTAGCACGGCAGTATTTCTCGAGATAGCAAAAAGTGCCCTAATGCACCTTGTCCTCCAAGCCCCTTAATTGCAAAGCAGAAATGTAGGTATACCTATCAGATTAATGAGTCAAGCTTAGTCAAAGTATTTCTATCTCCTAATTTCTGTAATAATTGCCATGCAGGTAGCGTCAGGTAAAATTTTATCATCAGTTTGGGTAAATTTTTTAATATGTAAATTTTGATACCACGAGTTATTTATATTTTACATTTTTCGTTTTTGACATTGGTTTTAGTACGCACCAAAATACCGCAAACTCAATTTCTCTGGGTGAGTAAATGAGTAAATAATAACCAACTTTACCCTCACCCAAGTAATGACAAGGGAGGGGGGAGGGATCAGGGATATTTATCAAGAAACTCTGTGAAAGAAAAGGATAGAAAATGAGGAGGTACTAAAATGTAATAAATTTACTCTTTTTTATTGTTCGTGTACAGGGCCGGATTAAGGGGGTGACCACATGGGCCGCTGCTTATGGCGGCAAAATTAGGGGGCGGCAAATTTTGCAATTTTTTAAATGCAGGTACAAAAAAATCGGATTCAGAAAAAATTACAACCAAGAAAAGGTGACAAAATCTCTCATTTCCCGAGAGTTCATCAATTTCTAATTTTGTCGTATTTCGGTGATACAAAAACTGCGCACCTTCGATCAGTTGAGTTAAGAGAGAAACCAAACACGTAATTTGGCAGAGAAATGATGACGAGGACTTGAGATGAGAAGGAGAAGCCCTCGACGCGGCGCGGCGGTCGGCATGTAACACATATTAGCGCCTACGAGACTGCATGAATACTTCACGCATTGCGTCAAACACAGTACGGTCAACAGCGGTCAGCAGCGGGCGGCGTGAAACGCATAACGCCTACAAGACTGCATGAATACCACACGCATTGCGTCAAACACAGTGCGTGCAGCGCGGCACGGCGACGGAAGTTAAAATTATTAAACCACATTTATGTTTGTTCTTTCTTAATTTTTTAGTTCATTTCTTACAAATGAAAGGCCTTATCCCCACAGAGATATGTTTACGGAACTGAACTTTCGCGCAAAGTTCCGTGAACTTTTGCTAGTATAGTGTTGACAGGGCTTACGCAAAAAATGTGTCCAACACGAGTGAACGCGTCTTATGCACCCTTCTCCTTCCGGCACGTTCATTTGATGGTTTTTATTGATGTTTCAAAATGAATGAGAAGAGGGCGGCAAAATACAGGCGGCCCATGGGCGGCAAGTAGGTAAATCCGGCCATGGATGTATCTGCCTTGTTTAAAGAGAAAACCATTTTTGAAGAAAAAAATCCTTGACGTACAGACCCAATCATTGCTCTCAAATGACACATTCTCCTCTTAAATTCTATGTAGGTATGTGCAGCCATTTTACTAAACACATACCATTATTATTCATTATAGTTTTTATTCTATCTTATTCTATTCTTTAGAAAGCAGAGGCACAGTTGGCCTACGAACTCCAAGCAGCCAAAATTCGACAGAAAATCAGGAATGAAGAAATTCAAATCGAGGTTGTTGAAAGGAGGAAGCAGATTGAGGTCGAGGAGCAAGAGGTTCAAAGGAAAGAACGCGAACTTAACGCAACAGTCAGACTTCCGGCCGAAGCAGAAAGCTACAAGGTTCAAACAATTGCCGAAGGAAAAAGGTCTGACTTCTTTTAATTTTGTCGTTCTTTAATTTATGGTGCTATATCACTTTCGTGTAGAAAATGAAGGATGATAATGAAGTAAAAATTAGCAACATTAATTCTCCGGTTCAAGTTCTGCTATTCGTTTCTTCTGAGGGAATTTAATCCCAGAATTAGTGCGTTTTGCACACAACAAAGATTTTTACCTATTTTTGTTATCATTTACTTAAAGTCCTCGAGAGAAAGAAATAAGTGGAACATTTCAAGGATTTTATATTATTTATTTTCCCAAGTAGCATTGTCATCTACTTTCGAGGTGGCGCTCATCAAGAAAATGTCTACTTTCTAGATAGAGCAATTTTCTTGAAAGCAAATAGGTACAAAGTAGATCTAGAAAATAGACACAAGAAAATAGAAAGAAAATACATTTTTTCCTTGCATTTTCCTAAAAGAAAACATTAAGAAATTGGCTATCAATGAATTTTCTATCTTTTTTCCAAATGGAAAGTTGACAGAAAGTAGACCTATGAAATAGATCTATTTTCTTTGGTCAGACTTTTGACTTGCAATGTTTTTTTTTTCTATTTTCTGGATAACTCTCATTTTCTTTGTTTTTTTTTTTTTTTTAGAAATTTTCTTAACATTTTTTTTCTAGAAAAAAATTCTATTTTGCTACTATTGGGTTAATGAAGATAAGATTTTTTAGGTCAGCAGGCCAATCATTGAATGCATGCGTTTGTTAACCAAAGTGACTATTTTCATGGTCCTAATGTTCATTTCTTTCTTTTACTTGTTCCAGAACTCAGACAGTAGAAGTCGCCAAAGCTGAAGGAGAGAAGACCAAACTTGTAGGAAGTGCTGAGGCCTTTGCCATCGAAGCTATCGGGAAAGCTGAGGCAGAGAGAATGAAGTTGAAGGCAACGGTTTATAAAAGTTACGGAGATGCTGCAATCATGTCGCTTGTCCTCGATGCATTACCAAAGGCAAGTAGAGCCATGCATTTATTTCATTTTTTTTCCAGTGTGGATTAGAAGTACCAGAAAACGTAAAAGTATGTAGGTTTCAAAGTTTTTTCAATCTTTTTTTTTCATGTGCTGGAAATACTTACAAGCAGTTCTAATTTTCCTATCATTGAAGTTAAAAGATTTCATAAAGTCCCTCTATGAGCACATTTTTCAAAAAAATTCTTCAATTAAAATCTACTAGCCCTCTGTTGACTAAACTTACAAGGTCTTTTGAAAAATCCCAAAAAATTTTAAGAATTCTCAAATTATTATCTACCAACCTTTCGTTTAATGGGCTATACATAATAACGATGCCTGATTGACATTTAAAACAGCACACCCCTAGAAAGTGTGAGTTGGATCGTGTCCTTGTTCATTAGGTATTTGGATTTTCCTTTACTGCATTCTTGTGTCGTATCTTCAAAGAGGAGATCAATAGTCGAGTGAATTTTTACTTTAACCAATCTTTTTCTCTGTTTTCAGATCGCAGCAGAAGTTGCAGCTCCGTTAGCTAAAACGGAGGAAATTGTTCTATTAGGCGGCAGCGATAATTTAACAAATGACATTACTCGACTATGTGGTCAGCTACCCCCTGCTGTCCAAGCATTGACTGGCGTTGATGTGACGAAGGTAACAGATTACTTAGCATTTTACAAAATCTAAAGTATCATTATGTATTATTTATTGAAAAAATGTCTTTTACCTATTGCATCTTTCTAAATTTGAGTATAAACTCTGAAAGCATTGTCCTGTTAAGCCTTATTTTTCACAAACTAGAGAATCTAGGTAAGTACCTACTTATGGCTATACACATGAGAAAAAAGATCTTAGTCAACAAAATTTTCAATGGGTAGAGAAACTTTTGTTGACTTTATAAGTAAAAAAAATCGGATTTTAAAATTTTGACAGAAAAAACTGTTGTCTTTGATAATGGTTGACGAGCAGTGCAGTTCATTTTTATGCCAGCAGAGGTGTAATGTCACACTACAATAAGACAATTGTGTGCCTTGTATACGGAGGTCCCTTTCTCTTTGGATGGTCACATTTGTGCTGAAAGATACATATGAAGTCACATTTTTTAGCTATCTGTATCAGCCATCCGAATTCCAATGAGTCATGAAATTCAAGTTTATGAATTCAGTTTTTATAACAAATATTCCCTTTTATTCATGTTTGTAGTAGTTTTCTACCTGTTTTTTTCTTTTTGTTTCAGGTTCTCAATAAAGTTGCGGGTACAAAAGCTTAATACTGCAATTAATTTCAAGAGTGTACTGACATTTATTTCTAAACTCCATGTCTCAGTTATATATCAAAAAAAGGTATTGGCACAAAATGGCACAACTTATTCTAAATTTCAATGTCAAGAATTGATTCTTGTCATGAAAGAATTGAATGTCCACCAACACCTACCAACCCTCGAAAGCTTCTTTAGCATATATACTTCCACTCGTGCCATTTTCAATTTTTGAGTATCATAATTTTTAGCGTAATAAAATCAGCAATATTTTATTGTTTGTAAATCATCATTTAAATGTTTTTAGTCAATTTTTAAAAGACCTAGGTAATGTTTTTAAGCTGGAAAGTCTCCATAAACAGCTTTTCAATTTTTTCTTCCTCCTAAAATAGATATAGAGAACTTGAAGGTTAAAAATGAAAATTGTACAAGTATATATTTGGAGATAGGCTAATTTTGCAGCCTTTTCGATTTAAACTTTTCAGAATATTATCAGCGCATTTTTTTACGATATCATGGGTATGTGAATTTTTCCTTGGATCTGCCCCAAACTTTTTTTCCTCATTGAACTATTTACTTTAGAATACTCAAGATCAAAGCTTATTTTTATATTTATAATTGCATGCATGTCTTTCATGTATTTTTAATTTTCTCTGAATGTTTTACCTGCAGAAACCTTAAGCAAAATATATAAGTACCCCCAACGATCATGATTTTAAACATAACTTTTTTATTATCTGTAAGTTCAAATTTTCAGCTCTGCAGTCTCCCTAAATGTATGCAGTGCCTTTCTTTTTTGAACTTTTCCTGAGTATTTAGAAACGCACTGAGTTTACAGCATCCATGGACCACTGGACAAGGTGCAAATTTAAGCATTACGTATGATATGTATTTTCTGACACAAATTTCACATACAATGATCACAATGATTTGTTCAACAAGCATTATTAAAAGTATAACTTCTAAATAAGAAATTGACGTTTCCCCATGCAAGAATTTAAATTTCCTGATTATCAAAACCATATCCACTAGAGTTAGATCGAATAGGTACTAAACATTACTATTACAGTCTGTGTAGTAGGTTTAGGAAAATATGGCAACCTCATTATTGGCGTTTCAGCTCAGCTGTTCCAAGTTGTGCCTACTTTGAGCAACACAGGGCAGGATAGGAACACTGCTTAATTATGCTGCCTGCCATAACTGCTGTAGTGATCTAAGGGGACTGTGATTTTTCTTGTGAGCAAGAAATTCAAATTACATGCAAGGTTCAAAATAAACGTTAATATCTTGCATTAAAGTTGATTCCAGTAATTTTTCCTGCACCGACCAAGTTCTTTGTGAAATTTTGAAGATGAAACATATATTTGAATGCTTTGATTTGTACTTTTTCTAATGAGCCCTTGAAATTTTGGCAATTTTCTCTTGCTTTTACATCAACTCTGCAATTGAAAACCGCCAAAATTTTGGTTGCCTACCAAATTTTAAAGAGCTTTAAAAACGAATTTTTAATCTGCATTTAACAGTGTTTCAAACTGCCACCATATTTTTGAATTCCAAGGATAAATTTAGAATATTTATGCTCGATTAAACCTACTTTACGACGCGTGTACTAGCCTTGCCTCATTTATAAATAATATTGTTTGTTTATCTAAAGTAAGATATCAGTGATCATCTTTCCTTGCACTCATGCAATTGCCAGGATTAATAAATGTCTGTTGATTCAAGGAACAGAATAGATTGTAGGATGTGCTTTTAGTGAAAGTATAAAATAAACTTTAAAAAAATTACACATTGCTAATTGTGTTCAATCACTTACTCTCTCAGATGATTTTATATATTTTGTAAAACTCCCTCTTTGTGGCTTTTTATCTTTTTTTTCTTTATTGTAATGATTATTTTCAAATCATATTATTCTTGACCAGGTACTTGTTGGTATCTCAAGCTTTTTGTTTAATTGTTTTCGCTTTCATATTATTTGCAGTGCTAGAATTATTCAGTGTAACTGTCGTTATTTTTAAGTTTATACTTTTTGAGGTACCCATCTTGAATTATTTCTCTACATTAAATTTCTGTGCAGATAATCATTACTACTCATTCAGTTTTAAAAAAATAAATTGTTTTTATTTATCAATTGTTTTGTGTGTTTACTGCCTGCTAGTACCTACTAGCAATCCCTATCCAATCCAATTTTCCCTTTATCATTCCTCTATTACATTGTTTGTCTACCATACTTTTCATGGTGCTGCTAACAGAGATGCCTCATTAGGTACAAAGTCAGAAGTATAACTCTCTTTACGACCCAGATACGCTCAACTAAGGAAGAGCGTGTTCCAGCCCATCCAAATTTTAAGTCATACTCAAATCCAAAATTTTAGACAACTCTGTCTCTTATAAGGGGAGTGTGAACCCCCCCAAAAATATATAATGCTTTAAGTACTGAATACCAGGGCCGGATTAAGGGGGTGGCCACATGGGCCGCGACCCATGGCGGCAAATCTAAGGGGCGGCAAAAATTTGCAATTTTTTAAAGTGTAGGCATAAAAAAAAATCGGATTTATAAAAACAAAATTACAAACGAGAAAAGGCGACAAAATCTCTCATTTCCTGAGAGTATATTAGTTTCTAATTTTGTCGTTTCTTAGTGATACAAGAGACAGCACCCTCAATAAGTCGAGTTACGAGTGAGACCAAACACGCAATTTGGCCTGGAACGGCGCGACTTAGAGAAAAATGATAACGAGGACTTGAGATGAAAAGGAGAAGCCCTCGGCGCGGCGATCGGCATGTAACACATGTTAGCGCCTACAAGACTGCACGAATATATCACGCATTGCATCAAACACAGTGCAGTCATTGCGGTCAGCGTGAAACGGATAGCGCCTACAAGAATGCATGAATACTTCCACATTGCGCCAAACACAGTGCGGTCAGCGTGAAACGCATAGCGCCTACAAGACTGCGTGAATACTTCACGCATTGCGTCCAACACGGTGCGATCTGCGCGGCGCGGCGGTGGAAGTGAAAATCATTGAACCACATTTATGTTTCTTCTTTCATAATTTTTTCGTTCATTTCTTACAAATGGAAGGCCTTGTCCACACAGAGATAGGTTTACGAAACTTAACTTTCGCGCAAAGTTCCGTGAACTTTTGCTGGTAGTGTTCACAAGGCTTCCCCTAAAAGTGTGTTGAACACGAGTAAATGCGTCTTATGCACCCCTCCCCCGCTGACACGTTCATTTGATGGTTTTTGTCGAGTTTCAAAACGAATGAGAAGGGGGCGGCAAAATACAGGCGGCCCATGGGCGGCAAGTAGGTGAATCCGGCCATGCTGAATACAAATTCGGCACTACAATCTATCCTGGGCACTTCACAGTGATTTTCTCCTCACATCAAAACAAACCACCCTCTTTAGTGCAAGCTGTTATTGAATATTGAGCAGTTCCACGTACGGATTATTACACCTTCGACATAAGATGATCAAGCTAGTTTAGCCCATACTGATCAAAAATTTAAAAGTGAATAATATTTCACCGTAAAGTTGACGCTCCGAGCGTGGAGTTCCGCATTTTTGAAATTGCCACCTAAAATTTCAAGACGCTGTAGAAACATAACAGACCAAAAAGGTACTTGTCCAGCTGAGCCACCCAACATATTAATTCAATCAATTTTACCACGAGGCATTGTTAATTTCTATTTTATGTGATTTAATTTTATTAAAAATGAATTTATAAAATACATATAGCCATTTTTTAAGCGGACAATGTTCTCTGGAATATTCAGTGAGTTTTTGCAAAAGCTGCAATCCTGGCGAGCATGCCGGCATTTCGTTTGCGCGTTTGCCAATCAAAATCAAATGGCAGATTCGTATCCAATATGGCTGGTCGAAGTGGTTATGGAAATTCTGGGTGAGTAATTTCGATTTTAATCCCTTTTATCCTCTTGTCACTGCACGCTGAGCACCTAATCTATCCATAATTTCATGTCCTATCATAATCAAATCTATTTCTCCCCTGCTTTCTGCCACTCCGGCGTTTAAATCTGCAGACGGGGTGTAGGCCTGTCCTCCACGTTATTCACCACGATTTGATAAATTACCAAGCCGCAAATCCCTGACCGCCACCTATAGCCCTCGATTATTCGCTTAAAATACCTCAATTCCAAGTTCAGCTGTGTCTCGGTCTTCTATTTAATCTGATCCATCTTTCCTTCTTTCTCCCAATGCCTTTGCCGCCGCGAGTCTGGAGGGAGGCCGCATCCGCATAGGTCCATAAAATGCTTACTCCGATGATCGTGTTCAGATGATAATGAAGATGATAATGAAATTGAACGCAATTAATCGTAACTCCATACATTTCAGGCATTCTTCTAAGGATGATGCCCTTGCATTGAACTTGATTTGTACAACGATAGTCCTTGATGTTGATTTATTTTAATCAGGCGAGTGGCCAGTAACCTAACCTCTGTTCAGGGTAATTAAGTGAAGCACTCATCAGTTCACAACTAGCAAGAATGTAAGATGCACTGCAGTTGCATTCTTTATCTAATCACGCTCCTTTGTTTCCGCTAGGTATAGTTGGTATCTAAGCATTTACATTAACACACACCGATGAGCCGAACAATTGGAGTGCTCTTCAGGAAGTTGAATGTTAGCGCCCGCTGTTTTGTTTATGCTCGGGCTGAAACAATTACTTTATGCCTTGCATAGAGGGCTTCTGTGTCAATGGCACATCAGTTTTGCCATGCATTCACCCATTTTGATTTTTTGCACCCAAGTTGTGTGCTCTCATTTACGCCTCCGGCATTCCCCTGCAGTGATTCCTCCCACGCCTGGAGACAGCTTCATGTCTGTCACCCTGATAACATCACAACTGAATGAGTTCCATGGGTTTTATCTCCTTGTTAGCAGTAAAGTGTAACGTAGAAAGGATGGTAGCAAGTGGACTCAGCGTTTTTATAATCACCTCACAAATTGTCTTTTTTTAGTTTAACTAAGTCTGTAAGTCTGTTTAAATTTAGCTGTGAATAGCAGTGATGTTTTAATACGATTTCAAGCCCCCTCCACGGAATGAGAAGAACTATTGCTTCGATCAATGTCCCAATCGAGCGTTAGACAGGATTTGTTTTGATGAATGAATTGGTTAGGTTGAGATGATATGTAATGTAGGTACAATAGATATTCGTATCAAATGATGAACATACTCTCCTGAAAAATTTTGAGTTTACAAGTCAAACTAATGGCTAAATCTTTTTGATTTTCAGGAACTATGACTCGGGACGCCGAGACGGAGGGCGCAAGCGTCTACCTGACAAGCCTCCCTACACAGCTTTCGTCGGAAATCTCCCTAATGGAGTCACTGAAGGTGACATCGCTGACGCCGTTTTCAAAGACCTAAATGTAAGCATGGCACCACAATTCTATTCTTGCACCAATTCAAAATCAAGGGCACTAACCAAAGCCTTTATTCTCTCTTCCAAGATCTATGAAGGGTAGCTTAGCTTTTTATTTTTACTGTTGTTAGAATTACAAACAGGTTCTTGTGGTTTAAAGGCAATAATCAGTGTTCAAATCCTATGGAACCTGTGTACCTGGAAATGTATTTATGGTTGAATGAATTGGAAGAAACCTGCTGCCGCATATCAGAGTTGCAGAACTTGCCTAATCTCTTCATCCTAAAATTGCAGGGGCATGAGGCAATTTAATTTATAAATACTTTTTCTGCTTAATATAACTGAAGAAAAGCAGGGCTAATTGTAAATTCAGACATTTTGCTGTAAGTTTGAAGGTACGGCCGTAAGGCGAATTGGAAATATGACTTGGCAAGGTAAATGGGGGAAGGCTCCCTAAATTGAGGAGGTAGTTTGAAACTTTTTGCATCCCTGTGGATATCCCTAATACCTTTGTTTTCAGTCCAGAGGCATCCTCGGATTTTCAGCATGAAGTCCATCTGAAATTTTTTGTACTTCATTGATTTGTATTTCAATTCTGATTACTTGATTTCGGGCATCAGTCAATAAAGGAGAGTCTTAAGCTGTTAAGTTCACTAGAATCTGGTTTGTATTAATTTTTTTTAATGGCTTTGTTTTTCAGGTGGCAAGAACCCGATTGGTATTTGACCATGATAGCTCTAAATTCAAAGGATTCTGTTATGTTGAGTTTGACGACTTGGAGAGCATGGAAAAAGCTCTGGATATGGACGGTCGTATTCATATAGATGATGCAGGACCTATCAGGATTGATGTTGCGGAAGGGAAGCGCAACAACCGAGATGGAGGCCGCGGAGGTGGCGGTGGTGGAGGTTTCAGAGACAGAGGTCCAAGAGGCGGAAGAGATGGCCGAGATGGTAATGTTCTGTCTCAATGTAACATTTATTTTAGATAAATACAACTGACTAGATGGTATGAGATCGCAGGATTGTTGGTGGTCTGGAAAACGGGGAAAGTTTGGGGCCGAATTTTGTCGGCTCTTTCACATGGAGTGCAACATCCATCGAAGAGTTCAAACCGCACCACCGGCCAGTCAGAAGCACTAAGTTAGACTTAATTGCAGTCGAGACCCGTTCTAAGTATATTTAAGTATGGTGGAAGGACCGACAAAATTCGGCCCCAGGGAATTTTGACACATCTACTAATTACTAGAACATATCACTGATATTTCAACTATTCACTCTCTCTGGTCATTTTTAAGATGTCATCTTTTAACCAGCTACCTACTGAATGACTTTCCACAATTTGATTTCTAAACAGGGAAATTTCAAGGTGATTGCAAAATCGTCCGGATGAACAAAAGTGAAATTGCCTAAAGTAAATTAAGAATTTAAAAAGAAAAAGAAAAAAGATGAAGAAGAAGATACTTCATCAACAACTCACAGCAAAAAAAATCAGATGAACCAAATTATAATCGACTACTCTCAACTGATTAAGAAAACTCAAACAAAAAAACCCACAGTATTACTACGAATTTAAAAAAGAAATCCTCAATTAACAACTAAGAATGAAGTAATGAGAAACAGAGGACGCAAGCCAACTATGAAAAGAATACAGAGAAACAGAGGACGCAAGGTAGAGTCAACAACAACACAAAGGGAATTTCCAACTTACGGGTTCCAATGGGTATGGGAGTTTCCCACTTACGGACTTTAAACTCACCTCAGCCTATCGACCGTCTTACTCCCCCTCCTTACCCTGTCCATCTAGTGTCATAAATACGATTTTATTAGAATAGAGAGGATTTTCCCGAAAAATGACAAAACAAATAAAAGTACATACCAAGTATGATACTACCAAAATGACTAAAAGGCTTGCAACTTTGGTTTTGCAATTGAATTGAAATGATCGTACCTACCAGAGAGAGAAATTGAATGAATTGTCCTTATCGTAGACCATGAAAAAAGTGCTAAATCTAAGGGGAACTCAACTTTTGATGGTATTGTTCTTTAAATTTATCATAAATATAATATGTTCTAGTGAGTTATGATGGCATAAAATGGTTATGAAAATTTAAAACCGTATTTTCCATGAATTTAAGTTGTTGTTCAGAGTCTATGGTAAGGACAAAAAGTCTGAAAAAACGTTATAGGTTATTTTAATCTACCCGTCTCATCCACTGATGTCTTTTTTATTTCAAGTACAGAAAACAGTTGATCTAACAGATCATCCTAAGCTATTAAATACAGAGAATCCCCCCTTAACATGAAGAAGTGGATACTTTCATTTCTTTCCATGCTAATCTGCCAATGAAATCCATTCAGTATTATTTATATTTACTTATTCCGTCAGTAAATGAAACTGTTTGTTTCAGGCGGTGGATTCAGAAGGCAAGGCGGCGGTGGCGGCTTTGATAATTTTCACAATTCCGGTGAGTTCTACTCCTCCAGTAATCAATGTCACCCCTTCCTTCAGTCCTAAAATTTGCCGCGATGAAATCATATTATTTTATGTCATGGACTAATGAAAATATTTCAGGGCCTTATGTTTGGAAAGACTCAAAACTAGCCTTCTGATAAAGGATTTTGAACATAACTTTCTTCAATTGTGCAATTTTGCTCATACTTTTTATTTTTGTTTTTTCAAGGTTTTAATGATGGGGGTCCTGGAGGTCCAGGAGGCCCCGGTGGCTTCGGTAGGAACCGATCAAATTATGGTAATGATTTTGGTGGTGATAGAGGTAGAAGTAATTATGGTCAATTCGATGATAGAGGCGACGATAGAGGCGGTAGCAGTAATTGGGGCCGAAGCGGCAACCGTTCCAATTTCGGTGATCGCAGGGATGGTGGCGGACGGCCCCCAAGGCAAGAAGGAGGCTATGGCCGACAGAATTCTTTCTCATCTAGTAGCGACTTACCGTCAGCTCCAGGTTGGTTCATTTCTCTCTCTCTCTCTCTCTCTCTCTCTCTCTCTCTTGACGGAGTTCGAATCATTGTCGGGACTTCAACTACGTACCATCATTGTCGGGACTTCGGAGTTAACAACGGTTACGGGTAGCCCCGGGTTGGCATCCACGGGGAGTGTTGTCCGTTTTTCGACTCTCTCCAGAAAAGTTGTACTTTCTCGCATGAAACACTATCGGGACCGTCCCGATACTGATAGAAATAAGACGATGTCCCGACTTTGGCGGTCCCAAGACGACAAAAATTTCTCTCTTTTCCATACACCGCTGCCAAGCCGATTACCTGTCACTGCTTCGAGGTCACCCATTGCAAAGGCGTCCGAACTCAATCCCCTAATTTGTCACGCCTTTTTCGCACGCTGTCCTTTCTCCTTTTAGATTTTCCGATCTCTTTATAAAACCGGAATTGCCCACTCATCCGGGAACTACTTATTTTCGTCCCATCTTGTANTGATGTTACACAGGAATCGCGGTGCAATCCCCCCCCCTCTTTTCCAAAAATTGATCAACTCCTCAATTAACGGCCGATACGCACACTAAACTTTACTGTCTAGGCCCCCTGAAATGAATGGAATAAAATGAGGCATTCATAGGCATATCGCATGAATTACGTAGTACACTGTCCAGTTTTACAGTCTTAATATTGAACAGGAAAGCGTTAGTTTTTCCGGATTAAATGAAAATAACAGCGCTATCACTTAAATCACCGAATCCAGATCAAATTTCTGCGTTCGTAGACATGCAGCAATGTTCATTTTAACCGAATTTTATTTTTGAAATTTTTCGGGTTCTTTGAAAAATTGTGGGATTTGCACCCTTTGAGTTATAGACGATCACACACCCCCGGCCCACTTGCTCGAAAACGCTGCTACGCGGTGCCGATGCTACAGCATGAGTTTGCTGTTAAAGGAATCCAAGGTGTTCGGTTCCAGGGCAGTGAACTCCGTCAAAGACATTTTTAAAAGATCCGCGCATGAGAATCCATTCATGATAAATTTAGGTAAAGGCCCATAGTATCAGGGATATTGTGTGGAAGAAACAAAAGAAGCCGCAGCTCGACCGGACAGACAAAAGAATAGCGCGGCGCGAGCCGCGAAAGGAATGCGTGGGGCAAATGGTTGACGTATAATAATCAAAACTTGTTTTACGTTTGTCAACACTGTAAGTAGTTCTGATAAGTTACGTGGATGGCGCTCGAATCAGTACGTTTTTAAGTTCCGACAATGATTACAATTTCAGTTGGAGAGAAAATCGTCTTGCTACCATCATTATCGGGACTCCCTTAAAATTGTGAATTTGATGAGAGTTGTTTAAGTTAGGATCTAAGTAAACATAATTTCAAAGATAGGAGGAAGATACTCTTCAACGTCATACGTAATTTCTCTGCATTTCGACATTTTACTCATGGATTTTGCCTGAAAACACTGTCGGGACCCGAGTGAGGTCCCGACAATGATAGGGAGTCCCGACAGTGCGGTCCGTAGACGACGCTAAGTCCCGACAATGATAGCTACTTCATCTCTCTCTCTCTCAGTTGTTCATAGTGTTAATACTTCAACTGTTAGGTGCAGTCAAGGCATGGAATTTCAGTGGCGCCCATTTTAATTGCAACCTTGCTTGTCTGTAGCTAAAGTCTCTGTCCGTTTAATTTTTTGTCTCGCACCTGTTTTAAAATATTAGATAAGATGAGCTCAACATCACTCCTGACTTTAAGAATTGTGAAGAGATATTCATGAATAGTATAAATGGGTCAGTGATGCCCACTTTTTTTAATTCATTTTTCGGAATTACGAAGTGAATTGAGTTTCCGGGGATTTTTACAAACCTGAAATGACAAAGAAACCCCGTTTTGAAAATACCAAAAAAATGAGACCACTTACAACAATATTTATGGCGCATTTTGATGGCACAGCCAAGGAGGACGGCGTTTACTGATTGGCTGAACTCAAATTCAGGCGGTGCCTTGCTATGTTAACTCGATTGTTGCCGTTAGATTGTTCAGATTTTAAATAGCTTTTTCTCCTGATGGAAGTGCTTTTTTGAGCTTTTTATGGACTCTACGAATTTTTTATGAAATTTTAGGTAGGAGCAACTGCTCCACAATTCTGAATAAATTTCTTGCCACTGCCTTATTTGAAAGGAAGAAGAAAGCTGCCAAAAATAATATGTAACATAACTCATCACTCGAAGGAAAGTACTATGCCTTAGTGTCTTAAACTCATTTTCTGCACGGAGAAGAATATGATTGAAGGCAGGAATCAACTAACAAGTGAGGTTGTAGCGCTTTTTTGAGAGATTTACAGAAAAGTTGTTGATTGATTTTCTCATTCTAAATGCTGAGTGGTCCTAATCAAATTGTATCCACTTTTTCCAGTTGACACTAGTAACAGGCCCAGACTCAAGCTAGCGCCACGCTCAGTCAATGCGCCTATTAATGACCTAGCAGACACCCTTCAGCGTTCTTCCATATTTGGTAACGCCAAACCTCGGGATGAAAAATTAGCCGAAGCCAAGAAACCCGCAACACCGGATCCTCAACCGTAATTCATGTTAAGCCAACTTTTGTATGTTCGCCTCATCAGCCCCAAAGTGAGTTTTTTTAATTTTGTTTTTTTTATTTAATTATTTGCTCCCTCCCTCTGAACTCCAGTTATGTGTCTGTGCTTATCTTTCGTAAAGTGTCTGATAAACACATAACCTTTTTTGGGGCTATGAGCTCCCTTTACTTTTCTCTTTTTTTGTGTCTCTGAGGTAGTTCTGCTGTAAGTTTCAGGTCGAGAGACTGAACTTGTTTCATTGTGATTCAGTAATTATTGTAGGGAAAGTTTATCTGGGTAACGTAGCGTTAGGTTTGTCTTTTGGTTAGCGTTTTCTTTCGGAGGAAAGAACAGGATTCTGAGGTTCATTATTTCATACCCTGCCTACTTATTTTCACGCCCATTTCCCCTTACTTTTTTTGAATTCATTGATTGAAACCAGGTGATTTTATTGCCCCTGTCTTGCAGTACTGTCATCGTATGGTTTTCTCTCAATCCATTCCGTGAGCTGTTGATCCATCAGTATTCCTCTTACTTTGTTATATCACATTGTAGTGAAATACTGAGCGACAATTTTTTGCTGATTCTTGTTTTGTTTTTTATACTCTCTCTAAAAAATTGTCAATCTTCAGTTTCAATTTTTCTAAATCATTCGAGACAAAGAAGACTGCCATTTGTGGTTTCTCAGCAGAATATTGCTTGGCACTGTTGTTTTAAATGGAGTTATGCCGCAACTAAGTGAAGAAAGAACGTCTCACATTGAAACGTTCTCGATCAATCTTAATAAGTTTTCTTCACTAAGGACTACTTTTGATTTTGTGATTTATGAAATCTCGAAGATAATGTACTCAGAAGTTCCTCTTTTTGTAAAATCGGTAGACTTTTCCTTTTTCAATATCTATCAGTTTCAAAGTAGGCAACGGTCCCATCAGGAAAGAAATGAATGCTCTTGGTCAGAAATTTTTCTGAGTCTGCACTGCTGACCCATTGAGTTAGGTGTAATGAAGTTGTATTCGTATAAATGATGGATGCCCAGTACATTTCAAATTGAACTCTTGCAATTTTTACGCTTATAACTTCACATCAAATTTAATAACATGCTCCACTGTCCAAAGTGTAATTCATCTGTTTCTTTCCTGATGGGACCATGATGGTATGGAATTACTTTCTATTTCTTCGTTAGAAAATAACTTAATTGGCAATAATCTTAGTTTCTTCTCTTTTCCCAAAACCGTCTGTGCTTGTAATTTTTGATGATAGGTTTACAAAACAAGAAGCAGTCCTCACTCGCCCGAATAATTTGTACGTTATCTCCTTTTAAAGATTCTTGCAGCTTTTATCAATGTATCTCAATGGCAATATTTTAGTTTTTATGTATTCAGCCATTTTCATTCTGATTTGTAAGATGCTCTGTGCGTCATGGAGTTGGAGGTGGCATTTTAAATGTTTTAATTCCATTGTTCTGCATGCCCCTTGGACAGCTTAACTGACTAGTATCACAGTGGCACATTTTGCAAAATTTTAGGGCTAGAAAGATCAAATTGTCGGCAAAACTTCCAAACCACATATCTCATATGCGATATTTTAATATCTTTGCTCTTAATTACTTTTTCAAAGGAGAACTAATCAACCTTATTCCTTGAAGTTTTCACAGAATTTTCTTTGCACAGAGAAGAAAAAATATAGCAGTTTGAAGAATTCTCGTAAAGTAGTTTTCCATTTAAAAAGTAAAGTATCACAGGAAGTCTGCAACATTGCAAACCGATATACATGGTTTGGGAGTGTAACCATCAACATATTGATAATTGGTAAGATTCCATGATGCTCATAATGATTTTTCTGATGTTTAATACCCTAGTTTTCAGTTTACATCAGCCGTTGCGTTGGAATCGCTAGGTAGCACTATCTAAGTTTCCTATCCGTTAAAAGCAATAAGAAAGGCATTAAAAAGATTTCTTCATTGTTGGATTGGTTTATTTTCCAGTCGCATCTGGTAGCTGTTCAAGTTTCAGTTTTTGCTTTTCGTTTTTTTACAAAAAAACATCTAAGAAAAATTAATCATATTTTGTGGCAACTGAATAATTGTGTCTTTCAAGCTCTTTATTGATTGAGCTGTTTTGTTGATTTTAATTCAAATCGTTTCTTGATATCTTATCTGCTGGCGAAGATTACATTGGAAAAAAATCTGAATCTCCTCCATTCACAGATAAACGCTCAGTTTGAATGTGTTGCATTATTAGCAACAGGTTTAAATTATTAAAAAAATGTTAGTTACCTGAATTATTTCTTTCGCATTTTACCTTTATAAGGTTCTTATTTAATTAACTTTTTCGTATCACTAATTCAGAGCAAAGTTGCATAATTTTTTTAATCTTTTTCAAGCTCCTTCCTATCAGTGAGATCGTATGGTATTATGTTTTTTCTCAGTCTCAAGTTTATCTGTCTTTCCAATCTTTTAAGAAAGTTGAACCATAAAGAATAGAAACCTCTCATCGAAGCCCAGGAATAGTTTCATTTTAAGTTAATCGATCTTGTGTCGTTTCAGTACGTCTAGTTCTTATGTCTCGCTCATGCTAGAACTCAAAATTAGACAAACCCTATATCTGTATGTTTCAGATCTAAAACAAGAATTTGTGAATCATATACATATTTGTAAATAATTGTAATCTATTTTGAATTTTAATTACATCATTAACTCTGTCTCCAAAATTTGGTTTTTTATCCTTTCCTTTCTCAGAATGGTGTCTTGTTTATTATGGCTTAAAGGAGGTATACAGCAGGATTTTCATTAATGTTTTATTGGCGAAATTTATTGACATTTTGATTGTTACTCGTGACAGAATCATATTCATCTTGATTCTTGGTTAGGCAGTGACAAAATTCAATGGCTTATCTCTTGAAACGATGGAATGTTATTCTTCATGATTAGACCACTTGACAAAGAAAGAATAATGGGGCAACAATCATTCAGCCAATTATAAGAAAGGCCAATTCTCATTTATGAATTGAATTTCGACTTTTTCGATGTGTCCATCTCATTCTTTGCAAAATTTTGATGAGATAATATTTAATGTATTGTTTAATATCCGACTGCTTAGAATTACATTCCCATCTGGAAATTTCATTCTATCATTATTGTATCATTATTCGATGTCAAAACCGAAAGCATTCTTGCTCAACTAAGTCCTTAGATCGATGAAAACGTCGTCATGTCAGATTTTGGCAGCAATTGATTGATTCTTTGACATTTGAAGACCACAAATAGGAGACCACCAGTCACTTTATCGCCATCGGCTTCCCTGGTACTTTTCTCTAATTTTCTTGTTGCTCCCGCGATCATCATATTCTTCGTCCACAATCAAGTGAAAGTTTCCCATTGCATCCACTGACGGTCGTTTACTCCAGCGAGCACTAAAACAAACAATTCATTCAAATTCGACTCCCGGTAAAAATTAACCCTCAAGAATATGATCCAATGAGTGCACAAGCAAGCCTACATTTCTGATACTGAATTGCTCCTTCTCACAAAAGTTAACTTCTCATTATATTTAAGTTCCTTTGAGGTATCAGTCTCAAGTTCTATTATACACACTAAAAGTAAATGGTTTTTCTCTACAAAACTTACTCAGGTATACCGTCAGGTGGAACGACAATAGAAAGAATGTCATCGATTAATTTGCTCTTCAGTATCCGATCGTGAGCGGTTGTAAATGTCAGTGATGGTGATGCATTCACCTGCAACAGATTCAAGTGAAGCAGAGATCAGTACAAACCTTGTCCTTTCCGAAGTCAGGTTACAGGGTTGGAAATTTTTAAGACTGAATTTGTCTTTAGGATTCGTATACAAGTCAATAGTTAGCTACATAAAATCTATTTTTTCAATCATTGATTTTTCTCCTTTGAGAATGGCAGCATTTTATGTAACACTTCTGAAAATACTTGTTTTTTTTGCCCCCAACACTTCAAAGATCAAAAAAAGAAATCTCAGATCATCATCCTCGAACAGGACTGCTAATGAGCTTTCTGTATATTTAATTCAAGGGAAAAAGATCTATCTCTCTCTTCTACCCGAACATTGGGGACAAAATGTATTACTCGCAAAATGAGATCAGAAGAATAATTGCGATAAAGTTAATAAGTGAAGAATAACCTCAATCAGCCAAGGCTTCAACTCCTCATCAATGATAATGTCGTAACCGTAACATTCAAAACAATGGCGGTCATTAGCTATGACAGAGCTAACAGCCTTCAGAGAATGAATAATTAGCCATTTTATGTTGAAGAAGAGGAAGTCTGTTCTAGATTTTCCGTATGTTGTTTCTAAGTATAACTTTAAACTTTCCATGTTCAGTTTACCACTGTGCACATTGTTGTAATCTTCCTGAAACAGAAGAAGTGGTTACATTTAAATGGATCAGGTCCATCTGCGATAGGGTGAATATCAGAACAAGGTTTCCGTTATTTCTTCTTTTTCTAATGCCCTGACTTTTCTCTCTTCACTTTAAGTAAAACTTCAATCTAATTTTTTGGTCTTTTAACCACACTGTTCACTGCTATTTGATAAAAATTTTTACTTCTACAGATCCTAATTATGGTTTTAAGTACTGAGAAGTTGTTTGCTCTCTTGAATAGCAACAATTATAGTTGCTGAGCTGCGACGCCTTCTCTCCAAATTTTCTGACTTTTTATTTGAACTTGACTTACAAAGTCTACAAATTAGACATGACTTATGCATGATTTATGCATTTAATGTGTGCTAGTAACTTGATTTTAGTTAAATCGTTGGCTCAAACCTTCTACTCCTAACTTTTTTAGAAAACGGATTTTTTCAAACTTCAACTCACCCCATTTTTCTGAATCGCATTATTTGTCAGGTGAACAAATACGTTCTCCAAATCTTGATGATTATTGTTGTCATATCGGACTGCACAAAAACGACAGAATCCATGTTTGTACAAGTATGCCTTCAAAGGTCGGTAAATAGTCACTAAAACATACATCCGCAGATCAAACTTTTTGCCGCCTATCAGTAAAGGGTTCTCAATGTACCTGAAATTTAAACGAAAGCTAAAAAATTACCTCCCTCTGCAGACGCACTGCAAGGTGTCTGTTGCAGTTATAGGAACTGTGGGGAATGGCAGGCACTTCTGTGGTTGGTTCAAAAGTCAAGAACAAGTCCGTACTTGCAAATCATAAATTTTAGAATGGCCGAATAGTGTGGAGAAAGACAAAAGTATTTGAACTTCTGTAGACACTCAATACGCTGACAAAATCCTCAGCACTTTGGGGAAAAAACAAATTATATTAGATGGAAAAGTTATTTGTGCAACGAAAATCCCTCTGGTCTGTAGAGTGAACACCAATAAATCAAACAAATACTGTAATTTTATATTACATTGTATATCTGGTGACACTCTCGTAGCATAAGCAGTGTAATGCAGAAGGGAACTCTTTTCCACCGAAACTTGATAGATTTCTTCCAAACTTTGAAAATTCTAAAATCAAAATATATCCTTTTTTTACACCTTGAAATGACGTGCGATTCTTTTCCATTTTGAGGATGAAATGGTGGTTTGCTCTCCTTAGACCAGCGCTTTAGTTTTGATAGTTTATTAATCAAAAATATACCAGCTCCTTGAGATTTCCCGCTGGGTTTGATGATCCATGTGCTGTGTGGATTCTTTCGGAACTCCTCCACAAACATGTTATAATCTGCAAGTTAGAAGGATCAATGATAAATACGTAACCAGCAGATTGATTCTGCCTTTGACTCATAGATAGGAAGGATGTGTCTTCGTTCCTTCGTTATTGGCACTTCTCAGGGATTCAAGAAAATAATTAATTTAATATCATTGGATGCCTTCTCATTCCAGTCAAACAAATTGTTGTGTGGAACATCGCAACTCAAGAATACTCAGTTGGACTACATTTTGCAATTTGGAACTATAAATTCTAGCCCGGTTTAAAAACAACGTATGTGCCACTAGTTACCCTATGCACATAAGTGTTTTTTCAGATGAGCCAGAATTTTTAAGTCCAAATTGCAAAATGCAGTCCAGTATATTATCAGTTGAAAAAGAAATCAAACAAATCATCTTAATCCATTGCATCATAAGACATGTTTTGCTTCTGCGCAATTTTTGTGCTAATGCACAAAATTTGTATTGCAAAATGCAAATTTTTTATTGCTTCATCTGAAAGTGCTTAAAGAGCGGATTTCACAGTATTTTTTCAAATGTTTTTCTGACGTAGGAAATGGTGTAAAAATAGATTTAAAAGTGAGAAAATGCACCACCTAGTGACATCATTTAGCGACCTTTCCCATTTAAACACATGTAATTTAGGAGATTAGATCTTTTGTCATATCTTCTCCAATAATCGTTCAATTCATGAACCAAGGATATCCTCCGATTCAGTTCAATCAGTAGTTTCCACTTAAACACAAAATTCATTAAAGTTCAGACACCTGCAAATTCTCTATTTCACTGAAATCTTATTCCCTACTGAATTTAACACTAAGAAATCTTAAACCATCACCCATTCACATGCAGGAGTGAAAATCTGTGCATTCAAATTAAAATATATGACACCATATTTTGCAGTACTGCTGTGATCTTTACAAGATCCGAACATACGCTCTTGTTGGAGCATCAGTCTTCAAATATTAATTGTTACAAAAAGTGTCCATTTATTTCCAGTGTGATTTATTTGTGATTTTGTTTATCCAGTGTGATTCCTATTTATTTTCCAATGCAAACCGCCTGAGCTGAACACTTCCCCCCTCAGTTTCGTACTGGTGCGCATTAGAGTTCAAAAAAATTTATTTTTGACTCTAATTTTAATTTTTGGAATTTCTTGGCTTTGTTTCCCCGCGAAATGGTGTGGACCCAGCACCATTTCTCCACCTTGTTACATACAGTTCGGGCCACTTCTTAGTGTTTTTTTTTTTCATTTCCAGTGTGATAAAAATAACTCTAAGAAAAATAATTTTACCAGCAGGAAGGATGTAAGTGATGGGAATAATATCCAAATGAGTGTATCTCCCTTGCTTGCTTCTGATGGCTGTTGGATGGCCCTCCCGCTCCAAATCTTTCCTATAACGTTTAATGTTCTTCACCATCAGATCTTTTCTTGTTAGTTCATAATGGTTCGGAAAATGGTTGATACATCTGAAAAATGTTTTCAAATTTCGACTGAAGTGACGCTTATATTAGAGGCTAATTCAAGGGATCCATCAAAATACCGACTTTCATATTCGTTGAAAAGGGGTTAAAAATTAGTACTACGCAGTGCATAATTAGAATCGTAACTATTCAATAAAATGTAATATTGTAACATTTACTTTTTCATATCATGAAAATCTTGTAAAGTAACATGAGAGAAACAAATGCCAAACTAGTCTTTTAATTCCTTGTCGAAGGTAATTGCACCTTTTCTATGAATCATCAGCTAAAGAATACTTTTGTATTGAATTAGCTGTTTTAAGAAGTCTTAAGTACTGATAAAAGGGTTGTTACTTACTGGTTATCATGAAGTCTGTAGCCGCTATCTACACTGAACAAATTTCTGCAAGTCTGAACACTAGCCCTGCAATGGAAATTATAGACTCAGAATTTCACACTTCTCAGAAATATTCTGGACTTTTTCAGAAATCTTTAAGCCATCTGAAAATAAGTGGTGGCTTGTAAATCTCCATTCCTCGTCTGTGCTGATAGCAACTTGAAACCATCATTTTTCCACTTTCCTTTCTTAAATTTTCATGACTCTTACGTAATGGCATCATCAAAGTTTTGCTATGTCATTAGCAAACAGCTATTTATAGCAATTCCTAATGTTAGAATCTATCTAAAAATCAAAAAATTTGAAGAAGGTACCTGCTTCCTTATATTGAAAAAAAAGAAAAAAAAAACCCAGTATTTGGCAATGACCTTTAAAAAGCAATTTTCAAAAACTCTTAAAGAAACTTTTAAAATGTTAATTTTAGGAAATCCTTTTTGGCTACATATTTAATTCTTTAATTGTGAAATTTATGAATCGAGTCTGTTAAAAAAAATACTAATTTTTAACAAGTGTATTAACTTTTTTTTCTGACACTTTGAGTGTTAAAATACTGTATTTTATATTTAAAAGGCTTTTAACCCATTTTTACCTAAATTTTACCCAAAAAGGGTTTCCTAAAACGAACATTCTAATAGTTCCACTAATAGTGGTTGATACATGTACTAGAGTCGTACGGTTGTGATTTGTAAGTAACTTCTTCAGAATTAAATGCATTATTCACAGTTACAGAATTGACTTACCAATAGATGTTCCAATCATCATCTGGGTTGACTCGAACCCATCCTCGCTTATCAAAATTAACAGTTAAAACTAATTTTTCAAGGTCTGTGCAGTAAGAAACTCGTGACTTCATTGAAGTTGAAGTTCCCCTAAAACAAATTTATGACCAGGACTTGGTGTTAGAATTTTTCCTCCAAAAAAATTAAATTCCTCTAAAATAAAAAAAATAATTTAAAAAAAATTCCTATTAAAAAATTAAATAGCGGAAATTTTAAGACACCACAATGGAGCTACGATGTTCCCACACTTTTACCATCGAAATATTACCTTTAAAGTTGACCAAATTTTCCTGAAGGTAAGTTTATTGAGTTAATGATTCAATTGGCGTAATCCACTTAAGTGGCAGCACGCAGCATGTTGCCCCCTTCTTGGGCCGATGTTTACCATCTGAAGATAAATGGCTAGAACATTAAAATTACCTTACATTCAGTGAATTTTCTCCCAGAGAAAACTGTTTCCTTGTCTCTGATCCATTAGAGGCCATCACCAACACTGGCTGCCTTATCACTATGATCTCAAACCAGCTGATAAACAAATGATGTTGCCAAGGTTACGCAAGCCTGGATCCAGTGCGGATTCAGCACTGAATGCAAGCAGGTCAATTCGTACGAAGCCTTAACAATTCAAAATTGTCATAACTATATCAGTCCTTAAAAAGTCTCTACTGCTGCCGGGATTTCCTCAAATTGTAAGCAGCCTCCCCCTCCCCCCCCCACCCACCCATCATGAAACCGAGATCTGCATTATAACGAAACGGTTTCCATTCCATTACTTCCGTCCTGATTGGAGAATCATTACTCTTTAAAAAGAGGAAATAAAATGCCTATCCTCTCAAGATTTGTCAGACCCAATTCAGCCTTATCTCCAAAAAATGGTCCCCCTCCACTTAGCCAAATGCTACTTAATTTTGCCCTGTCTGAATCGAGTTAAAATCGAAAGTTGTCCGATCGAGCCGAAAGCAAGCTAGTCCGCTAGGAAATGACCCGCTGCGTACGATTTTCTGGTCGGAAAAGCTCCACAAGTCCGCTGGACCGCGCTACCGACGAAAAACGCACTTTTGCAATGGGGCCAGAAACACTCCTTTTTAGCCGTTTCTCGGCTCAGAGAGCTCCGGCGAGTCTCGGGACCGGGCGCAATCGATTCTACGCCTCGAACTACGTGTGACTCGACACTAATCTCGAATTTTTTGCCCCTTTCAAAATCGAGAAAATGGACAGGGGTTAGGTACAAGGACTAAATTTTTAGGGTCAAAATTGAAAGTTTGCCGATCGGGCCGAAACCAAGAAAGCTTGCTATAGTATTCGATTCAAGCAGAAATATGCACAAATTTACCGTCGAGAAAAATTTTTTGTGAATCAATAAGGAAAATATTGCTTGTTTCAAGAAGAAAAGATGCTCATATAAAAAGAATAACGTCACTTACATCAAGCAGAAACCCACTTTCATTCAGCTTATTTATTCTTGATTCAAAATCAAATCTTCTTGACGGCATACTCAAAAATATTTCAGCCAAAATTGAGTTACTTTTTTCTCTACTAAAATTTAAAAATTATGCTAAAAGTTATTAAATACGGATGCTAGGACTTACTGAGTTTTTGAACTAACGCGCTCTCTTTTTTTGCTGCAGTATCTTGATTTATTTTGGAGGATAAGGGATTAAGGAAGCTTTATACTCTTAAAGGATGCCTGTCATTCTTAATATGTTGGAGCGCCTTCAATTTCGTACGATACTGTGCAATACCTCTGGTGTGAAATAGTTGCTTGAGGCGCAGTGGCACGCTGCGGCGCGGCGGTCGGCCAACCAACAGCGTGAAACGTGCATTCGCGCCTACAAACCTAACAGGGATACTTTACGCATTGCGCAATGCGTGAAGTATCCCTGTTAGGTTTGAAAGCGCCATTGCATAGTGCGTGAAGTATCCCTGTTAGGTTTGTAGGCTCCAAGGGGCGTTCCGCGCTGGCAGCCTGCCGCTCGGCTCTGTGTTAGGTTATAATATTTTAACTTGTCAGCGTTTTTCAATTCATGATTTTGAAATGTTTGCACACTCTGCATGGATTATTCTCATTTTAAACGATAGGGGGAAAAAATTCGTATGAAAGGAAAATACAATGTGTGTTTGGTAAATAGCAAGGTGGCTCCGTCTTAAATCTAATGATTTCCAAAGCACTTTAATTTTTTTCTTTTATATTTTGTGCTTTTACTGTGCTGCAGCGTATTAGTTCAGGCGACTGATAAGTCTACCTGAAATTTTGGGTACACAGCGATTTTTTTGGCTTACTTCATGTTTTTTGGGTCGCTGAATCCGAATCTGAAGTTTCCTACCACGTATCTGGTGAGCATTTTTCGCCATTTTGAAAAAATTGCCTAAAAAGGATTTTTTTGCGGTTTTTTTACATAGCGGCTACGAATGAGGAAAAGTCCCGGATTTAGTTAATGTTTTGAATACCTGAAACAATTTGGAAGAAAATGGTTATGAATATGCGAGGTTTTGCTCAAAAATTGAGGAACCACGGATCTCGGAACCTTGGAACGCTTCGGAACTTGGCTGACCGCGGCGAGCCGGATCGCGCGTTGACGGGTGCGCCACGAAAACGTGAATGGGCGCGATGTTCACGATGCTGTATCTTCCTCAATTTTTAAGCAAACCTAGCATATGTATACACCATTTTCTTCCAAATTGTGTCAGCTATTCAAAACATGAACTAAATCCAAATAAAAGTATCCATTACAATCAAATATCCATCCGTAAAAATTATCCATTTGCTAGATACTGGCTTATAGCATGAGCGCCTTACAATAGGCGGTCAAAACTGCAGTACGGGCAAAGGAATAACCCAAAATGGCCAGCGGGAAAGCTGCTTCAATATTAATCTTCCATCGCCTTGCTAAGGCGCAGGGATACAACTATTTAAACTCTCCGGAACGCGTGAGGTATCACGCCTCAATTGAAGGCGTTTTCGAATCTGCTGTATTTACATGACGATATTTTCCAAATTGTTTTGCATTGTATTTTAGATTTGAGTACCCTTTATTATTCAGTTAAATTTCTCCTACTTCTTAATTTTCGATTTTTCTGCAAAAATTATGAATTTACGAAAAACAATCCTGGTTTTAGCGCCCTTAAAATACTGCCTAAACGGTCGAAACTGCAGTAGTTGCACAGGAAAACCGAGAAACCACGTGGAGACGCTACTTCAATATTAAGCTACCATCGCCTTCCTAAGGCGCAGGGATACAACTATTCGAACTCTCCGGAACGCGTAAGGTATCACACCTCAATTGAAGGCGTTTTCGAATCTTCTGTATTTACATAACGAGATTTTCCAAATCGTTTTGCATTATATTTTAGATTCGATTACCCTTTATTATTTAGTTAAATTACTCCTGCTTCTTATTTTTAATTATTCTGCAAAAATTTTCCATTCGCGAAACACAACCCTGACTTTTGCGCCCTTAAACTACGGCCTTAACTGTCGAAACTGCAGTAGCGGCACAGGAAAACCGAGAAACCAAGCGGTGACGCTACATCAATATGAAGCTTCCATCGCCTTGCTAAGGCGCAGGGATACAACTATTTGGACTACATTTTGCAATTTGGAACTATAGATTTTGGCTCCTCTGGAAAAACACTTATGTGCATGGGGAAACTAATGGCACATACGTTGTTTTTAAACCGGGCTGGAATTTATAGTTCCAAATTGCAAAATGAGGTACATTTGAACTCTCCGGAACGCGTGAGGTAAGACGCCTCAATAGAAGGCGTTTTCGAATCTTCTGTATTTACATGACGAGATTTTCCAAATAGTTTTGTAGTATATTGTAGATTTGAGTTCCTTTTATTATTCAGTTAAATTACTCCTGCTTCTTAATTTTCAATTTTTGTGCAGAAATTATGAATTTGTGATGTACAATCCCGTCTTTAGCGCCCTTAAACAACGGCCTTAACTGTCGAAACTGCAGTAGCGGCACAGGAAAATCGAGAAACCAAGCGGTGACGCTACTTCAATATTAAGCTTCCATCGCCTTCCTAAGGCGCAGGGATACAACTATTTGAACTCTCCGGAACGCGTGAGGTATCACGCCTCAACTGAAGGCGTTTTCGAATCTTCTGTATTTACATGACGAGATTTTCCAAATTGGTTTGCATTATATTTTAGATTTGATTACCCTTTATTATTTAGTTAAAATACTCCTTATCATGGAACCTTCTCATCATCTCATTACATCTCTTCAATGAGAAACAATCGATTCATCGATTCATCAACATCGGATGTCCGTATTGCGTTCAAAAAATTGAAGACGTTTTGACTTCCTACGCACAATACCTGTAGTTGATTCGATCGACAAACGCGTTGGTCTGCGGTGACGGGGACTTGATGCGATTATTTAAGCTTGTTGGATGTCCGTATCGGTCCGACTGAAGTGCGAAACCACGTATCTCCATTGCGGTGTTTCAAAATTTCCGTTCTTAATTCATCTCTTCCATGAGAAACAATCCAAATTTACGACTTTAAATTTGGAACCAAATCTGCTGCTATCGAATACGAAAAATCATGGAGAATTTAAGTCTCATGTTGACCAGCTTCTCGAAAGAAAAGTAAAATTTCTAAGGAAGTCTGCAACGTCGCAAATGGAGAGACGTCGTCTCTCACTTTGCCCGAAAATACGTATGTATAAAATTGAAGGCATTATGACTGGCCTCTCTCAACGTATATTCGTCTGTAACGATAAACAATGGGACGCGCTTGCTACGGCGCCTTGATACAACTATACAATCTCGACGGATGTCCGTATTGCGTTCAAACAATTGAAGGCGTTTTGACTTCCTACGCATAATACCTGTAGTTGATTCGATCGACAAACGCGTTGGTCGGCGTTGACGGGGACTTGATGCGACTATTTAAGCTTGTTGGATGTCCGCGTAGGCGGTTCTACGGGGGTGCCAGTGGGTGCCAGGCACCCCCAAGCAAAAATTAAGTAAGGTTATCGGAACCGTGAAATAACTGCTTTTAAAGATTCTGTATTCGCTCATTCTGAGAAAAAATCCCAGCAATTAATTGAAAATGCTTTAAACAGAATTAAAATTGATAGCCGTGTTTTACTAAGATTCCACTGTTTTTTAAGGTAAGATTGTAGTTTTGAAGGAAAGTTTTGCTAAAAATTTTCTAAATTAAATTTACAGGTATTTTAGTGGAGAGGAAGGAGAGAAAAAGAGAAAGGAGGGTAGGGAAGGGATAAAACTTGAAGGCAGAAACTTAGGCCTCCCCTGAGCGTCCGTCCCGTCTGGAGCCGGTCTCTGACATTTTCTACCTCTGGGCACCCCCAAGAATGAAGGTCTAGAACCGCCTATGGATGTCCGTATGGGTCCGACTCAAGTTCGAAACCACGTATCTTCATTGCGGTGTTTCAAAATTTCCGTTCTTAATTCATCTCTTCCATGAGAAACAATCCAAATTTACGACTTTAAATTTGGAACCAAATCTGCTGCTATCGAATACGAAAAATCATGGAGAATTTAAGTTTCATGTTGACCAGCTTGTCGAAAGAAAAGTAAAATTTCTAAGGAAGTCTGCAACGTCGCAAATGGAGAGACTTCAAGTTTTTTGGGTCGCTGAATCCGAATCTGAAGTTTCCTACTGCGTATGTGGTGAGCATTATCCGCTATGTTGAAAAAATTGCCTAAAAAGGCCTTTTTTTGCGGTTTTTTTTCCTTATATAGCGGCTAGGCATGAGAAAAAGTCCCGGATTTAGTTAATGTTTTGAATAGCTGAAATAGTTTGGAAGAAAATGGTTATGAATATGCTAGGTTTGTTCAAAAATTGAGGAACCACGGATCTCGGAACTTTAGAACGCCTCGGAACTTGGCTGACCGCGGCGAGCCGGATCGCGCGTTGACGGGTGCGCCGCGAAAACGTGAATGGGCGCGATGTTCACGATGCCGTATCTTCCTCAATTTTTAAGCAAACCTAGCATATGTATACACCATTTTCTTCCATATTTTGTCAGATATTCAAAACATTACCTAACTAAATCCGGGACTTTCTCTCATGCGTAGCCGCTATACATCCAAAAAACCGCAAAAAAAGGCCTTTTTAGGCCATTTTTGGCGGAAAATGCTCACCAGATTCGCGGTAGAAAACTTCAGATTGAGATTCAGCGACCCAAAAAAACATAATGTAAGCCAAAAAAATCGCTGTGTACCCTAAATTCCAGGTAGCCTCATTTTTAGCTACCAGACGCCTGGACTAGGTGTACCTACATCCAAACTCTCAAAAGTGGACGTATGTGACCCTAAAAGATTGATGTACAAATGGGTTAACACCAAAAATTGCATGCTTTCTAGGTTTTTCCCCTCTATAATTCATTTTTGTCTAGTTTTTTTCAACAGAACTGCGGCACATTGAGATTAATATCAATGCCATTGCTTGGAAAAGGTTTTACAAATATTTGCCACGTTTTAAAAATGTAAATGTTTTTCAATGAAGTAATATTTTCATTGAAAAGAAAAAAATATATACATATCGACGGTGCAAGTCGGCAATCACATAACTCGGTTTGCGACGTCGCAGACTTCCTGTCATACTTTATTTTTTAAATGGAAAACTACTCAACGGCAATTCTTTAAAACTGTCATGATTTTTCTTCTCAATGCGAAGAAAATTCTGCAAAAACTTCAAGAAATAATGTCAATTTGCTCTCCTTTAAAAAAATGACGTAGAGGCGGAAATTTTCAGACACCGCTAACGAGTTATGTGATTGCCGACTCGACTTTCACCGTCGATATATATTTACACATGTATAAGGTACATTTTATTTTAAGGTTAGAAATAAAACCAAATATTCCCCCACGACAATTTGAAAATATTAATCAAAAGAAGAAAGTAACATTTCATTCATAAAATGAGTCACCGTAACAACATCCCCTTCTCTCTCAATGTTCTCATTTCGATATTGTCAAAATAATTTTACATACAGACTAAAATATAACGCTTGGACCAAGTCACTGTTGCTTATTTTACACATGGACGTAAACTCCTGGACAAAACAGGGGCACGGAATGTCCTGAAAACTCTTGTTCCACCATGACCCCTCAATTTGAATATTTTTTTAATGAGAAAAAATATTAGAGACCAGGAGATCTCTTTTCATTATCCCATTTCCTGATTCTTAACATTTTAAGGTTTTTAGAGAATAAGAACAAACTTTTGGGAATAAATATTTAATGTAATTAGAGAACAGTAACAAAAATTGACAATTTTTTAAAGAAACATTTTAGCACTGCTAATAAGAAAAAAGACCAGTGCTGTTCATGAAGTTATCAGTGAGTATTCCTAGAGTTTTTCCAGAGAAAAAGAAGAGAAGTGCTATGGAACTACAGCAAAAGCTGATAATTCTCACAGAGTATGGACACGGTAAATAATAATTACCCACCTTATAGTGGTTTCAACTTTTAAAGTCATGTTTACTAGTAAAAATGTTACAGAAAACACAAAGGACAGATTGAAATAATCAAAATTCACAGTTCAATCATTAATAAGAAAGTGTATTTATAGTTCTCGGTAATTCTTTTTTTCTACCTGCCAAAAAGCCGAAGTCCACTTCCGTTAAATCAGCTATTGCATACATTGTGGCTTGCTTTCCAAGTAAATAATTTTTTTCTGAATTTATCTGTGTTGTGGATGGTGCATCTTGAGTTAAACTTGCTTAGAAAAGATTAGAAGTTTTTGTAGAACCAAACTCTGGTTAATAGCAGAAACTTTATTAGTTTTCAATGTCCGATACACCTATAGTTTATTGTGTAACAAGGTGGAGAAAGAAAGAAATAATTTTAGTGTTTTTTCTCGTTTGGTTTTTTGCTGTGAGCGAAGAGCTTAAATTTATTGATTATGAATAAATTGTTGAACTATGAACACTATTAATTTCTCACTTATGGGTTAATTTTGGACATTTTATGTACGTCCAACATGTTCCTCATGAATTTTTAATCTGGGAACACATCTTCAGGCCCTTTAATTCTTACTTTGTCCGGAATCCATGGCGCATTTTCTAACTTCCCGACATGGTAAACTTACAAGCTAGATAGTTCTTGTGTTTAGGGAGAAAAAAAAAAAAAAAAAAAAAAAAAAAAAAAAAAAACACTTGAATAAGGAACATACTTAGGCCAAGGGACAAGACCTGAGTTGTGGACTCCTGATACTTCTCATTTGACTTTATGGTAAACTATCCATTGTCGAGGTGGACACCTTGAAAATCGATCCTTTCCCATAGGTTTAAATGACAAATCAATCAAGTCATCGCAAAGGACTACATGTTACTGATTTAGCCAGTTTTAAAGCTTCCATACTTATGACAATCGGATCAAACTGTATTAAGAGTATGTATTTGACTAGTACAGAGTTCTAAAAGGTAAAAATAAATTGAAATTGATAATTTACATTTGTAGAGGTAATTTTTTTAAAAGTAAACCTGTGACCAGGTTACGAAAATCATAACGTCCAATACAAAAAATCATAACCTGTGGAAATTTTATTCGTACAATCACAAATGTACGTTGCTGACTAGTATAATGTAGAGCATTACCCAATCCTGAATTTTATGACTGAGTCTCTTGGGTCCAGTCACAATTTCGTTGAAGGCATAATCCTTCTCCACTTAGAGGGCAGCTTTATTATCAGCAGGTGTTCACGACAGAAGCAAGCATGCATGTTTGTTGATTCAAATGGGCTGTTCAGATTACCATTTGATACCCTCAACCTCATAACACTGGTCACAGATTTGTGCTTAGTAAATTTGGCACAATTTGGCCATTTTTTGGCTCATTTTTTTAAAATGGTGAGCTACCGCAGTTATTTTCCAAACTCAACAAGTCCTGTGGGAGGTTCTTGAACTAGGCAGCCACTGCAGTGCTTCCTTGATCATCCTGAAACACCAAATTTTAAAATTGTTGACACAGGGGTTTTCAGAATTTTACTTGTTACACTTACTCACATTTCTTTCCCAAAATTTTGTTGATTGTTTTGTTTTTCCGTTAGACAGAATAATTATGCAAAGAATGAAATGACAGCCAATCTTTGAAAAAAAGAATCTAAATCAGTTGTACTGGGAAGGTCTCATCTTGTATCGAACAAACAAAACCAAAAATATTGTTATGAAGCAGTATTCCAAGTCATTGCCCCTTGACTTACTTTTAAAATGGAGAATCGACAAATATTGTTTAAATAACAGTTTAGAACAGCCTAGAAATATTGTATCACAGAACGATACTATGAAATGCTTAACTGTGAAAATGATGTGATGTGCAGAACTCTGCTGTTTCTGCTGTGACACTTCAAATTAAGGAGCTTTCCAGAAAAAGGGCCCACGACGAAAAATCTCGTTTGAGGAAAATGCGTTTGAAGTTTCTGCAATGCCTTTCTGGCTGCTGATGGTGACTTACATTGGAGCATGGACTCCCAATACCGATATAAGTTACCGTTAGTAGCCAGAGAGTATAAATAAAAACTTCAGATGCATTCTCCCAAACACGATTTTTCGATACAAACCTTTTTTCCAGAAAGCTCCTCAAATTGTGATAGTCAGGACCTTCGTTTGGTTTCTCTTACTTCATGATGACTGTTAACTGAAAATGTTGAGCGTTTCCAATGTTTAGTTTTCAGTCAGAAAATAAATAAAGCAGAGAGCTGAAAAACTCACTTTTGAGTTTACGTCTGTGCGTAGGTAGCTAAAATAAGTCAATACGCAAGAATCTTTGTTTGACTTTCAATAATCAAACCCCACGAACCTTTTCATGCTTGAATACAATAAGTCCTGTAAATAAATGAAAAATAAAATTTAGCACTTACAAAATCAGTCTGTGGTGCAATTTTGAAAGAAGAGCATGGAGAACAGCTCATTTTACTGATTCCATGATTATCAGCAAAACATTCACAAGACTGACAACTGCTAGGCATAGCAGACTGCGCGACTCTTTTAGCAAACACGCCAACAAATTTTTTGACCACATTCATGTTGTCCGATTCTAGCTTCTTGGCGGTGAATAAGGTTCCTGGAAAGAAAAGACTCAATCTTTAATAATCGTATGAAATAAGGTTGGTTTTCTGGGAGAAACAAAAATTCAGGGTTTCAACTCTACAAGATTTGATTCCTATTGTTCGACTCTCCGATGTTATTAGTTTTATGTTCGGAATTGCCTTAAATTTTACTTTTTTGTGTTCTTCCCAATGAGGTGCCACTCAATAGGGGTTTCTGTTTCAGATTTTCAAGTTGCCCCGAGTCCCTAGGCACAGTCTCCCCCCCCCCCCCCAATGATTCTCACTTTTGTTTTGAAAAGTTTCACCCCAATCGCACATCAATATCTGCGACTGTCCCCAAACAACAAGTATCCTAAATATTTGGCTACCTTGTATCCAAATTTTGAACATGGATAATACTGGCTGAAACAGGCCACTTTTAAGTTGGAAGTCAATGTTAGATGGAAAAGAAGCTGATCAGAGTTAAAAAAGTACATGTCATTTATAGATTGTGAGAGAAGTGGGACTTCAAAATTATTAACAAATTATAAGAGAAAATCATCAGAAGCTTACCATTTGTCTCAAGCGCGAGAGGGATACAATAGCCCAGAACCGATTTCGACAGTTTCACTTGGCGTTTGAGATCCACTTCGCCTTTCAGCTGTTTGAAATCATTTTTGGTGTAGGCTGTGAACGCATCCAAACCTGAGAAACAGAATTTTTTTTTTATCTTACTGATATCAGAAAGAGAACTTTACTCTCTAAAAGAGAGAGATCATGGTAGAATCATGACTCAAACTTCACTGTTCAACGAAATAAAATCATCAGACACTGGTTCCCTGATGTCAAAAAAGGTCCAAGAACCATTCCACGTTTTCTTGCAGCTTAATGGTCAGAGAAATAATATAGAGTCATAAATCTATTCTTTCTCACTTGTGACTATGTGACATACAGCAGTCGCATGATTACAGGGAAAAAAGGTTAAAAATAGATGGACGTAAATAGTCTTAAATAAAAATGAAATTTTACTCACCATAAAAGATTTTATTTACTTTTGATTTTTCTAGATTAAAGTCTTGATCCATTAACACATGCAGGGTGATTCCCAGATCAGAGAGAGCCTGATGAATGACAGAATGGTCAAGCTGCAAACATAATGGCAAAACTTTTTAATTGTACATACTATAAATGGTAGAGATGGTTAAAGAATAAAAGAACAAGGATGTATGCATAAAATGCTGTGATCCGATTCTTGGAATGCAGTGTAATTTTTCATGGGAAACAAGTACAATTTTTCATTTTGATAATTTTTTTTTTCTTTTCTTTTCGATGAGAGAAAAAAAAGTTCATATTTCGATTAGAGCAATTAAAATATAGATTAAGATTTTCATGAATAGTATCAATACATTTTCGGAAATTACAAAGCCAGCATAAACTTTTAATTTTTGTAAGAAAATTAAAAAATTATAGGAGCCAGAACTTCAAATTTGAAAATTTCAAAGCACATCAAAAGGCGAAGGCCCGAATAAATTTGATTTTAGACTTTTAAAGAGAGCCTAATCATTGCTCGAAATTTCGTCTGTAGAATTTGATTAAAGCAAACTAATTTATCTTACCCTCATATCGCTAGGGTTGCAAGAGGAGCAGGGAAGCAGGATAAAAACTTTGGACGCTCCTGGACGGAAAAACATTTTAGAAGCAAATAAGAGAGCTTCATAGATATCAGAGCTTCCATTACCTGTAAATTAGGAAATAAATAACAATAATAGTTCGCAAAATAAATTACAACCTGGATGTTGGATTAAGAATATCTTATGAAGAAGAATTTATGAGAATTGGTCTGTTCACCCAAAACAAATTATTTATAATTATTGACCTTATCCAAAAACAACATTAAATACTCATCAACTCATCTATTCAACGCATTGCCTCTGCATTAAATATTTACACATGTGCACTACTTCCTGCTCCGCCCTTGTAAGTAATCAAATAATGAATTTGTCCTGTACCAAGACCATCTGTGTTCTGAAATGCACCGACCATTAAAATAAAAAATCAAGTTTACTTGGGGAGGTCGAATTCAGATTGTGAAAGTTCATAAGAGGAAATTCATGTCAGCGAAAAAAAAATTGACGAACTAAGACATTCTCGAAGGTTCAGGATTATTTCACAGTTTGGTTTTAAAAACTTAGACAAAAAACTGAGAGGGCTGAAAACCGAGGACGGTAAATGTTAAGATTGCTTCATGTGTCAATGTCTTTAGGGCTAATTTAGAATTTCGACCATGAGACATACAAATTTCCACATTGCATAACAAAGAGAATCAAAATGCTCTAAATACTTTTGAGAACGGCAAATACAGTTGTCTGCCGAAGCTTTTAGCGTTTTTTTTCCCCATCACTTGAAGGTGGTTCCAGAAATTTACCTGTAGGGATGCTTGCAACATGGGGCAAGACAGCAGATGGTGACTCAGTGAAGACATCGTCATTTATGATGATGTTGCGAGGTTTGCTGTAAACACCATTGCCTCCAAAAACAACAACTGAAAACCTACACAAAATTGAGAGATAAGAGTTAATAAAATTGATACAATTTACAATGGACACGTCATTACAAATGAATGTATGAACCTTTCACAAATTTGAACTGCAAAATCAGGCAATCTTCTACTTTTTGTTCTTTTTCTTTTATCCTGTATCTTGACAATTAATCCTATTACTTTGCTTTGAAGTTAACGTTGCTTTTTAATAACAGTGGACAAAAGGCCCTGCTAAAATGATTCTACTCAGGAGTAAAAACCCATTTTAAACCATAGTCAGTTTCATCTCTTGCATACATCCCTGCAGTTTTTATGCCGATGTAAAGGAAGCAGGTCATGTAAAAATTACCTATTGTTTCTTATTCCACATTCTTGCAATTCTTTCTCCAGCGTATTCAGTAAAGAGCCAATACTCTTGCGTTCTGTGATCAGTTTGTTACACTCTTTAGCCTCGATGATGAGGATAACATCTGCTGATTTGGGGATCTCATCTGCTTTTAAGTTTATCAGGTCACCTTCAGTTAGTGTGGAATTGTTCGGCAAGATACATCTAAATAGAAGAAAGACAAAAAGAACACACAAAAAGTTCAGTCATTTTAGCTGATTTAAGGGCAAATGATATACATCACTGTTTAAAATTTTAGTTTCAGTTTTTAGATAATGATATTTACATGAGAGAAGTACGCATCTTTATAGCTAGAGATATTGGTTCTGGGATAAGAATTTATATCTAATTGAAAAAGATTATTCAGTTCTCTTGTAGCGCTTTTGTGTTAAGCATTATTCAGACCATTCAATTTTTCATCCGACAAAAAGTTGACTGGAAAGTACACTGCAAAAAAAATAATTCGATATTGTCATAACATCGGACATCAAATATTTATGTCAGTTTTCAGTTTGCGGTGATACTGCTTCAATTTCAAAGAGAAACAAACCGATTTCACAGCTTGAAAGTTACAGATTATTCTGCTAACTGAGAAAAAAAATTAAGAAATCACGTCGACTAGTTTTCTAAGGCAAAATAAAGTATGATAGGAAGTCTGCAACATTGCGAACGGAGATACATAATTCCGCACTTTTGACATTGTTATGCTCTATTTACTCTACATAATATTTTTTTTTCTCTCTCTCCTTCTTGTTTGTTTCTTTGTGGACAGAGACGAGATATAAACTACAGAAATCTGATCAATTCTTACCTGACACAATCATGTGGGAGCTGCAATGGCGAATTTTCCATGGCACACGCTTTGGCGTACGTCACAGCTGAGGTGCAGTACTCTGTTTCTTCTCCTGAGCTGATTTGCCTACACATTTCATTATAAGGGTGTGGATCAACAACAGAGAAACACGAAGCAAACCCAGATGCTTTACTGCGGAAGAGAGAATCGCAAAGAGCGACCAGCTCAACAGGCTGATACTTTTTCCGTGCTGAGGAGAACATCGGAAGACAGATATCGCTACCAGAGTTAATAGACCAACTTTGTGTGAATAAGTTAACATCTTTTGCCACAGTTTCCTCGGAAGTCATGAAGTCTGTAAACTGCTCGTTATCCATGGTGCCTAGTAAACCAGCTGTCTTACCATGGAACCAGCCAGATAATTGGAGCAAACAAATATCAAATTTAAGATTACATTCCAGGCTAAAACCTCTGCTGCTATCGACAATCACCCTACTATTTTCTTGATAGATGGCTAGACCATTAATTTGAGTGGGCATTTGTTTCAAATTCATATCTGAAATGTCTACTGCATCTCTGTAGAGATCAATTGTGATTGTTCGACCCTCCGTGATTAGGGTTAGCATGTAGTAGTTCTTCGGAGCAGTGCGATCATACTGAAGAACTAGGGCGAACTCATTGTTCAAAAAGTCCTTTGCTAAGAGATAGCTGCACATTCCTCGGAATTCATACAGTTTATGGTCCAAAGTAAGGAAATGCCTTGGTCCTGCTATGATTGCATAAGATTTGAATGGAGGAAGCCAGTTACTTGGGTCTAAATATGGCGAGCACTTGTTGTATAAACTCCAAAATGAAATGTTAGATGGAGTGAAGAATTTCTGAACATTGACAAATGCTCTATATTCAGCAACATATTCAAAATTAGGAGTTTCGTTGAAAGCATGCCATGGCATAGGCAACTTTTGAGTTAGCTCAATCACACCATTCTCAGGGTCAAAAATGAATTTTGTTTTTGTCTTGTGATTCATAAGCTCGTTTTGCAGTGAGGTGTGGAGGTAATCATTCATTTTTCGGTAAAGGAGAGGAACGGCTTGCTGTAATTTTTGACTGATTTGGAAGTAATCGTAAACCCACATTATTTGGGAGTATACCATTTGAACGTTTTCAACAGCAAACGTAATAACTGGAAGTTTATACAACTCTTTCAATTCCGTGCCTATTTCCAGAGCAATTGCATTTAGCTCATTGCCAAAAGGTACAAGTGAGAAGTAACGATCTTTTAACAAGCGGAGGAGTATTCCGGTGTATTTTTTAAAGTTGAATACTATATCATTCTTTGTCAGATCCTTGTAAAATGCATCCAGTTCCATAGACAAGTTTGAATTTTTGGCAAAAATTGTTGAATTCAATAATTCAAGGCGCTTCTCGTAAATGAATTCTATGATCTGTTTACAAGTGTTCCAAACAACAGTTTCAAGATGGTGAACCACCTGAATGAACATTGGCTCCACGTTTCGCAGGAATCTGTGCCAATAGTCCACCATCACCGAACCCGTCTCACTCCACAAACGCTCAATATACATTAAAAACGAAACGTGCATATCCTTGATCATCTTATCATACTTAATCATAACCTTTGATGCAAAATCAGAGATCTGATTCAGAGTGTCGCCTTTTAAGAAATTTCGAATCACTTCGGCAAACTTTTCATAAATTCTTTTGGACGTCTCAACAATCCAAAGAATGGACTTCCGAATTGTCTGTCCAGTTTCTCCCATAATTTCCCAAAGCTCATTGAATATTTTGGGCAAAGAGTTGAGTTGGTCTTTGAACAACATCTCCTCCGCAAGTACAAGGTAGAAAGTGTGGATATCTTTCATGAAAAACTCATTTGCATTGTACGAGTCATTCAATTGTTTTTTGAAATAATTTATATCATCTTGCAAGACTTTCAAATTACCAATGTCATCGATAAAATCTTGGACAATAGGTTTGGCATCAAACCAAATATCAGCGACGGAATCTGCGATCTCTGACTTAATGTAGGATGTCCAAAATTCTGATGTTTCATGCACATAATCCCAAACATAGGATACAAGTCCGTAGCAAGAGGCCAGAATTTCGTTTTGATTTTCAGGACGCCAGATTATAGCTGACGACAAAAGGCGAGAATGATTAAGCGCCACGTAAAATTTCAGGTCGGATATGACTAGATCATCATAGACCCTCCATACATCAAGCATCACATTCCGATTGTCGCCCATGGTGCCTTCCATCAGCAACCTCTCCGATTCGTCTGGAGTGAGGTTGACCATCATGTTGGTGTACTTTTTCTCGGGGTTTAAGTATAGGAATCCTACAACTTTCACATTTTTGTCTTTGATCATGGATATATTCACAAGGTGTGCTCCGCTAATTTTCCCATAAGCTCCTTTCATATGGGCAACACTTCTCAAGGAATGCCTCTGGAACTCCACCTCATTCTTCTTCCAGTTTACCAACGCTCTTGAATCCCAATACTGTGTTGGCAGATACGATCTTTTATAAGAGATGTTCTCAGCAACATCGTATTTTTCGTTGTTCAACGACATCAAACCGAGTAAGTCAAATTTGAACCTTGTTGCCGGATGCTTTCCGTTGAAAGTTAGCGAATAGTCATAGCCACTTGATGATGAGTTGTCCAATAAGTTTCCGAGAATTTCGACTTTCTTGTTGCGGTCTAAGGAGTATTCGAGTACCAACTTTAAGTCTGCTTGTGAATAGTTGTACTGCACATAATTTCCGGTTAGTGTTATGTTCTTTTTGAGGGAGGGATGGGTGATCATGACGACTGCTTGATGATGATCAGCAGATGTACTCATACGTTTCCAAGTTAGTCCTGTTCCTACTGTCTTGGCGCTGTATATTGTGTCCGAGTTCACCGTTAACTGAGAGTTGAGGAATGAGTCCCCGAGGATCAAGTCCCCTATCAGAGTGATATTTCTGAGAGGATAAGTCAATTTGAATTCTACCTCCTTGCCAAACCAAGTCTGAAAAAATCAATATGGAATTAGATATGAGGAGACCATATTTCCGTGGACAAAGTAATTGACATGGATTCTTTAAAAACAAAAAAAACCTACGTGAGTGCGGATAATTATTGTCAAACGTTGGATTTACTAGTTTTGTCAAAATGTGTAAGGCGTTCTCACATGCGTAAGATTTTGATAGTGTTCTAGGTTTCCACAGATTTTTGACACAAGAGGCATCAGGTAATTTCAGCAAGAATACTCTCAGAGTTGCACAAGCCTATTAACTAGAATCTCCTTTCCTTGGAATAAAAAACTAATCTCAACTGACAACTTTGAACTTTCAACACACAAAAACTTACCGTCTCTTTGTTGCTCAATTTCACTTCATATCCAGCCCATAATTCATTCCTCAGTGTCAGGAACGTTCTATGCTCGTAGTGATAATCTTTGCCCAGGTATGACTGCATTACAAGACTTCGCTTTGCATTCATTACTAGGGAAACAAAAACGAAATAAAGTGTAATTAATTAGTAGTCATCATCGATAATGAATGTCAGCCTTTAAATAAGTGATTTCTTGAGACTTAATTATTGATTAGATAAAATAGAGGTATCAGGATTGGGGGTTAAATATTTTGAACTGAGGCAGCTAACTAGTTTGTTTTCATTAAGATATTGTATGCTTCAATTTAAACTTGAAAATTCACAAAAACAATAAAAATTTAATGGCTACTGCTGTTTAATTGTTGAAATTTCTTCCAAATGTCTTTGACATTTTGAAATGATAACTTTAATTTTTAGTTTAAAAGCATTATGATTACTTACATTTGAAGCTGTCAAGTCTTCCAGTCGCATTCTGGTTAACCAACACCTCTCCTGTAAGATTGAATGCCGTTCTGTTATGCAGCTTGTAGAACTCCATCCTCTTAAAATTGACAAAAGTGTCCTTCACTTTCAAATTTGGCTGGCTATGCTGACCAAGGTATCCAATTCCAATTGGAACAAAATAGTTGTCCAAAGACAGGTTCACGATATCTTCCCGGAAATGAGGTCCAAAATATGTTTCTCGAGAGACTTTGGAGTCTATGATTTTTTCATTGTTGAAAATCACTGTAGAGAACCCGCTCAGCTTCTTTCCAGAATCCTTTAAAAATAAATGCGGAATGCTTTAGAATAAATCGGTAAAATCCGATGCATTAATCCAAATAATGTGGATTGATAAGCTCCTCTAAGAATGGTAGAAGTAATCTTTGGGAGCTCTCTCCATCTTCTTAGACTCGACTTTAAAACACGAATTCTCAATCTAAGGATGGTACACATTTAAAATTGCCCTTGAACAAATGAAAATTTATCCAAACAAAATTTGATGAAAATTTTATACTTAACATTTTTTTTTGTTTTTTTGTTTTTTTTTTTGATCCCATTGTAAAGGTTAGGTAGGGTTGTAAAGTTTCTATGTAAAGATACTTAGTACATATTACTTTCATTCATTCATTCATTCATTCATTCATTGGAAAGATAGTGCAATGCACCATAAAAAGCGGTAACAAAAAAGTAGCTTTACCTCATAACCATAAACAAGTTTTCCAATATGTTGGGAGGCAACAGGAAATTCAATCATCACCACTCCATTTGTTAAATTACTGCTTGGACCAACTTTCATGTGGTGAGTCATATTGAAAAGTGCAGAGTTATTTTTCCAAAGGATCTTCAAATAGCGCTCAAAGTTGATGCTTAAAAAAGAATAAAATTTTAGATGAAATGTGGAATACTATGGAGTCTAACACTTAAAGTGAGCGTAGGCTTTTTCAGTAAACAGTGATGCCTCGATTATTCGGCCGCTGATTATCCAACGCTTCAGGTATCTGACATTGTCAAAATTGAGTTTTTTGGTCAAAAACAAGTAAGCTGACTTGATGACAACCGGTTTTTTGGACATGAATAATTGAATGAATATGTGATTTTTTATGTATTTTTTCAAATTAAACGACTATTTAGTAAAAATGCAATAGAAAATTGGCGACATTTTTGCTTTTTAGTTACCAACAAAGTCTGAAATGTAATTTTTTCAGTCTTTTAGGGTGGTCTGGTATAATTATCTGACAGCTCTTGCCACAAATCATAGGATAATTATGGCATTACTGTACATCAAACTTGTTTTGATTGACCCTTATATTCACTTGATTACAACGTTGATATTTCCAGCATTGCTATACTTACAATTATTCTTTGAAATTATTGGCAAGATAATGTTAATAGTAAGAGGGGAAGATGACAGTGAAGAAATAAAATTTCTACTTCCTTCATATTTCTCCTGATGGCCAAAATTTAACCAGTCGGTTACTTGGTGGAACAAATTCTGCAACCCAGAAATTTACAAAATGCTGGATTTAACATGGTAAACTTAGCTGCGTTAGCCGTAACATTGCAAGGATTAAAGAACTAGAATGAAGAATACTTACTCAGTGGTGATAGCTTTGAGGTCGATTCCTAAATGAGGTATAGAGGGAAATGGTGTTGTGCTGTTCACGGAAGCTGCCAAATTATTAAATGATTCAAAATCGACAAATGCTTTGGCAATCAGGTTCGGGACAGGGTTATACAATCTCAAACTGCAAAAATATTTGGAAAACAAAATTATAACATTTGTAGATTCAAGATTTTTCAAAAACAAGTTGAAAAAGACGAGTTGCTGGATGCATAATTTGTTTCTTCCTTTTGTAATGATGATAATCAATAGATTTTAATGTGAAGCTATTGACATATTAAAATGAGCTGAACTTTTGACTTTTGACTTTTCATTTACAGTGATACAAGTCTTTCCTTTCAGGAATATGATAACGTAAAATAAAAATTGGACTAACTTGATAATGTGTCTGGAGGAAGGCTTCTTGTACTCAAGGAAAGAGACGAGGCTTCGTCTGAGCAGAACCGTGCTGAGAACATTGGTAACATTGTACACTCCTTTGACGATCTTTGCTTTGAAGCTGTTCAAGAAGAATGGTGGGACTTCTTCTTTGTTTTGCAAGAGGATGAGGCCATTCATTTCGTCAGGAGAAATTTGAAGCTGAAATTGAAAGAGGAGGAAAGCAATTATCAGTTGAGTAAACTTGATTACATTTGGAATTGAAGGACTTATGGATGGGAAGCTTTAAAATGAGTAATGATGTGCTTTGAAAAAACCACATAATTTTAAAAACCTTCAAATTTATCCTTCATTGTGATGTCGTTATGAAAAAAATTGATAAAATTACTCAGAGCCAACTATCACTTTACCTTATACATTTGAAGGAACTGATTAAAAACATGAATGCTAAACCAATCAGACGTTTACAGTAGGACTATGAGGTATTGGGTCAAATCAATTTGCTGACTACAATTGGACATTTTAACATCTGCTCAGATAGTTCTGCTTAGGCTTTACCGTAAACCTTAGCTATCCAAATTACTAAGATCTGGACCAAAAATTATCGTCCTTAATTTTAAATTTCAGGCGTTCTTTTGAGGGATCTAAAGTTCAAGAAACCAATTTTTACAATAAAGAGAGCTGGTGTGTCCTAAAAATCCCAAAGAGGAGCTTGACTGAAATCCTTAACTGCATATTTCAAGCTAAATAAAGTCTGTGCATTTATTCTACTATAATAATATAAAAGTATGTTTTAATTAATATCTGCCTATTCTACATCTAGCCTAGCCCTGGCACGAATCAGGTTGGGTTATCAACGTTTTACTGTAAATTGCTACTTACCTCACTGAAGGTACGAAATTTGACTTGATTTGGGAAAACTGAGTATTGAAGAGCGTGGTTGATAAAATTGTATTGGTCCAGGAGGAGAAGTTTGCCAACCATTACGTGAAGCATTTCTCTGTTGTCAGGCAGTTGAAAATATGATGTGAAACTGCAGTTCGTTGAGGATGGTGCTAAAACTGTCGCATTAGCCGTGAACCTGAGAGTGAAAAGTATCAAGTCAAGAATTGAACAATGAAACTAAAATGATGCAGTGCCGAAAAACGTGAATTAAGTTTTTGTTTCAGTTGGAATGATTGGATGGAATAACTCCTCTTACGAAATATTCACCTATGCCATAGTATCGTTTTTGAAACGAGAAGCTTAAAGAAACGCATATTTCTTACTTACTTCATTGTGAAGTTAGGAGTGTATTTCAGACTTGCTTGATGAGTTCATGGTTATTTTTAAGACATTTTCTATAAAAAATCAACTCTTCTTTTTGCAGCAACAGGCCAATTTTCAATGAAACAATTTTTGCTAAGTAGGGTCAAAAATATTTTTCTTTGTAAATTAAACCAGGGTTTCCATTTAGTGTCTTCAAGAATATGTTGCCAGCAGTTTAGTTCATTATTGCGCTTAAAGAAGACATAAAATTTCAAGCCCTAAACACGGCTAATTGGAATTTTAAATAGTTTTCAAAACTGAATTTTTTTAGTTGCATGTTTCAAAAACCATGATTTCCGTTTGGTTAGACATTTTTGTGCGTTAAAATGTCCTAGAGTGTTCATAGACTAACTCTCAATGTTCTAGCACCAATAGGTAACTCAAAATAGAGGTTTTGTGAACTGAGGCGCCTTAACCCATGGACGATTACAAGTTTTTGAAATCACTAAAAAATACTACGACCTCCTTGCACAGGACAACTCATTAATGAAAAAGCTTGTAAAAGCTCTTTAATTCCCTGTGAATGTTTTAAAATCTCTGGTAAAATCCACTAAAATCTGTAATAGTCCTTGCCGTGGTGAATGACGTAGTTGATGAAACCCTCATTGACAGGACGGTAAATTCACTGATATTCTCTAATTTTTTGCATTACTTGGTCTTAAGAAAATGGAAAAAGGCGTTAGAGATAAAAAGTTGAAAGAATTTCAAGGGTTTTTTCTCGAAAGTGGATTCTTACGTGAGAATGCATCAGAAAAACTTACACCCAATTATCGTTGTTGTTTATTTGACTTCCCATGCAAATACTTTTGAAATCTTCATTTGGATTCCAGAAGAAAACCTTTGACAGGAACTGTTGCGTGAGACCGTTATATCGGAAGAAACTATTGAAACTCGTATGGAAAGCTTCCGACTTCCAGATCCAAACAAACTGCGTATTACTCGATAACTGAGAGGAGTCAATGGACGACAGCAGGATGCCTTTCTCTTGCTCGGTCCTGAAATTTTAAAGGAGAAAATTTTAAATTACCACTTTGGAAAATATTTTCTAAACCAAAAAAATGATAAAAAGCTTATTCCATCACCTTTCCGCCAAAGTATCGCAAGCGTCATGCGACGTTTAAAAATTCCCGTCGCCATTTTATTTTTTTAAAGAGAAATTTTTCAATGAAGTTGTCTGAAAATGCAGTGAAATTTTCTTTGTGCTGCCGATAAAATTCAGAAAAATTTTCAAACAGATTCAACCAATAATTTCTCTGTAAAAAAATAAAACGGCAGTAAAGAAATAAATGGAAATTTTGAAATGTCGAGTGGCACTTGTGATACTTTGGGCGGAAGGTGATGATTTGAGTACTTAACTTGTTATAGGTACACCTTTGAGGTACACTTTATTGGATAATATTTAGATAAAGGACACAAGAAAAGGGAAAAATTACCAGACTTTGAGATGAGCATTGTATGTTGTGTCCAGCCATTTTGACTCGACGCCTCCTTTGACTGTCATTATGAACTGTCCGAAATGCTTTGCCAAAAGTAGACCGTCAACTTGCAACCGTTTGTAGTCTGGATGTGTGGATGAAATCTAAAATTGAAGATTGGATAAGAATCGTGATAATGAGCAAAGAGAAAAGAAAATTTGAAACATCAATTCATCCTTTTTAATGATGCTTGCCATTTCACCGAGGGCACTCCTTAACAATACATGCCGTTGAAGCGTACAGACAGCTTACTGTCTTGAGAGAAAGTTTGTGCTTGAATGAGCTTTGTTTCCCTAAGATGACACTTCAATTTTAGACCAAAATTTGAGCAGCAAAATTATCAAATCTATAATGACTCTCGACGTGGATCTGTATTTTTTTTTTTTTTCACTGCTTCCTCACGTCAATTTAACAAAATTTGCCAATTTTGGAACTGTGGTTCTTTCCAGCTCCCTCAATGGTCACTTTTCTAATTTCATTTTGCTTTGTAATTTCTGCGGTACTGAGGAACCAAGTCAATTGAAAATTAAAAAAAGCAGGATAATAGATTTAAGAATTGAAGAAGTCAACGTTGCGATGAAAGGATTCTTACCAAAATGTTGACCATTTTTGCCTCTGGTGAATGATACTTCAATTTACTTTCAAACTCGACCATCCGATCTTCGTACTGCAACATTGTTTCAATTTCAAAGCCATCATCTCTTCTTTTGATGTACATAATGATGCTTCCTACTTCCTCCGATCTATCATTCTTCATTAATTTTATTTTGAACTGATGGAAAAAAAAGAAAAGCAAAGTGAAAATACACACATTACCCCGGCTTTATTTAAACTGAACCATTTCCAAAATCAAATCAACCCAGTATCAATAGCTGTTGGATGTCTCAGTGAATTTAAATAAAAATGAGAGGGGTATTATTTCCATTTCAAGACCTGTTAAGGATCTACAATCTTCAAATGAAAGAATTTGATGGGAGAAATGAAGAAAGTTTTGAATAACAGGGGCACCTGCTTGAAGCCAAATCTAATAGAACATAGACATGTTGAGAGCAGATCCATTTACGTACATTTGTTCCCACAAATCCATAAAAAAATTCCAGTCGGTACAAGTTTCTGCTGTGAGGTATTCGTCAAAGACCCCTTTCACCGTACTCAATTTTTGTAAATGATAAGGAGAAAACCTGGTCAGGGAGCTTGTTAGAAATTTTCTGACACTATCAAAATAGAACACAGACAGTGATGGAAAATTGAACGGTATAGTGCTCTTGGATACCGAATGCAAGAAACAAGAAACTTGCTACTGTTATTTAGCAACTTCTGTACTTTTCTTTTCATTAACCAAATACTAATAGGCAGTATTAAATGAGAGGAATTAACGTTAAAAGTTTTCTTAAACAGATAAAAAGGTGGCTTTTGGAAACAGCAAAGCCTGATTCAAACCCTAAAATACATGAATTACAATGGCAGGCCACCTTCTTCCTGGGACATGCTTTTCCACAGCAATGATATAAGATAAATAAAAAATCACTTACAGATAAGGGGGCATGTTCACTTGTAGTTGCCCATCCCACAATTTTATATGTTTGATCAGAGATCATTGTTGCTTCTATATTTTGCTGCTTCCCAGACTTGTTCAAAGCACCAACAAACTGCACATTTCTACAGAGAAAGAGAGAAAAGCATGAATACCATCAAAAAGGGAAAAAAAAGTACTCTCCCAGATAACAGCAAAAACTGGCAGTGCCAATAAAGACTCCAATCACGCTCAAAAATAGTGACGGACAGGAATGGAGGCTTCTGATCAATCAAAAAGTGTGTAGATGATCAAACTTGGCACGTATCTCGCTTTCCAGCATTGCAGGCTTCCTGTCAAACTTTATTTTTTATCAAAAAGTTTCATGATTTCCTGATTTAGCCATTGATGCATTTATTTGGCCGATTAGATACCTCATAAAAAACCTGAATCACACTTAAAAGGGTTCACAAAAAGAAATCAATTAATCTAAAAAGCAATAGAGATAATTTTGAAAATATGAGTACATACATTAATTGAGGTGAAACGTCTTTCTAAGACTTTAAAAAACTTTTAAAAGCCAGTTTTTATTTTGGAGTGCTGTGGGAGAGATTCGGCTAGTGGGTTGGTGTAATTTTTTGGGGTCAAACTTGAATGACAGAAAAATCGATGGGTTCAGCACTCGGAATTTCCTGTGATTTGGAAGAGTTCCATCTCTACGGTAAATTTTCTTACTAAAAAAATATTCCTCTCCTTGAAAAAGTTGGATAGATGGTGTGATATCGATTAATTCGTTTCTTCCTTGATTCAATAATAATGGTCAAATCTACCATGGTATTTTCAATTTTGCCCTTCATTTCCTTTCTGCATCTGAAATGCTACATATGGTATTGGTCTAAAGCAATACACACATCATTATGTGGCTTGCCAACGCTTGATATTTTACTAGCGATAAAGCCAGAGGTAAAAAATTATGTGGTAGATATGTAAACAACCTCTTTAATTTTAAAACAAAAATAAATACCCTTCGAAAAGGACTTAAAAAGAAACTAACTTTAGACCTTCAACCAAAGACTCTAGATTTATCAGAAGAGTCCTGTTGTGTAATTTGGCACTCAGTTTCATTTCAACTTCCGCAGCACGTTGAAAGTGAGAATTGATGAAGTAAGTATGAGAAGTGTTCTCGTGAATATACTCCATGCCTCCTTGCAGAATATCGATGCTTTTGAAGGGTGTCATCAGTTTACCGTACAGTTTCAAATAGTTGTTTTCAAAGCGCCATAAGGTTTCCACATCATAGTTGTCTAACTTTGCCTGGAAGTACAGGGGAAAAAAGTATAAGAGTACAGTTCGAAAGCTGGAAAACTAAAATATCACAAAACTCACATCCCTTTTTTTGAATTACTATTCAAATATTTAAATACAAATACAACAATTTAACAGTAAAACTACAAAAACAAATACTGTAAAGATGTACCTACAATATGTAGGAGCACATATTTTTGATAATACAGTACTTGACGTTTTTGCATGAAATATACAAAGGATGTTTTTTATAAATTTCAATAAAAATCATAAAAATTTTAAGCAATATGTAGTTGATAATTAGTCATTTTTTTTAGAAAAAAAAAAAAATCAAATGTCACGGGGAATTTGCAACTTTAAAAGTCATGATATGAAGTTTTCAACTTCAATATTCCCAACAGTTCTTGTTCCTTACGCTTCATAAGAAATAAATACTTCTCTTTGAATCTTGGAGAATGGTCTTTATCTCATGTCAGTGCGCTGCCAATAAAGATAGGATTATTATTGAGCTTCTTTAACAAATAGTGACTGGTGGACACTATAGAAAGGAATGAAGAAAGCCACAAGTTGATGAACGCAGAAAACAGTTAGAAACGTCAAAACAGTAGGATAAGAGTGGTGCACTTTTCTGCACCCTGTAGTAAGGTACGTTTATGAGGCACCAAAGGAAGCCGACAGACAATGTTCGCAGCCCTCTAGATGCTAACATACTTCAGAAAGAGTAACCATTGGTCCCGAAAGACCTTGTCTTGTAAGACCAGCGAATGAAAAAGCCTTGGCAGTCAGCATATTAGTTGAGGTAATCTGAATGGAGTAAAAAACAGGCAAAAATCTACTTACTGAAGTTGTAGATGGTAATATGAAGTTGACTCTGATTTTCTTATCCAGTTCCAAGAAGTCTTTCTTGATCAGCATTTTGAAGTAGGGAAACTTGATGAACTTGGATGAAATATTAATACCAACAGCTGACTCAAAGTAATTTTCATACGACTGCATAACAAACAACAGGAAAGTAAGACACACAGGGACGAAAAGGAAAAGCAACACTAATAAAACAGGTGATACTTAAATGTTATATGTTAATGGTGAAAAGAAAAAGAAGCAAAGTAACCAAATTTGCTATTCTTGTCAGAAACCATTAAAATTTAAGCGTCTCTTTGTAATGGAAAATGTTCTGAGATAAGTTCATTGAATGCTTTATTTAACAATTAGCCCTGCTCTTTAGCTCACAAGTTAGAGAAAACATTTTGCAGGTCTTCAATCAGAATTTTTTTATTTTCTATCTTACGCAGAGCTGCGTCAGAAAAAAGAAGCAAAACGAACAGAAAATCAAATTTTTCGGGAAAAATCCTATTTTTAGGACAAATTTAGATTATTTAGAAAATCCTGATGTGATAGGAAAAATTGATAGTCCTTTCCGGATTCAGCCCTAAAAAATACAAAGAAATCACTTCTCATCAGGCATTTTAATTTTTTCCGTTTTTGCAGACAAAGTGTAATAAAGACATTATGATAGGTACACAGTTTATCTGATTTCCACCGCACACATAGTGTGCCTAAGTGCCTTGTGAATTGACAAAAAAAATACTTTGATAAGATACAAACCTGCAAACTAGCTTCCAAGAACATTTTTGAGAAATTGGTGACGATTGAAACATTGTTTTCGAAGGAATTACGGTCAACTTGGAAGAACATGACGCCTTTTACATACTGCATTGAGCTGAACGGAGTCCTGATGTTGACTTGAGTCACATACAGGCCGTATTTATCCCTGTCAGAAAATTCTCTGAGATCGTCATCGTACTGCGTTGCGCGAAATGTATACTCAACGTCCACACTTCCCTGAAATCAGACTGAATCATTAGCCCACTTAAAATTTGTGCTTAATGAAAACGCAACTAGTCAGCACAGATTGAATATAAGGTAACTACAGCCTGATTGTTGAAATTTATGTTAATTTTTGTTATGACAAGAATCAAAAATCGATAAATTACACAGTGCGGATAGGGCAATGTCTTGTCTTATCTTGCCGACAAAGCCAGTTAAAGTTTCAACAATCAAGCTACTGAAGGTAATTCTGCACCCGATTTAATGTATCCGGAAGGAAGTTCAAACCATCTATTCAATAATCTTAAGATTGTGAGAATTAGTAATTCTTATTTATTTCCAGATTGAAACATTTTTATTAGGTACACATTTTGAAACAATAAGGGTAAAAATGTGCCATGGTAAATTATACTTTTCAACTTAGGTGCTTAATTCCTAATGCCTTACTTATTAAAACTTGTTCATGGTGCATATACTCAAGTTTTCCATGGGGCTTTCTTTGTTCAAAATTCAAAATATAAAAGTAAAAAAATTGAGCAGAACTGAATCTATTGGGAAAGACATTGATTCAATTTTCCAGGGATTTGAAAGGTCGGTAAATTACGGGCATTAGATAATACAGTGTTCGTGTTGGTTTGAAATTTTCTTGAGTGATTCGAATTCGATAAAACTGTGTATTCCGCCAGAATTTGTTAAAGGAAACCCTGGGCAATCGAACTCAGAATGGTCAAACCCTTCCGCTGTCAAACCCTTCCTCTGATATGAAGGAATTCTTTGCAACCTTATTTAAAAATAAAATCCGGCCAAACATGAGGGAACTTCAATGAAACAAACATTAAATAATCAAAGGAAATTATACTATCTGAATAATGAACTCTTCCTTACAGGTAATGATTGGTTGTGACTTGTAACATTCAGAGCGAGATTTGATTTCATCGATCTGCCAAAGGTGCCTTCCATTTTATAATTACAAATGGCCTTTGAAAACGCTGGAGCTGTTGTTTCCACCACAAGGCTGTTGTTCATACCCATCAGGTGCTGAAATAAGTAATTCAAATTATTATGAATGAAAAATAAAACAAAACAAAAAATATTAGAGAGTGCGTAACCTGAACCTGGAAAACAAGTTCTCGGTTTTTATTGGTCCGGCTAGAAATCTTTGAAAAGTCCCATCTATCATCATGCAGTACATTCGTCTTAATTCAAATTTGTAACAAATAAATTTTCCTTTTTTACTGTGAGTACTAAATCATACATCAAAATTACGCCGATCCTTGGCCAAATTGTTGTTTTCTGCTCAAAAGAACAAACCTTAATTGCACTGTTCCAGTATTTCTTACTGACATTTTATTTTTGTTTCACAAGAATTTGCCTGAAATTTTCAGAGAATCTTGATTACACTTGTAATAAAGGGCACTAAAGTTTCCAGACAAATTTTAGCGACGGTTGTCCCATGAAAAAATAAAATGTTCACAGTAGTACTGCAGCAGCGCAGGTTAGATACGTTTTTTCATGTGAAAGACTACAATTTGAGCCATGAATTTGGTTAGTTGGAAAAAGTGTACCTGGCTAAACCACAAAATTAACTCATTGCATCACTTTTTACCTCTCAGGCGCAGAGTAGCTTAGGATATAGGGATTTTGAATACAAGACATTTGGAAAACTGAGGTTTAACTTTGGAGTTTTAAAGATGTATTTGAACCGTTGCACACTTACAGAGAAGAAGAGCTTGTTGGTGATGTTTGCACCAAAGTTTGGAAAGTCTATCAAGGAGTTGGTTGTGTACGATAAATCATGTTCAGTGACATTCAACTCTACTTTCAAGGTTGGATAAAACAATGTATCAATGTTGACAGCTCCTCTCCAAAACAAATCTTTTTTTGGAATTAAGTCATCTGCAAAGAAGCTTTCTTCGTCTAGTTCAGAGGATGTGCTGTTCATTTTTTGGTAGATGCACAGAGCTTTCAATCCTACCTATGAAACAAAATTAAAATGGAAAGGGTAAAAACTGCATGAACAAAAGGCTAAGTCAGGGAAATCAATCTAGTTTTATTAAGATTATACAACTTTTGACTACTTTTTGAAAGAGTTTATGATTGACAAACCGATAAAGTAGATTAAGCATACAAAGGAAAAGAGTTATTTCTCTCAGTTATTTGTATGCTATTTCTGGAGTACTCGCTTATAACTAAGAAGATTTCAGAAACAACTGACTTACCTGAAAATGCAACAAACAAAAACTGCAGTCAATTAGCAAACGACTAGAGAGGGGCTATTCAAGTCATTTTTTTGTAATTATGCTCACCTCCTAGATTAAAATTTCAAAATATGCAAGAAACTGAATTCAGCCAAAAATTTTCTATGACTGGAAAATTTTGTGTGCGCATGTATTACAGTACCAAAAAGAGCCATATGACACAAAATATACAATTTTTTTAGCCTTAAATAATGCAATAAGAACATTTTTATAGCTCCTGATTGAGCATTTTTTTAAAAGAAAAGACAAAATTTGTGTTTTCACCTTTTTAAGTACTTTGAATAAAAATTTAAAAAAAAAAATCAGAAGATGTAAGTCACTCTGAAATTCACATTTACGCAACAAAATGAACTTTCCATTTTTTCTGGATTGGGTACTTTTTGAAGCAAACCACTCAATTAGGACAGGAATAATTGAGCATAAGGATAAAACTTAGGGGAAGAGATACGTAGGAAAATATTGCTGCAGATATCTGGAATTTCAAGGTATTTTAATCCCTTTACTATTAAATCTGTAAACTATTTAACTCACCCTCATTGTCGGTAGTAACACTCTGGTCTCCAAATCCAAATGGTCAGAATAGTCGATTTTGAACACGGCGCTGCTTTTCTTGAACCCTTCAATTGGGGTGAAGAGGGTGAGACTGTAGTTTATGTCATACCATGATTCAAAATGATCACTTCCGATGATTCCGAGCATCATTGAGTTCCATCCACACCTGAAATCAACCTGCATACCATTTTAATAATATAAACTGAGATACTTGCCACAATTACAATCACAGCTTTTGGAAACGTTAAAAAGGCCAAAATAAAGAATCTGCAAAATCCTAATTTCATTGGTCTCCCTATCAAGCAATGTCCCATTAACTGACCCTTTCAAGATCAAAGAAACTGGTCTGCAGGCTGATTCTTGAAATTTATAGACAAAGCGATAGACAAAGAAAACATAGGGAACATGGAGCAATCCTACTGGTTGGAACGGATTGCTGTCATAGAGTAAGATGGGTATTGATGGACCAACTATAGGGTCTCTTGCGGGTTGCTGTCAATAAGTCAATTACTTAACCCCTTTGTCCATTTCAATCATCCACTTCCACCGATAAGGTTGCTTCATTTTCAATGTGTAGTCTTTTTCTATTGCTATGTCTACCACGTTCAGTAATCAGCCTGTGGTTAGGTACCAGAAAAATAGTGTATTAATGTTTAACTTAAATCTCAGAGTTTAGTGATGACAAGATCTGTCAATTCATCAATAATTTCAATTCGCACCGTGTCTATTGGTCCATTACAAAACATTTATATAATATTGCAGCTTGGATCTTCTTCTTTGTCGAATGACATAATTTTTTGAAACAAGAGCTTACGTTTTCTTCGTTGATGAATCCAACTAGTGTAAGATCGTACAGCACTGCAAATGGGGTTGTTAGATGCAACTTCAAATTGAAACTGGATGAATCGATGAAAAAATACTTGAGCTCTAGACCTGCAGTGGAGGATGGTCCGATAAGTTCGGCAAAGAAGTGTTTATTCTTCTCGGAGAATCCAAATCTTCCTTTAATGAGATTATACTTCTCGAAAGGAGTGGTCATTTTTAAGAGGATTTTGCTTTCTTTTGGGTTCTTCACGATACCTGAAAGGAGCAAAAAATTAAAGTAAAAATTTGCAGAGTAGATCATTTGAATGTTTTTGAGAGATTATAGGCCTTTGTTTTTCTATTCATGATTATTCGAGTATCTTAATGGGTCAGTGGAACGTATTTTTCTTAAATTCATTTTCTTGAAGTGCGGAGTGAACTAAGCTTCTAGGAATTTCTTCAGATTTTTTTTTAACCATAAATAACAAAGCAACTCTGTTTTGAAAATGCCAAAAATGGGATCTTTTTGAAACAATATTTTGCGCTACTCTGGTAACGTAGCCAGGAGGGGGAAAAGGTGCTTGCTGATTGGTTGCAATCAGCTCTAGGCATCCCTTACGTTAACTCGACTGCTGGCTTGTGATTGGTCGGATTTTGATAAGCTTTTTCTCCTCTAAGAGATAATATGTTGAACTCCTTGATGAATTTTTTGGGTTTTTCACAAAATTACACCTATGCAAAGCTATACTACAGCTCTGTAAAAATTAAATTCCTTGCCACTGCTCAATTTTAAAACTTATTTAGGTTCACAAAAATTGAGGATCCAAAAAATTTTAACTATCCCATATATTCACATTCCAATTTCATATCAATCCAAAGTTAAAAAAGGGGGGAAAACTGATAGCTCCATATCTTGGCTACAAAAAGTAGACAAGAGATGGTGATATTTTAGGTTTTTTCAAGATGGAGATTGTTAAGTGTTTAAAATTCCTGCTCCGGTTAACATTTACTAAACTGTAACTTTTGCGGACCACTTTGCCCCTCCCTACATTTGATACTGACTCAATAGCGCATTTAAAATTAGTTGCTGTTAAAAGATTACTTGATGTTCTTACCTAGCAAAATAGCTTGATAAGTATTGTCATCCATCATGAGACGGATGTCACCTCTGATATTTTTGTCCTTTCCTAGAGACAAAAGACACTCAAGTCCGCCTGTTTTAATGGGTAGGAACGGTGTTGCTGTGGTTAAGCTAAAAATAACGCTGCTTGAATTATCGTTGATAATTATTTTTCCCGCGCTCAGCATTGATAATAAATGACTGGGACTTGACTGAAATCATACAAACAAAAAATTTTAATATCAAAAGAACTAAATCTAATCTTGAAGCGTCAAAATAGGGCTAGACCAGACTTTAATTTTTTTTTTTTTTTTTTTTTTTAGTTAGGCTGCGCATAATTTTGGCCATGATATTAAACTCCCACTAATATCTGGATTTGAATAAGATATTTTACAAACAAATAAAAAATTCACCAATTTTCCGTCTAACTTTAGAATGATGAGAGACAGAATTTTACTTTTGAGTGCATACAAAAGATAAGATAAGATACAGAGATTCTTATGACCATTTTATTTTCAGGCGGTCTACATATAAGCGTCTGAAAGAATTATGAGACATGTATTTTCAGATAGAGCCAGTACACACGTAATATATACCAGCAAATTTTTGCAAAAAAGAGCTCTTTTTCATGACGAACAAAACAAACGAGTACATTTTGATTACCTGCAGTGTTATATCAGTCTTGAATTGCTTGTTTCCGTGTTCGTGGTTCAAAATGGCTTTCACAGCTTTAATATCTTCGATAGTGCTTTCCAAAACACAGCTGATTGCTAATTTGGTATCATTGGAGAGAAATTGATAGTTGAGTCCTATATTTGCGATGATATTTTGGTCATCATTCCAGCTAATTTTTGCTCCAGTTGTAATATTGCTATCTAGATAATGCAACCTGCACCAAAAAAGTTTTAAGAATTAAAAGGAATTTAAATATTGTTGCCATGTAAGAAACCTTATGTAATGTACATACTGACACTTAAAAAAGTATTCCTGTTAGTTGGACTGGATATACTTCATTAAAGAACATAGTTTAAACATTTATACTATTTTTGAGATTGTAATATTTTCCTGAAAACGTGAAGCTGACTGGTCCCCAATCAATGATTCCTGATAAATGAATTCGGAACTAAACTGCGTAAAAATTGATTGGCATATCTTGAAATAATTAAGTGAATTTTAAATGGTGCGACTATGCAATTTTTTTGTATTTCCAAATGCAAATGCAAACAATGATGCAATGCAATTGTATGCAATTTTTTTGCCATGATTAATTGCACTTTTTGATGACCTTGTACCATATTCTGTGCTATCAGACTTTATGTACATAATAAAGGAATTATTAATTTAATTTTTAACAGTCTTTCTTTTTTTCACAATTTTCATAGCAAAAAAGGCAGCGCTACAGAGGGTTGAACCATAGCTTTAAAATCACTTTTACGCTATGAATAAAATATTCGATAATTCTATAATATGATAATTTTTTATACTCCTCAAGAATAAATTTATTGTCTTACATTAGACATATAAATTAAGAAACCAAAAATGAATGCAATATTTTAAACATATCCAACCAAAACAGGATCACCTTCAAATAAATCTGCCAGGTAAAACATAAAATTGAACTTACTTGTAAGTGAGAGATGTCTCCCTCCAATTTTCAAAAGGAGTCAAAACTTTTGTCTCAAAGAAAATTTTACCAGAGTCAGGAAAATCATAGTTCAAGAGAAAAACAATATCAATGGACTGCTTTGGGCTCCACTCCACTGCCAACGTGCTCATGTAATTTGTTCCTGACAACAGAAATATTCAAGACATTGATGTCTTAGAGTTTTGTATTTTACACTTTTAATGAGGAACTTAAAAAATGAACAAAGCAATTCTTCATGACAAATCTGATGCAACCTTTTGGCTTCATACCTTTTTTCTTTTAAAATTGTCAAACAGGTCATCTGCAAAAAACTGCTTTCTCATTATGAATGCTATCAAAGTATGAATAATAATCCAACCAAGCATTTATCCATAGCAGTGACGAAGACCTTCTTATGTCCTAAGATGGTGAAGATCGGAAGTCTGCATCTCTACTTGGGGGTGGAAGACATTCAAAGTTACTGATTTTGGGCAAATTAAATAGTAAAGCTAGGCACAGGAGGCAGAGAAAAAATGGAAAGGCAATTAGTTAAAGCCACAGAAAAATTGCTGCTACTTTGTACTAAAAGCAAAAATATGTGCACCATTTCAGTTAGGTACCAAAAAAGACCATTTAAGTTATTCTATGGTGCAGCCAACATCATTCTTATGAAAGATTTATTCAAGCTCTACCGAAGAAAAAGTAGAAGAAAAAAAAAGGAAGACAATCAGAACTCTTCAGAATTGTTGTATTAACAGTGAAACTACCAGACCAAGTACCTCGGTTAGCGACATTGCGAACTTCCTGTCATACTTCATCTTTTAAATAGAAAACTATTCAATGTCTAATCTTGAAAACTTCCATGATTTTTCTCTGTGCGTAAAAAACTCTAAGAAAACCTTGAGGAATGATTTTTATTTGTTCTCCTTCGAAAAAATAAAATGAAAGCTGAGACTTTTAAACACCGCAAACAAGATACGAGGTCTGGTAGTTTCCCCATCAAAGTGTAAAAAAATCCTTAAAAGATGTAAATAAAAATGATTTAATCAAAATGGAACAAATAAAAAATGAAAGTTCTTTGATAAGATTCCCTGTTAGGCTCTTGCTCATTGATAGATAACTTACCTTGACGTTCTAGCAAAGCAGAGCCGGTGATTAAATGACTTGGGTACTCGAACAAAAGTTTGACCGAGTACTCAAACGTTGAGGCGGAGTCTGTTGAGGCTGTGAGTAGTGTCAATGCTAGTTTTTGATTGGGGTCACGGTTGGCATCCCATTTGACGAAGAAGCCAGTGTCTGTTTTTTGCTTTTCATGTATACCATGAACTCCAACGTGAATATCCCTGTGTCTGGAAAGGAAAAAAAAAGAATGAATGAGACGAGAGCTGGGTCATATTTCCACTTTCCAATCATTAACAAGGTTTCGGAGACATAATGTTTCTTTAGGGCATCATTTTGAATTGAATATACATATCATATGCAAGTAGAAATAGAAAAATTTTTGCTGTTAACTTCGACGATCATATTCACTTTTCCGTTTTCAGCAATATATGAAACAAAAAATTCGTCAAGAAAAGAAACGAAACAAGAGATACATAGAGAACTGATGGATAGCTCAGCAGAGGATTTAGAAACATATATGTAAATTAATTATCAATCATCATTCACATAAGAGGAACAAACTTTTGGTTCGGTCGAAGAAACAATAAAAAATAATTTATACGCTCAATAAAAATTAACTCTATTTCTATCTATATGCGACTGGTGGTCAACGACTGAATCTAAACCCTTGATAATTTTGAAGGTACAATTTTTTTGACAAGTTCGTTTTTCTTGAAATCGTCAATCTCTAAAAATCTCCAACAGTCTCCTCCTTGCTCGTAAGCATCGCCACTGTTTGAGCTGAACGAATTGATTATTATGAGCTTTACAAACAAAAATTTGGTGGAAAACTTTGAATTTCTTTGTCAACACAGTGTAATGTATAAACTTACTTGTCTAGATGAAGCTCAAGGAGCGCTTGCTTTTTCATAAAATCGATCATGCTAGTCAAAGAGTATGTGCTCTCATTGAATGTTACCTCTCCGTGCGTCTCTCGTAATGCAGGATGCAATGACAAATGCTTCAGCAGCAAAGCGTACTTGATTTCATTATGTTCTGCCTGTGGGAAAAAACTTGAGATTATTAAAAATATACATTTTTGAGCTAACCTTTTAGAAAAGATTCTTGCCTCTTCTTGATCTAAAACAACATACTTGAGACTTATGAAAGAAAACACATCACCATCACAGATCCATCCTACCGATTCTGCACCATTTTAAATTGGTCTTAAAATGTTCAATTGACGGAGTCAAAATTTCAAGAGGCAATCTGCATATAATAACCATAGAACCTCTTCTTGATTCATTTCAAAAGTTTGGACTATCTTGCCAAACTAGCAAGTTCACTTGAGACATGTTAGCGTCATCGAGAAGAATCTCAGAAAAAATTATTTAAGAAACTTCAAGTTATTCTAAAATTTTTAACCTCAGATTTCTTCAGTGCATTTCTTTGACATGTTTTCCATTACAATCTATCCTACAGTGTTAGAAGTTATTAGGTACACTTACCAATAAATCAAGCCGGATTTCATTCTCATCGAAAAGAAACTTCCCATTGAACATGATGTCATTAAACATGCCCGACTTTAGGACTAACTTCAAAACAAGGTAAGTGGTTATCTGATTTGACTTATTTAAGTAGACTCCTTTTGTAGTGATATTATGACCACTAAACCATGTTCCAATCACCTCCAACTGAAGGGAAAAGCAAAAAACAAACAAAATTTGAGTTAAAATACATTGATGAATTTTTAAGATAAACTGCCACCAAGATTTCGTTATTTTGGTTGAATCTTCCAAAGACTATGAGAAAAATGGCAAGAAAATTAAGGTCGATGTTCGACACTCAAAAATTGTATTAATCAACACATCATTAACAGACCAATAGACAACATACGAATTTTAGCATTATAAAACATGTTTTCTCATCAGAATTTTACACTTTTCTTTTTGTCTTATTTGTCTAAAGCTTTGTCTATCAATTTGCATAATCAAGAGGACTTTTATTCTATTCTTAGAGTTTGAATATATGATATGAGTACAATAAATTTGGAAGCAATACGAACATCATATTCACTGCGGCTTTTTTCATGAACCCGGAGAAAGAGACTCATCGGATGTTGCACTTGGGGGAGGCTGAGACTTGAATGTATTTCTATGTAGAGTGTTGTGCTTTTCGGAAGTACTAGATCCAGTTTAATGCCAATGACTTTGTCTGGAAGTGAAACAAAAGTCAGAAGGGTTAGGAAGGATTGAAAAGTAACCAAAATCTAGTTATAAGACGTTAAAAAATCAGATACCAAAAAAAAGAGAAAAACTGTAAATAGAAAATTTTCCTTTATATTTTTTACTAGATTTATTCAAGAGAAAAAGGAATTACAGTAACTACTACAGTATAAAAGTGAAGAATCTGAAAGGAAAATTAGACTGTGGGCGCCAAGACTGCAGTTCCACAGAATGAAACTTTCAACTCATTTTTTTGGATACTAAAGAGTGTCTGTTGACGGAAACTCATACATAGTGTCATTTTTTCCCCAATTTCAGAAAAAATTACTCTCCTGAGAAATGTCTCTTCCACAAAGAGTATAAAGAGACAGCAAATTAGCTGTGCAAAAAAAAGGGAGAATGAGTGAATCTTTTCGCAAAAACAACATAATTTAAGGATCATCACCACATATTTTTTTCATTAGCTCTGACCTAAGAGCAGACTGAAATTACAATTCAAGGATAAAAAAACCAGAGAGCTCTTAAAATTTGGTTTCAGCTCGTTTTCTTTTCCTTTGGAAGAAATCACCAAAAATGAAACTAAAGCCAATTTAAAATTACCTTTGGCATACTGAATGTGGAAGCCAATATTCCAGTGTCCTTCAGATCCTTCGAAAACACCATCTAATTTCAAGTCGATGTCGCTGGAGGGTCTTTTGATGGCTATGAAAGAGCTGACTTTNGTCGTTTCGAGCTTGTTGAACAGAGTAATATTTCTGAAGGCTCTGTACATACAATTTTGATAGAATATGTAGACACGCATTGAGTTTCAAGTACACTTGCCCCTTGATTGTTGTCCGTTGAACGAAAATCCAACCAAATGTCAATTTCCTTTTAGCTGCTTGAACGTTCTAACAGTGATCCTACATTTTTGGATAGGATAATTTTCGGTGACAATATTTTAGTGTACGGCTACGATATGGAGACAAAACTCCAATCGTCCTTGTGGGTTGAAAAATGTAGCGCAAGACCAAAAAAAGAGAGAGAAGTTCGGTGAAACATAAAAATCGCAAAACACCCTTGAGGTTGCCTTACTTCAAGCCACATACCAACGAAGCTAATTAGGATTTTTCAAACTTGTGAACGTAGCGTTCTTAAGTATATTTCCAGCTATCAGAAAAGCTCAAGAAAACGCAATTTGGACGCATTGTGGGCTAGTTATGACCAAAATCCGGTTTCTAATCTAACAGACCTCGTACATAGTGTCATTTTTTCCCCAATTTCAGAAAAAATTACTCTCCTGAGAAATGTCTCTTCCACAAAGAGTATAAAGAGACAGCAAATTAGCTGTGCAAAAAAAGGGAGAATGAGTAAATCTTTTCGCAAAAACAACATAATTTAAGGATCATCACCACATATTTTTTTCATTAGCTCTGACCTAAGAGCAGACTGAAATTACAATTCAAGGATAAAAAAACCAGAGAACTCTTAAAATTTGGTTTCAGCTCGTTTTCTTTTCCTTTGGAAGAAATCACCAAAAATGAAATTAAAGCCAATTTAAAATTACCTTTGGCATACTGAATGTGGAAGCCAATATTCCAGTGTCCTTCAGATCCTTCGAAAACACCATCTAATTTCAAGTCGATGTCGCTGGAGGGTCTTTTGATGGCTATGAAAGAGCTGACTTTATGGCTTGAAGGAGTGTGAAGATAAATCAACATTGACTGGAGGCGCAACTTCTCTGACTCATTTTTTAGAGAAGGATTAGCTGTCAAGTCAAAGGATAACTCTAAGTGACCTTGAGCTTTCTGAAGAAACATTAATAAAAAAAGAGAAAGGTGATCACATTACACGAAGGAATTAGACTTATAGAAAATGGAAACAAAAAAATTCAAAATTGTTCGGATATTCTTTATTTTATCGATTTTATGATAGAGCTGACACCACTCCGAGAGGACCCTGCGCTGAAAACCGTGAGGGCGAGATTGGTGCCAGCTAGATTTTGTTATTATTTGATACAACAATGTTTTTATAACCTCCTTGGCATGATAAGTAGCAGGGTAAAAAGAGATTTTTCAACATTTTTACACGCATTTCCTTATGGAGGTGTGGCGTTGCTGCTATGTTGAACATGCAGATCCTTATGCCCTGAAGCGGTACCGCTTAACTTTCTATTGGACGAATCATTGACGATTCTACTAGATAAGTCAAAAAAAAGCTTACAAGTCTATTTGTCATCCCTACTTTTCTCAAGACTGGCACTTAGTAAGATCCAATTTAAAGGCTCATCAACTCCACATCAAAAAATGACAAAGTTTAGCAGACATCAAACACCTTGCTTCCTTTGCAGGATTGTTTAGAATTTTAGAACCCCCTCCCTCTTTGTTACACAGATCTGAGATCTCATAACTCTTTACTTCCCTCAAACCCTCCTTTTTTTAAATGCAAAAATTGAATTTTTGGTCATTATTTTAATCAAAACTTTTCCACACAAAAAAATAATACTAATATCAACGCTTTGCAGTGATTTTTGCACCATATCATAACTTTATAACAATTACACTGATGCCTTTGAAAAAATACAGAAGGTGTTGGCGAGCACAGAGATGCACATTTATGCTCCTGCGCTAACAAACGCAGATAAACTCAAGTGCACCTGGGTGTACCTGGAAGTGCGTCTATGCCAGTGTCATGCTAGTATCTGCACCCTCCTATGACCTCATCCTCAAAATGACTTAAAATTTTGAGGAGTCTCCCTCAGCTTCATCTGTATTTCCTCCATGCACTTACACTGAACCACATCTTACCTGATACTTAGTCGTGGCGATAAAATCAATCTGGGGATAAGCAGATGATGCCAGCTGAAGTTCTGCAGAGAGGTGGGCTAAATGCTTTGTGGTGTGGTCCGCCATATGAATTTCTATCTTCAGCGTTTCTGCTTTGCCTGCGTCAAACTGATACTCCAGAATGAAATTAGCTGCAATCGATGCCTCGTTCACTACGATGTACCCTGTGATATGGGTTTTGATCTTGTTGGTTTTAAAAGTTAAGTCTATATCACACTGCGATATACTCTTTTTCTCCACCCATTTGTAAGTTCCTGTGACATAGAAATCAACAGCTGAAATTATCAACCTTATTGCCAAAAGGTTGCAAATAATGTCTAATTAGAAAAATCATAGCTGAGATGGTATCATCTGTATTAATGAGAAGCGTAGAAAAATATATTTAACAATAAGAGGCTATTATTGTATGATAAAGCTTTTTGCTTAAAAGAATGCGCCCAGCTATGTCTGCTGAAGAGGCTGCAAAAACATTACAAAAACGAAACTGAAACACTTCTGTTATCTTCTCAGCAACCATTTTCGGGCAGGAAAATATTAATCTCAAAGAAAATTATTTTTTTCCTTCACATTTGAACTGCGAGATTTATCCTTTTCTTTAAGTTTTCACTTTATTTCTAATCAATTACAGGACCTAAATGAGATCAACATATCATTGAGTCTTCTTCTGTGTTGAAGCAGAGGTTGATAATTCATTTGATACCAAAACATTTTAATTATACTTAGAGTTAACTCAGTTTTTGCTGTTGCTTTTCGTGAAATGTTTCTGTTCCTGTAGCTTCCTAGTTTCTATGATTGTTTTTTTTTTCTCTCTCTCTTTTTTCCCCCTTTTCTTTGCAAAACACAGGACGGAGAGAGGTGTTTCAAACCTCTAAAAGTTTATTGACAAATTTGTAAAAGAATGAATTACTGAATTATCAAGTGACAGAATAGAACAGTAGTGTGGACGCAGCTTTACATATCTTGATATTCAGTTATTTGCAGTATTCAGGACACATTTTTAATGTTCCTTCCTTCTCTGAATTATTAATTATACATGCAACCTTTGAAAATTCAAAGGGTCTGCCAATTTGTATGTATGTCAATTCCTATTCATCTCTTGAATGATTTTGATAAGTCACGCGAGATAAAGTACCTTGTAGTTCGGCGATATTCTTATTATTGATGGAAAAAGACGCAGAGGGTTGGTAAGAGTAACCGTATCTTTCTTCCTTTGTTTTCAATTCTAGGTGGATGTCTATGTGTTTCTTCCCATTGATATCCAAGGCAAAATGTAGAAGTTTCAGTTCCGGTGAATTTTTGTAGATGCCTGAACAAAAATTTCAAGTTATTATCTTTCAAACGTCAACACATGTATTAGTGACCAAGCTCAGAAAAAGAGACTTTAGTGCATGGAGGTGAATTATTCAGAACAGAGATTTTTGTTAAGTTGGGTCAAAGTTGAGAAAATGAAAATAAGTTTTTAACGGCGAACACTCAGTAAAATTAAAAGAGTATACATATTGCAAACATTTTATATTTGATTTGATTTTTGAGCCATTCAGCCCTGCAATTTTGAGCCCTAAACATGATTGATCATAACTTTAAAAAGCTTCTCCTCAAAATCCTCTTGGGCTGCAGATCTCTTGATCTGTCATACCTCTGATTTGGCAAATTTTTGATCGTGTGAAAAAATGCTTGAAAAACACTCCTTTATTGGTATCGATGTCTCAATTTTAATGGTCTCAAAACTGCAATCCCTTTCTAAGAAGAGAGTCTTTTGATACATTTAGGTAATATACGATGAACAAAAAATCTGTTCAAAAAAACTAAACAATTGACATAATTACGACAAAAAAAAAATTAAAATGACATGATGATGAGTAACTATGAAGAAACTATTCAAAATCGGTGATTGATAATCTATTTTTGAGTAGAGGAAAACAGAGATGAGAATATGAGGAAAAGAGAGCGTAGATTGATAGGGAAAGCAAAGTGGTACCATCTCCATTCAATTAAAAAGGTTGCAGGATGAAGTGTTTTGATTAGCGCCGCATCTATTTTTTTCATGCAAATGGAAGAAAAATAAAAGACAAGTAGGATAAATTTTATTACCATGCGCCTGTAACTCAGTAGTGGCAGATTTGTATGTAAATGTTATGTTCTGGTTTCCTGGATCAAAATTCACGACAGCCTTTATGTTGCGCTTGATGCTTGATCCAGGAGTTTCGAATTCTATACTGGCTATTGATTGATTCTGAAAGAGAAAAAAGCAAAGTACGAGGTAAGAAAAAAAAAAGTTGAAAAGTAATAAGAGATTAGTGCAGGGGTAAATAACTTCGCGACCGGCCCAATTGGGTGTTGGTTACGTTTTAAGGAAGGACTCCCGCAAGAACAGGAAAACAAGGAGATCACGTTTGAAATACATGATTTTAGCAGTGAAAAAGTCCTGGTTTTTCCAGTGAAAGCTTTTTTCTTTATCTTCAGGGGAAGCTATGAAGAATTTTGTTTAAAAATAATGGAAAGTTGATTGGATTTGGGGGGAAGGTTGATTAAATTTGGGGGAAGATTGATTGGATTTGGGGGAAAGCTTAGGACTTCTTGCACCCCTGGATTGGTACTTTAACACCAGATTTTTCACAAAAGCAGTTGCTTGAGCAAGGAATATGACAAGTTTTTTTTCTGGTTTCAGCTATTTAGGATTTGAGTACATTGGAGGAAAAATAAATCAGCTATGATTAAGTTGCTCGTAAAAATAATTTACCTCTGCTGTTAGATATCTGTACTGAATGAAGTACTCTTTTGCAGAGGGATCTGTTTTTTCAAGAACGATTCCGAACTTAATTGGACCACTGAACAGAAGAAGAGGCGCTTTGAGTAGCTTCATAGTGTTCGGGAACATGTAATTCACACACAGTTTTAAACCCATTGTTTGGTCCAGTACGTCCCAACTGCAAACAAAATCTTCAAAACGATCCTCGCCGATGACCTGCCCTCCTTCTATCACCACATCTTTATTGTTCTGCAGTATGCTTAATTCGGATCTGAAATGATAATTACCTATCATAAATTTCTCTAAACAAATGGTTTGAAATATTTCCTTATAAATGACAAATAATAGGCATGATAAAATGAAATTCATAAGTGCTGAAAAAATATAAAAAGACGGATTCTCTTTTGCGACACAACTTTTAAAGTTAGACCATTTCCACTACAGTAGACTACATGTGATTATGTCACTTGAACTTCTCCAATCTGGTTTCAAGTGCATCGTATCCTTTCTATTGCGATTCATCCAATAGTGACAGCCTTTAAATGAGTTGCAGACAACGAATGAATTAAAGGACTGAGTTACATCTCTTTAGAAATTCACATGAAAAATGACTAACGGAGCTGAAAGTTTAGAAATGAGCCCCTGTTTGAAAGTAACAATACATGAAATGACAACACACAAATGGATGGCATTGAGCAGAAGGTAAGTAACGCAATTACTGTATTGTAGAAAACTCATTTTTACTTTGCATCTTCATTTTTACTTGAAAAATGCTTAGAGGAGCAAATAAATTTTGTTTTTCCACTAAAAATTGGTTAATTTGAAAGGTAAATGACCAAGTAGATTTAATTATTGTACATTTATTTACTATTTTTCAAACCAAAGAAGTTTCATTATTTTGAAAACACTATAATCGTGTTGAATCCCTTCTGCTGAATGCAATCCAAATTATGTCATTCAGGTGTTATAACTGCAAGTTGATTCAAGCAGAGGCTTGAGGCTACTTATTTTGCGAAACATTTTTTGCATGAAATTTTGCAGGAAAAACATGCAACAGAGAGGTTTTGTTTGATATTTTCACTGCTGACTTATAATAAACTTCCTGATTTTTTTTTTCAACAAGACACAGAGTAAATTCGATAGCCCTTCATTATTTAGAGTTCCTGGGTTTGTTGTTTATAAAAATTGAATGATGACATGAGATTACCTCTTCAAACATAGAATACCGAAAATTTGATGCAACAAAGAGAAAAGCTCAAACAAAGAGCAAATGCTGACCGTCTTATGTTGCATGAGGATGATATGCTCAAATTCAAAATTAAACAGATTGATCATGGGAGATGTGCATTTGAAATGCATTATTTTTATTACTCACTCTGCATAAAATAAATCCGACTTCTTCAGAGGCAAATGGAATGACAATTTAACAAGATTATAAGAATCCAGTTGCAAAGTCGCGTTGACAGCGGAGGATGTATACATTTTACTCTTCAACTTAATCTGGGTTGACGAACAGTAAGCATCCACACCCATTGTTCCTTCGAGATGAACTGCCATTCTAAAACAGAAACGACACATTGTTAGCCCTTAACAAATTATAAATATTTTAAAAATAATGAAGATTTTAAAGAAAATTTAATTTCTCATAGTTTTATCTAAATTGTGAAAAATGTTAAAAGAAGTCATTATTTGTATGAGATTTTCAGAGTAAGTGCAAACGCTATGCTTGAAAACTATGTAGACCACTTAAGAATCGATTGAATTTTCTCGTTTCATATCAAAATATTTACTGACTTCTTGTCTATAATTTCCATGAGTTTTATTTTCAAAATTTAATATTGTACTTCTCACCTTTAAATTTTTGAGAGAATGAAATGATTGAAAAGTACATTACATAAAATCGTCTCACTGGAAAACTTGCATGAAAGATAATTACACAATTGCAAATACTACTGTAGTGTTGTGAGTATTGCTTCTGCCAGCATCTAGTCCTGGTCACTTGCACAACCTTCCTATTGCACATGGAATAAGTTATCCATGATAAGCTCAATGACATACCGAAAGGAAGTTCCACTGCAAAATAAACAATACTGAACACCATTTGACAAATGTTGTTGATCAGTGGTTTTTTACTTACCTTGGTACTAATTTTCCGCTCATCGTCAATTTCTTAGTTTCCGAAAAGTTTTTCCCTTGGAATGATCCTGCCATTTCCAGATGAATATCAGCAATACCAACAGAGTTTAGATTCAAGGGTAAACCAGCCCCTGTTGGAACGACATAACTAATGTCTAAAAACATTGAAGTTCGTTCAAAATGTATTGCCTGCAAAGAGTAACCACATAATTTATACCTGAGAAGTTTGATGAAGTCATACCCAAAATTTTTCTGATTAAAAATGAATAAATTCCAGTAGTTCAGCAGGCTGATTATTGAAATTGATAGACAAAGCTATAGATAAAGAAGACATAGGGAGTATGGAGCAATCTTATAGGTTGGAATGGGTGGCTCCTTCAAACTGTGGGAGAAAATTATGGACTAAGTATAGGGTCTCTCGTGGATTGCTGTTACTTAGTCTATTTCCTACCTCCTTCGTCTATTGCAACCACTCGCTTTCATCAATAGGATCCCTACATATCCATTTTGCCTTCTTTGTCTATCAATTTCCATAATTAGCCTGCAGGAGGTCAAAATACATACTACAGAAAATTAGAGTCAGAATTAGAAAAATTGCACATTACGAACAACCATTTATTTTCATTCCATTAAAATTTACAAAATCAAGCTACACTCTACTTCTTTTTATTTATATTTAAAGCACAATCACTCTTAACTGATGTAGTGATTGTAACAATTTTATACAATTATTGATACAAAGATGCATGATGCATACTCTTGCATCAATGCTTAACAAACACCAATGCGCACACAGAGATAGCCTCTCTTACGTACACTTGTGAATCATATACCAAACATTTTCGATAAACATATTATTCTGAGTGAATTCTTAGTTATCAGGATCCAACATGCTATAACGCTCGAATTTTAGAGAAATCATTCACCTAATTTTAACTTCAACTGAACTAAAGGACTGCGAAACAGTAAACACGTTAGATATACACGAGAGACAAAAAAAAATTTTTATTCATGATATAAAAATGAAAAATTACCTGGCCTTCAAAAAAGTCCGAGACGATATTGTAAGGATTAAATCTACTCAGCATTTTGTAGATTTCCGACTCTCCTCTAAATTCAAGGTACTTTATTTCATTTCCAAACAGTTTGAAACCAAACAGGACCTGTTCTCAGAAATAAACATCAAATTAAAGGTTTGAAGAACAGAAATAATGTTTATAAAACTGAAAAACATGAGCATAGATCATTTGCTGTGACTCACAGACTGCTTTGCTAGTCTTTAAGAACTTCCGCAAGTCCCTCAATAGACATGAAAGCTTCATTTGGCACCACTTATAAAAATGCGACCATTTCATAGAGCTAAATTTAAGCTTTTAAAGTTTACTGGAGATTTGTTTAACTTCTTCTGCGTCCGTTTTGCTCAATTTGTACATCTCCCCGAGGCAAAACCTACGTGGAAAAAAAAAACAAATATTCCATTCACTCCTTGCACTGAGCACTGATAGTAAACGACTCCATCAACTCCAATTGCACACACACAGAGAGACTGACAGGGAAAGTTCCTTTCATGCTACTATCTCACAAAACTGTTTAAGAAAGCACAGCTCTTCAGTCTTGACTGCTATGATATATCATGTGAAAAATTAAACGTTAAGTTTTCGGAAGACGATTTTTCTGTCTGTATGATTCTCATTCATGACTGGAGGACAGATGGTCAGAAGGAGTACGAGAGGCATTACGATTGTCTATCAGCTTTTAGAGGCACCTTCCGGCAAACAGGTCAATACTTTTCCATGAAAATTCTGATTCTCGATTATTATTATAAAAAAAAAAAAAAAAAAAAAAAAAACCTTGCGGAAGGATTCATTTTGCTTTTCATTATTAACTTTCTGTTCCATTTTTGCTTCCAAGTTCTCATTTTTTGTTTTCGTGCACAAAAAGAGAAATTATAATAAAAAAGGTTCAGATTTAGGCAAGAATTTTCAAAAAAAGGGCCTGTTACAACTTTAAAAATGAAAAAAAATACCCACCTAAAATTTTTTTCAGAAAAACAAGATTATATAAGTTTTTTGATTCGCAGACAAAGGAACATAAATACATTCCAATTTTGCCCTAAGTCCTTTTAAAGTTTTTACTCAGCAACTATAGGATATTCTTTATTGAAAATTTTACTGATTTATCCATGGATTATCGTTGAATATCAGACAGAAATCACTGTATCATTTGCTTGTGGAAGAGAGAATTGTTTATCAGTAGATTATGCAAACTTAAAGTGGAGTTACATACATTCCTTCATCCAGGAAATGACGAATTGCTGCCGCTGTTACAAAAAAGGTGATGACTTCATGTTTCATAAAAAAAATTAAATTTATTAAATTACCTTCATATCTAGATTGAGGTGTCATACAATTTTGACTTACCTTAGGAGGAGGGAAATTCTTTTCTATGATATTTGGAAGGCCGTCAATTTTTTCTTTGAGTGTGTCAGAGATGCTGCGTGCAATGCGTAGTAAGTTGAGGCCTTTTTTCAGTGAGTCAAAACTAAGGGGTCCTCCTGGTTTGAAAAAATACTCAGCATACCTCTCGAAGCCCTCCAGTGATATTTCAAACTGTTAAAAAGAGATCAAAAGTTTAAGAATTAAAAAGTTGGAAAAATTAAAGATATCTGAATACTTAAATTGGAAGGCTGTCAAACCAAAGTTTCATTTCAAACTGATGTAAAACTTTAAGACTGAAATTGAAAACTTCCTGAAAATAGACAGAATCCTTGTTTTTCACAGGATTTAGTATGTGCAAAATTTAATACGTATTTGTTTAACACACTTCATGATTTTCAGAAATTTTCAACAAGCTGTTCACTTACTCAAACTGAACAAAAAACCTAAAAAACTGATTTTCTCATAAAAAGCACTAGAATTAATGAGTGGGAAAAAAATATTTCATAAAGGATCTGTATACAGAAGCAGCCTAATTTGCTGAGTGTTTTTCAAGAGATATAAAATAATCTAACCAAGAAAGCTGTGTTTTCTATAATAATTCAGCTAAAATGATGAAAATACCTCAGCTAAGGAAATCGATTCATCAAAGATGTTGGTTGTGACGCTGACAGAAATCTTGCGAGGAATGTATGATTTGGGCGAGAAAATAACGTTCGTTTCGACAAAAATGCCTGCAATGAAAGAAAGGTGAATTTGAAGTTATTAAAATGGTGAAAAAATCATGACTCAAAAATAAAAGATAGCGTTGGTTCTTGAATTATTGCATTTTAAAAAGAGATTGTTTCTTTTCAGAACTGGTGAAATTTTCTTCTTAAAAATAGGTTTGATTGGGTAGAATTGGAAGTTTAAGACAGAAATAATATACAAGTTTTAAAAATCGGAATAATTTGAAGAAATTTTAATTTAAAAAGAAAAAGAAGGGTGGCGACAGGTGGCTTAAGAAGAAATGAGGGTGTGCCAACTCCCTGAGGGGCTTTGGGAGGATAGGGGACTTTGGCGGCTAGGTGTCACAAAGCACCAGAGAGCGCTATAAAAGCGGCTTCAGATGGATGTAAAAATAACATACATTCTAGATTAGATGTCTTTTTCAATTTCGAAATTTTCAAATTTTAATTTTAATTTTCATCAATTCAGCTTTGAATGTGAGCTTTTAAGAGGGTTAGAAACATTAGTTTGTTAAGAGTAACAGATTGTTTTGTTTATCGTACCATAAAGGAGAAACATGAACATGTATCTTACCTACACCATATTCATTGAGATAAAATGAGCCTTCATAATTTTGAGAGAACACTCTGATGTCAGATTTGAATTTCTTCTCGAACTGAAAGTCCTCCAACATTGATTGGAACTGAAGCTTATTTGGCATTGAAGATTTCATCAGGTTTTGGAGATGACTTGACACAAATGAACCGACTGAAAACAAACAGAGGGGTTGTGATCATTTTAAAATGAGGTGAATATTCAGAGCACATATTTAAAAACTTGAATTCCAAACATTCTTATTTTGTTCTTTCTTGAGGAAACCCACAAATATTTTTGCATTCAATTTTAATGGAATGTACCTCCGGTTAGAAATCGAAGAGTATCACTTTCCAATATACTATGTACTTCAATGAGAATTCATGGTGGCAATACTGAACAATGTAATTCAATTTGCGACATGGCAATGACTCGGTGGCAACAACTTTTTCTAATTCATTTTCTGAAGGTACAGAGTGAACTAAACTGTTAGGAATTTTCCAGATTTTTTCAAATTCTAAATGGCAAAGAAACCTCGTTTTGAGAATGCTAAAAAAAAGACCCCTATCAAACGATATTTTCGGCGGGCGCTGATAACGTAGTTAGGCAGTAGAAACTACGTTTGCTGATTGGCTGAGCAGGCATCACCTTGCTTCATCAACTTGACCATCACCTTTTTTTTAGCTTTTTCTTCCCTTGAAAATGATTTTTCAATTTTTGAAAGAACTTTTGGGTTTTTCACGAAACTGTACAATAGAATGACTGCTCTACAAACCTGCAAAAATTCTTTACAACTGCCCTGTTTTTCTGTTAAAAACTAAAAAACTTTGTTATATTCACAGTCAGCGTAGGTAGGTATTGAATAGAGGAACTTCAAAATTTGTCCTTGACCTCCTTGTCTTCTCATTTAAAGGTTGTCTTTCCCTTATTCTGAAGAGCAAACATATTCGTCCAGCAAAAAGAAGAAAAGAGATAAATCACCTTGATTCATAGTTTCGGCCTGAAGAGAGGCTTTGACATTCTGTAAAACGTTGTATGATGGACATTTCATAATCTGTAAGTATGCAGCTATCCTTACTTCAACATCTGCTGCTCGATTCAAGTAAGTATTCATCAATCGGTCACGGTTGACTTTACAGAGAAAACGCCTGAAAAAAATTTAGGTCAGATACAACATATGTGACAGTCCACAGGGGAAAGGATCTTAGTATGAGGAAGCAAAATTTTCAGTATCACGCCTTTTGTTGAGTAAAATCGAAAAATTTGATTAAAATCTTGATTTCCACAAAGAAGCTTTTCAAATGTCGTAAGGAATAATTTATGAGATGTTTACTTTATTTTTGTGTCAATCGATCAATACAAAGCATAAAATTGCACACTAGGATTCTCTGGCAATTTTGTGCCCTGAACATAGCAGATTAGAGTTTTCAACGATCTTTGCTCAAAGCAGTGATTTAGGCACTGCGAACTTCAAATCCTTACAACTCTGATTTGGTTTAACATTATTGAATTTTTTTTTTTTCGTGTTCAAATCTGCAGTTGAAAACTAGCCTATGTAATAGCCATTTCACTCCTCAGGCATTTGTTGTTTTACAAAGAGCCTAAATAGTATACTGGCATGATATAGTAAGACTGATAAAGTAGAAATTATGTGTATCAATTGGACATATTTCTGTCAAAGGGAACTAAGCGCCAAATTGAGTTCCTTTTGAGGATTTTAGAATCCCGGATAGCCCGTTCTGTCAAACGGAACTAAGCGCCATGGAAAAGCATTGCAAGTATAGGACGGAACAACAGCGCGTTTCGCAACACCCGCCAATCCAAGCCCCCCTCTCCCTTCCTCCCCCTATGGCGCTTAGTTCCGTTTGATAGAAATACGTCAAATTATGAAATTTATATTGTAAACAATGGCTAGTAAAATTCAGGGCAAGCAGTTTCTTGGCATCATTTTCGGCAAAATCTGCAGAACACAGACTCTGGAAAATGTTCATCATGATCACTTCATGCCAAGGTGCACTAGAGTATTTTGAAGGGCTAAAAGTAGGCAGGAATCAACGAACATCTGAGAAGGAAGAAATTGCAAACCTGTGAGCTCCAATTGCAGCAACTTTAATGTCCACTGGTACTTTTTTTCCAACAATTAATTTGTTCAAAAGTTCGATTATCTGTGGATTACTCACACCTGCATTTCCAATAGCTTTCAAAGCAACACTCAACTACAAAAACAAGAGGAAATCATATTAACATTCTTGATATGATGTCCGAAAAAATATGTCTTGGACTTTGCCTCAATCGATCATTTTTCAACTACCGGAATGCAATTGTAAGATTTCAAGAAAAACCAAGTTATTCAGCCTGTTGTCAATCCTTACATTTCATTATATGTATGCTTATTTAGAGGAACTGATTATTTTACATACATACATTTTCTTTTTTTAAATTCTAAAGCTTTTAAAGAAATTGTATCGCACAGATCTCCACAATTGTTCCAAATTCAACATTGTTCAACATTAATTACTTTACTGATTGGTTTCAATGGCAGAAATTTCCTGATACCATTCTGGGTTTTTCATATTATCATTTCTTTTGGTACCAAGTCCTATTACAGGAGGGCCATTGCGTTTTTGTCCTGTGCACTGTTATATAAATTTTGTTACTCTTTTGAAACCCGCTCACAAGTAACAGAATATGGAGTTATAAATAATAGGTGGAAAGGGGGTGAAATACATTTTTCAACAAAAAATTTTAAATATTATGGAGCTAATGGTCAAGACTTCGCCTGCTGAGGGGTTTTTAATTTTTATGCATCATTTCTTGATCAACTGGAGGGTAGAAACAAGTTGATTTGCCATCGGTGTCAAATGCTAGTTTGCCAGTATACGCCCAACGCAACACCGAGGGGTTACCGTGGTGGCCATAAACCTGTTGTAGAAGACAGCATGTTCAACCCAAAGATTGAGATGAACACAGGAGAGAGTGCATTTAAAAAGTTGTCTTTTCACCATGGCTGCATACGAATAAGAAGTTATGGCTCCATAAGATTAACTGTTTAAAAGAAAATTCGTTAAAATGATTGAAGAACTGTTCTCTTACCCCTGTACTATAGGATTCTTGCAAAATGCTTGAATTAACCCTGTTTTGCAGGTGCGATGTAATGATGCTCACATTGTGCTCGTTTTCACACAAATTCCACTTGCAGAAAGAGTGAATCATGGATGTTAAACTCAATAGAACAGCCTCGTTTTCTGGATAATGTTGCATTAGCGGAACAGCTACTGACACAATTTCATCATTTGGCCTGAGTTATCACAGAGACAAAAAGGGAAAAAATAAAATACCTAAATCATTGCGCTTAAAATAAAGTTTTCAGGGTCTTCTCCTTTAACAAATACTGTGAGAACATAAATGGTTCAGGTTTTGGCATCCACTCGGGTAATTCAAAATATTGCAAAAAATGACTTTAAAATGACATACGTCTGAGGTGTAACAACCTTAAAGGTTAAATAAAGTTTTACAAAGATTCTGACATTAGGCTTGTCTATCAACCCATGCACCTATTCGGAATTATAAAAAAATTGAAACAGCACCCCAGTTTTGCCTAAAACAAGTGAGTTCACTGCAAGAAACAAGAGAATATTCAGAGACAAATTTTTTGAGGATAAAAAAAAAAAATAAGCAGACAATGCATCTCATTCGATTAAAAATTATTTATCTTGCAACAATTTTAAAAGTCTTGAAAAGAAATATTCTTTTTGATAAGCTCTTGATACAATTTTTAACAAGGCGGTCAAAGTTATCAAATCGTGATGCTGGATTTTCCGTACTGACATTTGAAGTTTCTAAACTAAAGTTTAAAAAAATCTAAACTTCAGGATTGAATTGAGCATATTTCCTTGTTAAGTTTATCGGACACAGAAAAAAGGTAAACATTAAGTACTGAATTACCTTGGAAAAATGGAGAGAGCAAAGAGCCATTCATTGAAGACAACATCAGAGACGTTTTGATTTATCAAAACATCTTTCATTAATGTGACTGCAGCCACACTTCGAAAATAAGGTAGGGCATCTTGCACATACTTCCTGTAAGAAAACGTAAAAGTATCACTAAACGATGTCACATCTGATCGATAATGGGGTAAAACATCCAATGAGCTCATCTACTGATTGAGGGGCTTGGAGTACAAGCTGCATGAGTGAGTTTTTGCTATTTTGAGAAATATGCGTTTGAAGTTTCAAAATTACATGGATCCATATGGCGGAAAGAAAGTTCAAACTAACGATTTTATGCTTATAATTGGAATTTGCAAGCGAATTTTTCACAGAATATGCATTAAAACTAGTTTCACTTGAAATCATTAATTCCTCAATTATTTAAAAAAAAAACTGTACTTATGCGCCTTATCCCCCGAGCCCTTTAATTTAGGTACTTAAAATCGTAGTCTTCTTTGTTATAATATGAATTATTCTCAGTCTCTTCTTTAGGGTAAAAAACAAAATAGGACTTCGTAGACTCTTATATTCAGTTGAACACTTCACAGTGTGCTTTTTGCTATTTAGAATCTTGTAACTTTGGGTTAAATTCTCTTCTTCTGTTAAGGGCATGCCAACGTGGTTTTTTGTATTTGTTCGCTAGCAAAAAAAGGACAGATTTTAGTGAACACTCATGAAAACTCTAAAACAAGATAAAAAATGTTTAGCTACAGGAATGCACACAATCAATGTCGATTGGACATACTCAAATCAAAAGGAACTATGTCTATTTTGACCTGAGCCCTCTCATTTACGTATACTTATGGATCTCAGGGTTTATGTCAGGATGGATGTAGTTTCTTTTGATGTAAATGCATCCCATTTTTTGTTACTTTGCTGATGTCGATTTGCCATCAGTTTACATCAGAGTTTGTTGTCAGTTTGCTGATATCAAACTCATGAGCCTAATGTGGCACAAATTATACTATGCAGTTGATTTTTTCTGGTGAAGAATTTAATTTAATTTTTTTATGAACTTACTTTCCAAAAGGACAGATTTTGTTTGATGTCTGATGCAGTTCTGCTAGAGCTTGATACGACAAATGTTTTGCAGAGTGGATGAATTTGTTGTAAACATCTGGTAAACTGTGCTGGAACTCATCTGCCTTTCAAAGAAAAATAAGACAACATAATTCAAACTAAAAGGAACTATAAAGAGCTTTAAACCTAAGATAAAAGTAAAGTATGAACTTTTAAATTTTTTGTTAAATGATGAGCTATGTAAGAATTAGATGGACAAAAAAAACTGAAACCAACTAGCAAAATACATCTAACAAAAAAAAATTAACAGTTTCAGGATTTGTCAGCTCGAAAAATGATAACTAATAATTAGAGGTGAAAAAACTTGCAAATGAGACTCATTTTTTGACTAAAAATTTTCAAACTGTCTCAACCTTGAACTGCTTCTATGCTGTACGCTTTGATTACCTGAACACTTTTCTGAAACCAGTGGTGATATGCAAGAGTTGGCAACACTGAGTTATATCTACTTAAATTGTTGTAAAACAGTTGGTGCTGATATTAAGTGCCTGTCTTGAATAGAATTGATTATTTATAATGGATTTTAAGAGAATAAAATTGTTTCGCCAATTTGCGAAAATCACAGAGCCTGAAACTAAAATTTTCACCTGCTGAGTGTTACCTGATCTAGACGACAAAGTTGTTTCAAAAAGCTCTTGCTTTCATGGAGCTCATGTACTTCTAATTTTTTAGGCTTTTCGTGATCAAACAAGAGAGAAACTCGTTTACCGATAGGACCTGTAAAAGTTATTGGTAATTAGAAAATTATGTAAGGAATGGGTTTTCTATGATAGTCAGAATATTCAAAAGCTGAAAATTTATGACTTTTTTTTAAATTTCACTGCAGATAAAAGTTTCCTCTGGGTATAAACGCTGCAGTATTAAAGCTTCCTTTTCTTTTACAAAACATTGACGCAGCTGGATTTCCGCATGAGCCCCAGACAGCGTTGATTTATATGTAAAACAGGGCTCATGTAGAAATTGAAATCAACCCTAACATCAGAGGGGCGACTAATAGAGTGTGAAAAGGGATGTAAGCGACTTCTGGCGATCAACGCAAATTGTAAGCGCAGGCTCTAATATTGAAGTCATAACACCTCTAGAGCCAGTAAAATGTAAAGTTTTTTTAATACTTCAATTTTTTGAAAAGAAAAAAAGGTCCTCTGGACAAGCTTTACGGAAAATTTAACGAATTGAATGATGAGGGTGGCTCAATTGCGCTGATCAGAGAATCGTATTTTGATGATTTTAGAATATAGATCAGTAAAAACTAATGGCATCCGCCCATCCGCCCGAACACCAAATTTCCACGTCAAATAGTAACAGAACCCGATTTCAGTAAATGTAATTACGCCAGCAAAAGACAATAGACTACCTTAATCGATGCATGTTTCTTTCAACGAAAGCTTCAGTTGAAGTTATGGTATAAATCCTTGCTACACAATACAATAGCATGTCATAGTAACTACGAAAGTGTGTCAGATGGACAATCTTTATGGTAATGAAAACAACAGTATGGTTCTTTCTTTTTTCCTTATTAATTTTTTAGATTCAATTAATTTAAATCCTTTGACATTTGTATTCTCTTGACATTATAAAATGTATTCTGAACCAACATTTATAATAAAAAGGTAAAAAATCAATTTTTGGCCGATTGCATGCAATTGATCTTAGGAAAAGTAATTAATTTGAATTGCTTTCAGACCTGTTTCAAATTTCTCGTCCAGATCATACTCAGAAACATACTCCTCGTCCAAAAGTTGAAGTTTTTGCGACACCGTTGTAACTGCATTGTGTGACTGGTTGAGCAAAGGCTGAAAGGAATGTGTCTCTTGGCACGATACGGTCAGATACACTCCGTGATCGATGTACTGTCTACATTCAAGAGTAGCTGACATAGGAGTCCACTTGTGGTATTTCTAAAAACAAAAAAAAAGAATGTTCGAAATTTAAAGAGTCAGAAGTTGACACCACTTTAAATTCTATTTGGCATTTATTTAAGCTATCTTAAAATTCTAAAATTACCTACATACAAAGAACCTTTTTTAGTGCTCAAAATTTAAAGTTTTGAACTTCATTCTTCAGAGTTGAATCCTGTTAAATTAAAGGGCTTCTACAAAAATTACTGACAGTAGTTTCATCGAGGAAAAGTCAGTAAACTATGTATGTATAAGTCAGGGAATTTTGAAACCCAAGAAAACTTGTCCCTCTGAAAACAGACTGATTTACTGGCTGTGTCATTATTTTGATGTTTGACATTTGCTTTTTCCGTGGCTCCAATGTAAGCAAAAAAACGGAGAGAGACAAAGTTTAATTTCATGTGTGTACTTTAACATTTGAGCACAGAAGATCTGGAAAACATATTTTGAGGCTGGCAAGAAGGTGGTGATTAAAATTACTAATAAAACGAATAGCTCTCACATTTTGGAATACATATGGTGAAGTTGGTAGAATTGAGTGAAGTTGGTATCGAGCATTGCAATTCTGGATATCTTTCTTTTTGCTAATGATTAAAACAGTTCCGTTTACATATTCCAGATGGTATTTGGTTGGACACTTCCCATTCACATCGGTCTAAAAAAAGTCAACAAAATAATTTTCAATGACAGAAAACTATTTAAATACCTGCATAGTTGGTAAAATATATCATACAAAAGAAAATGTTCAAAGGCAAGTTGATGTTCAGCACATATGTACAAGTAAACTTGAGAATAAAAATTGGTTCATTTCATAAGAAATAATTTGAAACTAGGGTCTCTGTTTTAGTGCTTCTTTAAAATAGGATAGAAATATACAAATTTAACAGAAGTAGGATTGAGGATTTTGACCAGTCAGAGACAAAGGAACTTTGATTTGTATTTGAATTTTTTATAGAGTTGGAATACAGAATCGTTTTTAAGATTTCGACGGAAAACTTTCTCAATTTTTTTGAAGGATAATTCATGATAGGTTAAGATAATTTTTTTCCCTAAGGAGAATATGAGGTTGTATTATAATCTGGCAATTTTTCATGTTGAACAGGGCAGATAAAAATGTTTAGTCATTTTTCTCGAGAATGTTATGAACTAGAAACTTCAGACTGACATGACTCCAGTTTGAATTGACATATTTGGCGGTTTTTGTAACAAACTTTCATCTATGGTTTGGTATTTCCTATGAATAATCATCATTGGCCACTAGACAAGGTCAGAACTAGAAAATAAATCACCAGGTAGCTCTTCAAAATCTTACAGAGAAAACGGTTAATCCGATGAGAAATTGGAAAGTCAAATCCAGAACGAGATACTAACAAGTACTTTAATTTATTGCAGATCAAATGTAAGTTAGATTATACAATTGACGTCATTTGTATTTTGGTTTTTTAACCAAAACTTGATTCCCAGACTTCCTGTGGTGTGATTCGTTTTCTTCTTGGAATTTTTGAGACGAAACTAAATGCAGAAAGCTTTAATTTAGACATTGTCAAGAGGCCCATTATATTGATTTGAAAAATTTGCTCCAGGGTAAAAAAAAACTCTCCGTCCTACCAAGTGACTATCAAAGGTTATTGATAAAATATGCTGACAATTAATCCAAATTTACACTTGACGAACCTAAGACTTCTTTGGCAAAGACAATTGTACCTACAAGGAAGGAGAATATTTTATAATTCTACCTCAATAATACTAGAATCCAGATCCAATCTTTTCATTGTGTTCTGAAAGGCTGTCAGAATACCTCTTTTGATGTTCAAAACCCAAACAGGTTCATCTTTGTCTGCACATAGTTCTGTTACATGCCCCTCATGGAAATGAAACCTTCAAACAAAAGATTCATCTGCTGTTAAAAAGTAAATAGTTTGTAAAAAAAAAGAGAGAAAGAAAATAAAATCATCCATTCACCCTTGTGTATGCTTTTGCACAAATGGATTAAACATTAGCTTTGCTTTGAACAGCAAAATTGCATTGTGCAGTAGAAGTTCAGTTACAAGGCTCTACATGATTAAGTAACAGTTGGGATTGATGTTCTAAAAAACTGCAATTTTTTCCCTCTGATATCCTTCATCAGGTTCAAGTTGCATTTTCTTTCGAATGACGCATTTACACAAACGTTTCAAACAAAAAATTTACGAAAATGGAGCAGGATAATACAATATGTGCATAATCAGGATACTGCTGTGTCATGTGGGTTAGCTTCTGGCTACTTGTAAGATTAAATTGCTCTTTTGATGCATATTTGAAAATTTCATTTCATTTACTTACATTATTTGGTGGAATAAAACTAAGGCCATTTACAGCTCATGATGAAGAATCTACATGGGTGATTTCACGATAACAGGAATAGTTAAAATGTGAAATACCTTAGAAATAAAATTGCACCAATTTTAACAGGAATTCATTACCTCATTTTAAAGGTATTAAACTTCCTTTTTCCAGCTTTGGCACGCTCTATAATGATTCAGTGCAAAGTTAAAGTGATTGATAAATAAGCCATTGAATCAGGTATCAGCGCTTCCCGCGGGACTGCTGGAGGTCCACGCAAACATGGCGGCCCTGCTAAATTGTGTCGGTTACGTAACAGACACAGCGTAACCGACACTCAAAAATGTGAGATTAAAGATGATACAAAAGATGAAACTTGGCAATTCTTGAGTTGTGACGTGGAATTAATGCTGCCTTAAAAGTTTTCTAACCTTTGGAGACTTTCTTTTAGTTAAAACTATTAAATTAAAGTTTTTGCATAGTGAGGAATTAGTGCTACACACGTAAAAATCACTGGTTTTCATAATAATTAAAGTTTCCATTGTAAAAAAAACTGACTTATCAGTAATGGTTTTGTCAAGAAGACTTCAGCGAACAATTTGATGGCAGTTTTGAAACTCCTGACTCCATCTGGCGAGATAAACACTGCACTTGATACAACTGCAAAAATGTGTTGCCAAATGTGGCGACACCTCTTTCTTATGACTTTTCTCGCTCAATAATAAACATTTCAGTTCAAACTGGCAATTTTCTTGAACACTAGAGTCTCTTTTCAGCAAATATTGCCAAAGAGTTTATGATCAGTACTGATATGTTACCGCAAATTGCTCTTTTGCTTCAAAATCAAGGTTGGCGACGCGTAACCGACCGGACATTTTTGGCCTTTAAAGTCTCATATTATTAATTATAATAATAATTCATCATATTTTTTAGCATGGATAGGTTCAGGGACATCATTCCTATTGATTAATTAATTTGGTTTTCAATCGTTTTGCCCTATGTCGTTCATAACCCACGGCGACACGACTATTCCTATTATCGTGAAATCACCCACATGCACTCCTTGAAACTGGTCAGAAAAAAAAAAAATATTTTTCGCAAAAAGGTACCGAGGACATCGTGAGAGAATTATTGCATACATTTCTTATTTAGGTGTGCTTTAAGTTATTTTGTAAAGGAAAAAAAATGTTGGAACAGTCTTCATGACATTTCGATGCTTCTGGTTCCGATTTGCAAAATGCAGAGCGACCGAACGGTACTTTTGAAGAAATTTTATCTTACCTTAACTTTCGTTGCGATAAACTTTCTTCAAACTGTGACGAAAGATCATCAGATTCTTCTTCAGACTTTTCTCCGAACGCAGATTCTGGGCTATCCTTTTCTGCACTTGACGCTTTTTGAGACTTATTTATGGTGACTTTGTTTATCTGAAGTGAGCACACAAGATAGAGAAAAAACTTGAGTTCTCATGACATAAACTTAAATTGTGATGTTTATAATAAGCTGTCTTCTTTTAAGTTGCTCACAACTTTTGATCTTACATTGGCATCAAATTTTAGACCAGAATTGTTTCAGACGGGATTTTAACATGAGAATAGAATAATACTTACCAGCTCAGGATCGATTTTAATGGGTCAAAATTAAATGAATAAAACTTCAAATTTGAAAATTAAAAAATAAGAAAACCAATAATATGATGGCTACATTTGAGACCAGACCCTTTAAAGTTTGAAAAATATACATACCAAGAAGGGGTCGTTCATAAAATACGCAACGCTCTGGGTGAGGAGGAAGGAGGAAGGGGGGTTCAAGGAGAACACTAAGCTACTTTGTTCTTACGTATAGAAAGAAAGAGACCTATATCACCAAAGTATTACTGAGGGAAGAAGGGAGTAAAAAAATCCTAAATTTAGCATTTAAGTATTTTACAAACAGCCCCAAAGGTCAAAGAAGTCTGAGTGTGAGCTTGCTTCTTTGACAACTTAGTAATTTTTGTCAAACAAATTTCAAATTATCCACATTTATTTCCTTAAAAAATATAGGTCACAACCTTATTGAAGAATTTTCTCTGGTCATACTCAACTGAACACATGAAGAGATCAGTTTCAAAATTATCCGGGAGGAAACTGAGCATGGTTTTTTTAGTCTTGACATTCAGCTTACCTGTAGCTGACCTGCGCATGAAGACTTCCAGAGTAACTCCAACTCTAATTCAAACTGGAAGGAGGAGGCATTTTTTCCAATGCCAGCAAATTCAGTAGCAACATCAACGGAGTACTTGTAACGATATCGATAATTTGTTGAAAATTTGAATTTTTTATTGGCTGCGACAAAAAGGTTTCAAACTTAATTAATCCAAGGAAGACGTTTCATCATATTAACAAACAAACATGAATGTAACTTGAGACATTCTCAAAAATGTATCCAACCGTAGAGATGTGTCTTAATTGGACCGCATTAAGCAGAAAGGAACCAAGCCACATCAGCTATTGCCAAATTTAATCGGGCAATTTAATTTTTCACATGAAGACGGTTGTGCAGATTTTTGTGCATATTTCTATGAATTTTTCTAATCCAAAGCAAATTCCTTAAAATTTTCAAAGGAATCCGCACAGACGTTCTCTCATAAAAAATCAAATCCCCCTGTTAAATTTGGCAATAGCTGATGTGGCTTGGTTCCTTTCTGTTAAACGCGGTCCAATTTATTTTCAATTACAGACAACTCAAGAAAGCGCCTTGATAACCGTGATTTTTTCACCTCTTTTTGAAGAATATTCTGTGAAAATTTTAGGCAATACGGTTCTTGTAATTCTTTAAAAAGAGATAAAAACTAGGAGTGAACAATTTTAAACAATAAAAAAGATATAAACCATACCACTATCCAACATTATGTACCCGATTTCTCGGCAGCTGAATTAACTATTGGCATCATATATTGAAACTGAAAGCCTCTCCTACTTTGCAAACTCTTAAATTTGCTTTAATCACCCTGATTTTCTCAAACCAAGTTCAAAATTTGCTCATAGGTATGTATAATGAGATGATAGTATGAAGATAAAATTTTTTAGGTAGAGATGTTAAATTCAGTGAGAGGAACACTCCAATAGCTGCCTAGAACTGCTTCAAGATGTATCGACGAAGATATTTCAGATCTTACCGCAAAAGATTGTTCTCTTATTCCAAGCGGATGATTTATGGATGAAATTTGTTAAACTGTTAAACAATATATGAGGACTTATTTGTAACAATAGCGGATGTGAAAAATTACCTTTTCGAAACATATTAAAAAAACTGTTTTGTCATTGAGAAAATTTTGAGAAAATACTTGAGATGTGATCTTCGAGAACTGTACATTATGCCAGAGCCAAACATATTAAATTTTTGTGTAAACAAAACAGTTTTTTAAGCATGTATCGATAAGGTAATTTTTCACATCCGCTATTGTTACAGATAAGTCCTCATTTAGAGATAAATCAATACATACCTGGACAGGTTAAACTTCCACAAAAAGTAGATTTTCGTATCTGGCCTGAAAGTAAAAAATATGGTGCTTGATGAGCAAAAAAACTCAAGAAAAGATTTCACAGAGGGGTATTACATTGCAGTTGACTCATGAGCCAAAAATATGCATCGTAAAAAGAATAATCTAAAACACATGGGTCACAAAAATTATTTTACCTCATGTGAATAATTCCAAACGATTTAAAAATATTTGACTTGCCCACTACTCTCTTTCGATTAAAACAATACCAAAGTTGATCTAGACTCCAGAGCATTAGGGTAAAATTAATTCCTACGAAATTTTCTTTTATCTTTTTATCACCTTCACTTATGCAGCACAATTGCATTGAACATACGAGGAATTTGAAAAACAAAAGTACTTCTTCTTTCTCTATATCCATGATTGAAAAACTCCTTCCTTTAGTCTTTGTAAAATGAATTTGGAGCAGAGAGAAATGCTTATTCCCTTGAGATCAACTTCTTTCTCTTAAATTTCCAAATGGACATTGACGTTTGCTTGAGAAGGGATTAAAATAAGGCTGAAAAGACTCTGTTCAAGGTTTAAAAATACAAAAAAAGAGAAAAAAAAAATGAGGGGTAAAAACCGTCTGTATCATTTACTTAAAGAACCTTACTTGAAGAGGCACCATCAATGAGGTAATTGATGAAGGCCAAGAAAACACAGGAACACAAAAAAAGTGTCGATCGATATTTTAAACCTCTCATTTTTGGTGATGAAAAGGAGACCGAAAGATTTTAATATCAATTGGAAAATCACTGAAGTTAGCTAAAACTACATCACTGCACAAAAGGAACGGTTGAATCAAGAGAAGCCCTTGAGACCTTTCAGATTAAATTTTAGTCATTTCAGGGTAAGAAGCTTGACTATAAATCATATCACTTTGGTTGAATTTCATGTCACGTCAGTGAGCTTATCAGTCAAAAAAAAATTCGAAAAAATTTTGAAAATCAAGCGAAATGAGTCCACACATTCCTTAGGCACTTCTTGTTACTGCAGAATCACAAAAAATGGCTCCTCCATTTCCGGAAAAGAACTTTCGGCTAACTGAGATGACAAATTTCACAATCAGTGGAAAATAAACACAGGTACAAAAGTGGGCTAGGTGCACTTAAAATTGATTGCTAGACAAAATCAACTAGACTAGACCAAAAAAAAAGAGAGAAGACTTGCACCCAAAAACATGATAAAACTACAGGTCACATGCCAGATAGTTGGTGGGGGGTAAAGTTCAAAGATTACCCATTATCAGGCTCTGAATGAAAATTAAAATTCTTTCATGGCTGACTGGAATGGGGGGGACTTTGACAGACATTGAATTATTCTTGGAATTCCCGATGATTAAAATATCTTTTTGTCAGGATTCAATAAGAACGCAATGAAAAAAAACTATTGTGGTTACATCCGTTGAGTCATGAGAGAAGATATCTCTGCCTTGCAGAGAGAAAGGCATGCTATAAAAAAGATTGCAGCTTGCAGGGTAATGTTTTCTTAAACTTTAAACACTTCATTAGGTTCATTAAACAAAACACAATGAGCTGATTGGTGTAATGGATAGTTTGAGCAGTCTTTCCTCAACAGTTTTTATGAAACATTTTGCAGCAATGATTATTTTTTAATAGATACTGTGGGTAGGAACCGAGTTCCTTTTCTGAAATAGTTACTTTCAGAATAAATTTTCTTTGTAAGTTGATATTTATTTATTGACCAAGGAGACATCAATATGCAATGCAAACTCATCTGAAATTTTGCTTATCTTCGTCTACAGCAGTTCTGAGCACTAAAATAAGAGGGTCTTTTCGAAGTAAGTATCTTCTTGCTGTAATTTCAAAACTACTATATAAAATTGAAATCTCTATATATTTCTTTTTGAATAAACTCTTCGCATTCTAATGCCCTTAAGTTTGTTCAATTTGGTCTACTGGAATTCAATTGACTTGTCTTTCATGAACCCACTTCCGTACCAAATGGGTTTAAAATTTGACGCTACTGTTTTGACCGAAAGTTGTACCAATCCTGACAAAAAATTGGATAAAATTAAGCAAAACGGTCACATGTATACTGTAGTGTTTCAAAAGTTCATCTCTAACTTCAGTTTTATGGAAACGAACCGACTGACATTTTTACTCGAAAATTAGTGCAATGTTCCTTGCCCAAATGAAGATTATTTTCGCCGAATTTTAAGCAAAAATGTTGGTTGGTTTTCTTCCAAAAAGTCAGGAGATGAGATTTTGAGACGTGGCAATCTAGAGGTGACTGTTTTGTTTAACTCCATCCACTTAAATTAAACAAAACCGAGAGCACACTTGAGTGACTTCACTTTACTTTTTGATGTAGAAGTTTCTTTTTTGAATGCACTTTCGGAAACACTTACTCATACCCGCAGCATACAATTCCTCATCCTGAGTTCTCAATTTTTTGTGAGGATTTCTTAAACTTCATCATTGGTTCCGAAGCTTTTGACACCATGATGAACCTCCAAGCTTGGAAAAAAGTTGATGCCACTCCAAGTCAGAGCTGATGAAAACAGAAAGTAGGAAAAATTCTACAAGTCGCGACAGAACGCCATGACAATCGCTCTAGAGACTGGAACTGAACTGCCTCTCATCCCCTGAAGATGATGGAATGTGTTTAATACTTTAAGACAATTCTAAACGATCTAAGGACGAGATCCGCCATGATGTTGTCCTGCTTCATAGTTTGTGTCTTTGAGAAGCAATGATTATCGTCATGTACAAGTTGATTCAAGAAAGTGATCCATAACGTGTAGGATTATTGATACTGAGTGGAATGACATCAAAATAAAGATTCATTGAATATTCGGAAACTACCATAGCAGACGTCGCCTCTTGACTTAATGTGTAAGAAAGAGATAGCGCTGTAGTATTACACATTTAATAAATGGACGACGTCAGTTATGGTAATTTCCGATACAGATTTTCAATGAATCCTCACCAATTTGATGTCATTCTACTCATTATTATTGATGCTAAACGTTGTGGATCAGTTCCTTGCATTAACTTGTACTTGGGTTGCCACAGAATTTAGAAAATGAAATTCCCTGACATTTCCCTGACACATTTTGGTAAAATTCCCTGACAATTAAAGATATTATGATGGAGTTTTTTACCAACGTGCGTTAAAATTCAGCATGAAGCTGAAAATCTCAATACAGAGGGAAAAAGCTCATAAAAGCACAGTTTTCCTTCAAAGAGATATGCTATTTGGTGCAACACTAGTTACGTCCATTCAGGAAGGCAACTGCAGACTCAATCCTCAGTGCAGCGCAGCCTCCTGAATTTGGTAGTAGAAAATTCAGGAGGCTTTGCTACACTGAGGATTGGCCCAACAAGGCCAAAACGCGTCTGCAGTTGCCTTCCTGAATGGACATAACTAGTGTTGCATCAAACAGCATATTTCTTTGAGGGAAAACTGTGCTCATATGAGCTTTTTCCCTCTGTATTGAGATTTTCAGCTTTATGCTGAATTTTAACGCAAGTTGGCAAAAAATTCCAACATACTGTCTTACAACCCGTGCGTCCATCGCAATCAGTTTGTGTAATTGAAGATATGCCAGGTGGTTAAAAAGACATAACTTGATATAGTTTTAGGCAAAATTTGTTGATCGAAACATCAAACCCATTCTAGAAAGCAAATAAAGGTGACTTAACAATTTTCCCCTGAAATTTCTTGATGTGCCCTGACTGTGGAAACCCTGTTGTGCGTACCGATAATTATCGCTTCTTGAAGACATAAATCGTGAAGCAACGTAACATGGTGGCAGATCTCGTCCCTAGATCACTTCGAATCACCTTAACTTTGGAAGATTGTGTATTAGAATACGGACAAATTTTCATTTTATTAGATCTCTTTTTACATGCTTGGTACAGCGATGGCTGGACATACGGGACGAAAGTCCTAGTCATAGGAGGAAGGCCCGTTATGTTTTAAATATATATACTAATATTGCAGAAAATTTTTTTTTCAGTATTAAATAGGTTTACGTTCATTCTTTTCATGAACTGGACTACATTTTGCGATTTGGAACTATAAATTCTAGCCTGGTTTAAAAACAACATATGTGCCATTAGTTTCCCTATGCACATAGGTGTCTTTCCAGAAGAGCCAAAATTTATAGTTCCAAATTGCAAAATGCAGTCCAACTCAACTGCAGGTGGATTCAATTAAATGTGACTCGCACATCGAAAAATTATGTTTTCAAAAAATTTGGGCCGTTTTTACAAATGAAAATCTATGCACCTTGAAAATTCCATAGAATTACAGTTGCTAGAGACAAAATTTGATCACTGTATGGGTTGAAACAACTCGCTCAACTGGTCAGTAAGATTCGCACGTCAAAAGCTGACACTATGATATTGCATGGTATTCATTCAGGCCATATTTTTTAGAGATATTTAGAGCTCTGATGAGATTTCTTACTGTTAAATCATTTCACAAGCAAGCTTCAAAGATTATTGAGATCTCTTATGTGCTAAATTTGGAACAAAAATTCGATTTTGATAGCGCATATTCCTTACTGAACAAGGTTCAAATGTTAACATTCTAACAGATGCTCCCTCTTGAGAATTTCATGGAGGACACAATTTGTGCAATGAAAATTACTGAAATTAACTCCTAAACAAGATTTTAACGTTTATATTTAATGCTAGTTAAAATTTTATCTTCCTGCTCATAAAAAAAATTCAAGAGACTACGCAAATCAAAACACTTGATCCAGCAAATTGATACAGCATGTTTCTCAACCAAGGAGTGTTCCTTCCTTGCCCTTTTTTATCCAAAAAGTAAACAACAGCTAAGCCGAAGTGGCAAAACTGACATTGCTATGTTTTCATACCACAAAGACTGTTATAATATATGGCGTGCAATTTAACTTGAGTAAATTATGATTTTTCATGATAGGGAAGTTTGAATTTAAGCATAAAAAAAACGTTAATATCTTGGTTTGGAGTTTCTTTCCATAAATTCTGTTCTACAAATTGTGTTCTACGTCAAATTTTGATGAGAAAATATACATACATCAGATTGCTTAAACTTGCACCTTCTCTAGCAGTCTATTTAGATACGCGAACAAGTTGTGAAAAACTATGCACAAAAACGCTAGTAGCGAGACGTTTATTTTGAAGGAATAGTACCACAACAATAAAAACAAAAGAGGGCTTAAGAAAAATTATTCGGGTTCCCATCAAACATTTTTATTTTGAAGCATCTCGATGAATGCAAACAGAATACTATAGCACGGTAGATAAGTCAGGTTTGATCCAGAAACCTGGAGTCGAAGTATATAAAATAATCGAACTGAATCACAGTGGATGATAAAAACTAAAATAGAGTAAATAATGATAATTTAACTCACGTGGCGGAGGACAACTTACAGCTTAACAATTTGACAAACTCAACTAAATTAACTTATTGGAACGATTATCACAACAGAAAAAAATAAGATACTGGAACAAACTTTCCCTTTTTTTGGAAGAAAAAAAAAACCAGTCAGATTGCACTTAACTTAACAAAAGTTAAAATTTAAGAAGTGGAGTCTTTCCAATAAGTTAATACTTGTCGTTATTCAATTCGAATTTTAGGGGTCCTAGTCCGGCACTCAACTGATCTGAAAACAAAAAACGACAAAATTAGCTCAAGTTGTAGCCCAGAAGTAAAAATTCAGCTGGTCAAAATCTAAAAAGTCTTTGAAAGTTATTTAAGATGCTAATCACAAAAAAAAATATGTTTGCCTTTCCAAAGAAAATTTCTTAACCCTTTCCGGTCCATTGTCGGATATATTCGCCATGAAAAATGATGCGTTTAGGTCCGATGTTGGATATAGTCGCCCAAAAGTTTGAACTTCTGCGCAGGTCCGATGTCAGGTATATTCGACTGCTCCAGCAAGCAGCAGCCTCTGGTGGACCCTTTGGAAACCACTGTCTTTGTTGACAACATCGCTGCTACCTTAACCTTGCTTCTAGCCGCCGTGGAAAACTGCCATGGACCGGAAAGGGTTAAGATTTAAATAAGTCACTTGCACTGTTTGACAATTCATGCATTTTAAATCATAACATATTTTGACACTTCGAGATCCACACTCTTCAAGTTCAAATATTACAGTGCACAACCTGCAAACATGTTTGATTTAAAATGCTGAGGACATGATGGTTGATTCTAAAGCGCTTTGCAGCACTTGGTCCATAGTACCTCAGTTGTTTACATCTACCCACTAATTTTTGGAGATTTTCAACGGAAAAAAAAAAAATAAAATTCAATTTTCTAAGAAATTGGTGCATATTGGAGAGAAACAAAGATCACTTGCGGATTTAGCAGCCCGAAATACTGAGGTATCGCATGCTTAATAATTTTCCTCTGCTATTTCTGCTTGAGAGGTTTTCTCAGTCAAATAGCAAAATCCGCCTCTCAACCCTCATGTACAATTTATCCCTTTATTTTACATCTAATAGGACAGAAAAATATTTTACTCTGGTGTCTAATGACTAATGAAGCTGCTTGCTGCTTGATTGTAGCTGCTGAGGTCGAAACTGACCATACTTAGTTTTTTTTGTATCACCTAACAATTTTTCAGGAAATCGAATTTTCAACCAAAGAATAAGTTTTCAGATGCCAAAAAAAATGTGTTCCGGTTGAATTGGCTTTCCTGAAAATTTGTAGATGATGGAAACACTTATCATTTTTTCTTTCAGCGGCAAAAACAAGAGAGTAGTCTCAAAAAACACCTGCATAAAATAATCTTCCTGTTTTTATAGATGCAAAATAAAAGAACCAGTTCCAAAATAAGTACACAAGCTGATAAGCCATTTAACCAGGAAAAACCTCGTTATAAGACACAGTAGGATAATTTTTTAAAAGGGAATACAAGTATGTATTTTAGGCTGTTAAATTCGGAAATAACCTTGGTATATCTCTATCTTGTGCTAATATTCCGAGAAAATATTTTTATTTTCTTTTTTTTGGGAAAAGCCCCTTTTCTTTTGAAACATCTCCATTTTCTGAAAAATTGGTGGGTGTGGGAAAATATCTGAAATAAATTTTGGACTGAGCATTAAAAATTACTGATGGATAAGCTATTGTAAAGCAAGATATTAATCCAGAAAATCTGGTTCCAACTTGATCGATTAAATGCAGAAAATTATACTTACTTAATTTGTTGGGATCCGTGGAATCCATTTGGAGGATATGCGGGATAATATTGTCAATTTGAATAAAACCAATGAGGCCTGCAAAAAATAGCTCTTCCATAACTTGCGGATTCAAAGTCCGCAGAGGCGGTAGCTTCAACAGCAATTTTGGGAACCTGTCTTCATCGCTGGGAGAACTTGCTCGTACATACTCCCGCAACTCTTGGAATGCTTTTTCTTGAAGTTTGCAAATACTGAGCCGGTTACCTATGTCAGGGTGATCTGGTGGGCAAATACATTGGGCACAGTTAGAGCGGGATTAAATACATAGAATGTTTTGAGCAGTGGCGTGGCGTGAATAATCGATTATCGATATCTCGCCATTTGAAGCTATGGTAAAGAATCGATTACTAAGGTGTTCGCTGCGAACACTCTGATAATCGATCTTTTTTCATAGGTTTAAATGGCACAACAATCGATATATCGCAATTCACGCCACGCCACTGGTTTTGAGTCAAAAAGCAAATGGTTCAGAAATTAATTCTCTGGGCCATATTAATATTTTTAGCAAGCTCTATGATATTTTTTCCTTTGAACTATTTCAGAGGACAAAATGGTTTCTTTAAGTTTTATACAAAAAAAATCAATTTTCATTAGTTGGAGTGGTACAGAAAAAATTATCTTCAGAGTTTGCAAGAAATCCTGAAAAAGAGGTTTTCGAGTGTTTTGCATCAATGGGAATCTTAGCAAAAATGTAAAAAATACATGCAGGCTAGAGATAAACATTTTTTTCAAAATTTTCTGAGACTTTTGAAAAAATTTGGCAAAATCTAATACATTTTTTTCGGGAGACAAAAAAAAGGGGAAAGTAAACCTTGTAGCTAAATGAATTTTTGGGAGGCTCTCCTAAATTAACGGAGAATCCAGACTCCATGATTCAACTGGAATTCTTCCGAGCAAACTTAGGAAACATCTGGCAACACAGTGTACCACCATTTTACAAAGATTACAACGACTAATTTTATGATCAAACTGATCTCGGAGTTTTTGATCTTGATTTTTAATATTTCTTAGAAGGCACAGACCTCTATTGTGAGATACCCAAGGCCCATGGCTAAAATTATTTGAATACGAAAGAAAAACACAAGAGACTCATTTGATCTGGAATAAATTTAAAAAGTTGCAGGATTACATACCTGAGCTAAAAAGAGAGATCAGTTTTAAGTACGCAAACTCGTGATCATTGACGGACATACTACTCATTCCCGAGATGTAGTCTTGAAGAAGGCAAATATGATCACTGACCTGGAAGCGATTGAAAATATAGACTTTAGGTGTACTAACAAAACAAAAAAATTGAGATTTGATGAATAAGCATTTAATTCTCAATAAACAGGACAGATTAAACTAGAATACAACGGTATACGTCATCTTATCTACTGCAACCATTGTTAAAAAGTACACCTTACTTTCATCATGAACATTTTTAATTCAGAAACCTTTCAAATGAGCAGTTTTTCTACCGCCCAAGTACAAGTTACTGTAGAGGTGCTGAAAGTTGACCCATTGGCATACAACAATATCACTAAGTCATTAGTCGATTTGGCATTGCGAGTTCTTGTCAATATTTATGTGAGTAGTGTAACTAACATAAAACTTATAAGGTATGGTAATTCACCATGTACTTTTTTGTGGTATTTTGGTAATATTGCGCAGTTGAACATGAAATAACCTCAAATTTTTCTGACTTTTTTCTCATTTCACAATTTGCGTGATTTGGACGGCGATAAATAAAGCAGCAGTAACACTTTGAGACGATTGACAATTGGAAGGAAATGTGAGAGAGAGAGAGAGAGAGAGAGCAGTGAAAGCTAGTTACGATAAGGAGTGGAAAAAATTGAAGAGAGAAATCTTGATACTTTTGAGGGCTTACCTGTTTCACTCTTGAAGCAGATATTTTTTCTAAAGTCACAGATATGTGTAGGTGATTGACTATAGAGGAAAGGATTGTAGACAAGGAAATTTTTTGTGAACATTGCACTAGTCCCAGAAAAAATAGTTCAGGCCAAGCATGCTTTAGGAGAGCCACTTGTGTGTTAAAACTGTAACAAAATCAAAGAAAAATTTAGCAAAAATTAGAAGGAATAATAGTAACAATAGTAACTAATTTTTTCTTCAGTTGATGGTGAACTCTTTTAAGTTTTTTTATTTTTGTAAAACATATGTTTGGTGTTGTTAGAGGAAGGGCCTTGACAGATATTTTAATTGAAACAGTTGTAAGTTTCAAATCAATGTTCAAGGAATGCAAAAACTGTCCGATCTTGCAGTCCATGGATCGCAACAAACTGGAAGCTACGAGGCATTTATCGAGAGCAATGACTTCTTTCTTTGTGCTGATTGCTTCAAATAAAAGAGGTGAACGAGAGTTTTTGCGCTGTAGGTCAGAAATTTCACTGAGAAGTATACACAGAGAAAAGATCAGAATTCTGGAACTTTTTACACTCTTACAATACTTCACTGAAAGCTGTTTGGGTGAAAACAATGCAACATAATGTTATAATTTAAAGAACAACATATGAAGTGTACAATAGTCTTTTGAAACCCCATTCATAAAAAATAATTAAGTAATTGAGTTGGTCAATTGGGAAAAAATGAGACTTTTAAATAAGTGAGAAAAAACTGACATTACCTTAGCTTCTTAAAAGCAGGAAAATTTTGTACCCAGTGCACTGTAAGGAAGAGAAGTCTCGATGCACACTCGCACATATAGTACGTGACCACATACTTCGAAAATGGACTAGAATTAGGAGCGTACAGCACAAATGGAACCAAGGCAGGCCACAACAAAGGGTCCTCGGAGACCACCCCTTCATCTTCATTTTCCGAAGTGTTGGCCTCTTCATCATTGACATTCTATCAAAACATAATTGAAATTCTAGATAAAATACGAAGCTATGGTTTACAGCAATTTTTAAATGATGTATTATTTAGACCAGAAATGGTAAGATGGTTTGAAAAATATGACATCTAGAGCAAAAGTTCAAGGAAAATGGCGTGGCGTGCTTTGTGATACATCAATTGATCTGTCATTTAAATCCACAGAAAAGGATCGATTAACAGGGTGTTCACAACAAACACCTTAATAATAATTGACTCTTAACCATAGCTTTAAATGGGAAAATATCGATGATTGATCATTCACGCCTTGACACTGTTCAAAGATGGAGAATTGAGACTTCATTCCATTAATTTCATCATGACTTTTGGAGAACCTGAGATCATAAATTAGAGAAATCGAGAGTTTTGAACAGGATGTCGAGACAATGATGGCTTAAAATCAAAGAGCTAACCTAGGTTTACATAGGATATCACATTTAACAGGAGAGACCATACCTTCTTAATGACTTTGGCCATTGTATCTAGAGCACTATTGATTACAGATTTGTCTTGAACATTCCAAAAAGCATCTACAAAATCTTCTTCTCGGGAACCGCTATCTAAAGAGCTTTCTTCATCTGCTGCCGGTGAACTCTGCCTCGAAACAACATCATCTGAAAAAACAAGAGTACGCTGAGAAATGAGGAATTTCTGTTAAAATATGGTCAGTTGGTCAGCAAATAGGGAACAAAAGCTATCTTTTTACTTTCCTTTGCACTTTCTCACTACGACTTATTTGTCTTCATGTTTGAATGTGTTCATACTAGACATGATATAACCAAGATATAAGCCGCAATTCCAATAAAGATACTTCCATTTATATTGTAAATATTAATGGCTAAGGCACAATACTGCCTAACTGACTATTTTAGCAAAAATGACTTGGCGACTTTGCCGCATTTTACAGTATAAAATACGCAAGCTGATGTTTATAGTTTATTTCAAATTTCGCATCAAAGCGCTGTAATGACACTGTAATGTATAGAAAAATTGCAAATTAAACCTCAAAAATATAAAAATTGCAAAGTTTTTTCTTCGCCCTGTAAAATAGACAGTTTGCAGAAAGGCAGAATTGATAAAATGACTTAAACTGTTTTTTTTCTTGAACTTTTTCTTCTGTAAAAAAAAAAATACCTGTCTAACCTAATAACTTGAAATTGATTTGAGGGGTTTTGAAAGGTCAACAGTGGTAAAACAGCAATGTTGGCTGATTTTTAGGCTTACTTACAGTGATTTCATGTTACTGACCTCAGCCACATTAATTGATTTAATAAGACAATTTGTCAATTACTTTGAAACGACAATAAATTTTGAAAGACAAATTAAAATTGCACTCTAAAAAATCATTAGACAACTCACCAAAGCTTAAACCAAATCCTAGTGGGCTCATCATACCAAAATTGGATAAGTTAAAGCCACCGGCAGATTGATAATTCGAGAATTGCAAATCCTTCCGGATAAATAACTTATTATTGGAATAATTGGAGACATTGCTATCCTGCGAAAACTCTTTTTTATCAGAGATTGGTTTCCTTTCATGCTGCACCGCTGAAAAATAGAAAGAAAACAAACACTTACTCATAAAAATCCTATTTTATAAATATTTCTAATATATATATATATATATATATAAAAGTGAACTTTGTATATTTTTTTACGAACACTGAAATAGGAGGCGTTGAAATTGCATAATGTATAATGTATGTTCATGCACTTGAAACTCTCGACGGCCTTAGTGAAAGTTTTACTTGAGTACAAATTAGAAGACAACAACGCAAAGCTTTTGTCTACAGCTTATTCTAAAGATTAGAGAAAGTAAAGCGTCTCTCAAACAAAAACATGCAACAGTGAGGATTCTTAAAAATGTCATTGGCTTTGATAAAAAAGCCAACGACATTTTTAGGCTTTTTTTTATCATTTAAATAGGTTGATATGAGGCATTCAACCATCTGGTTTGCTCCTACAAAACAGCATGGTGTTACGAAAAAAATTGGAGCCTTGGATACATCTGTCCCAAGCAAGAGGAATGGATTAATGGATATACGATTTAGAGGTAAAATCCAGGAGGAACTGGGTTCGTTAATATGAATCTGACATTTTCGAATTCCACTAATTAGGGCACTTTTTTCCTAGTTGTTGGCAAACAGGCAAACAGGAGACATAAGAAAAACTTAATCTAAATATATAAACAATCTTGCAAACTGTTCTCAATTCTTTTGGAAATGGGATTTCTGTTGTTTTAAGATTGTCAACTTCTGTTGCTTTTCGTTACATAGAGAAAGCAAAAAAATTTGAAAATGTATGACTTGGACAACACAAATTGAGCTTATAGAGAAGATTACAGATTTTTTTCTGTGCTCAATAAAATTTTTGGCCAGTTTTACCGTTAAGAGTTTATTTACTGGTCTGTAAATAGACCCATTCAAAACGGTTTGCAAAAGTTCAAAAGATTTTAGCAAACCAAAAACATTAGGAATCACAGGACACCAAAACTAAAAATCTTGTATGATGATCAGGTATAAAAGAGTTCAGCTTTATTGCTCGTTCGGTGTATTTTTAAAATTTATTGACTGAATACTTGATAACGCTGGAGCTGGGTCACTGCTCTCATGCACTGTACAATTTTTCCCATTTTGCTGGATCGAAATAGGCTCCACACTCTCTGAAGAATCCTACGTTAGAGGATGCTGCTAATACAGCTTAGGTTACTTTTTGTTTCCTTCATCTTTAGAGAAAAAACTCCAGTGTAAACCTAAATTCATGCAACCTAGAATACAGAAATACTCACAGTCACTCCTCATGCCCATGTTCAGGCACTTTTGAAGTCGACAATACTGACATCGATTGCGGTGATGTTTCGTCACTTCACAATTTTTGCTACCGCGGCACTGATATCCTAGCTGCTTCCGGATTGATCGCTTGAAAAATCCTTTGCACCCTTCACAACTTATTGCACCATAATGCCGGCCTGAAATTAAATTTAATTTTGATTAGTGATAAAAGCAGAGCTCAAAACTGACGGAGGAGGTTCTACCCATGAATCACAGCTATTGGCATGGAACAGAACATGAATCACGCAGTAACTGCACTATGTGTGTGTGTGCCAAGGAGTTGTCTTGTGTTGGTCGGACTTCCCCAATTTTCAGGGTGCGATCTGTCAAGCAGACTGGCTGCCCTACGGATCCTTGTACCTCCCAGTTGGATGTTGACTATGGTACAATGTTAAAAAGTTGTTTCAAATGTAATAATGCATCAGGCAGTAGTTTTAGACATCAATTTCTTTGAAATGTTCGTTAAAACACGTATTCAATGCAACCCTTGATTTTCAAGCGTTCATAACTTTTTTAATTTTTGATTAAATGAGCTAATCTAAATCTTATTTGAAATACGATTCCTCAGACTTTCAAATAAAAGTAAGAGAGCTTCTACTTAACTTAGTTTTGGACATAGAGTATTAGCTTCACCTCTTTTTGAACAGCCTACTTGCATAAAAAGGGTAAAGAAACAACATTTTCACAATGAGGCTACAACATAGCTTTGTCAGGAAAGTGCAAACTTGACATATCGACGGTGAAACTACCAAACCACGTATCTCGGTTTGCGACGTCGCAGACTTCCTGTCATACTTTATTTTTTAAAGAGGAAACTTCTCAATGTTGATTCTTGAAAACTTCTGTAATTTTTCCTCTTTGTGCGAAGGAAATTCCGTGAAAATTCCAAGGAATGATATTGATTTGGTCTACTTCAAAAAAATAAAATGTGAGCGTAGATTTTTAAACACCGCAAACGAGATACGTGGTTTGGTAGTTTCACCGTCGATATTCTATTTTATCATTGCTGTCAAATAGTTCCTTTTTTCATGAGATAAAAGTGCTATGTTACTGAAGCATTCAATTACAAAGAGAATTTGATAATACCACAAAGAGATAGTCTGTGATGATATTTGGTGCCATCATTTAAAAGATTAAAGTCCTGGGTAATTCATGGTGAATAATTATTGATTGGAACATACCTGAAGCCCTGTCACCGCAAACAACACATATTTCTACTGCTAGACACAGGGAATGCATTTTGTCAGAATTCACACTTAAATCAAAGGAACGTTCAACGTCCATTTTCATTCTTCCTTCAGATTAACATTGCTGCATCCTGGAGACAAACAGATTTCAAAGTCAGTGAAAAAAAAATAAAAAAATCATTTAATAAAATTTCCTACCATTCACAATGCATTGACCTCTTTTTAATTTTCTGCAGAGTTTCCACAGTAATTTCTTCATTTTCTCATTCCCCAACTTCTTTTGCTTTTCCCTTACTCTGTAGTTTTTGAATTCCCTGAACATTCAATGCAAATTTCACTTGGATATTTTTTCTTTTGATAAGTGTATTAACTTCTACTGGAGGCTACTTGCAAAATTCCCCGACTTTTTCTGAGAACTCCCTAGCTTTTCCAGGTTGTCATAAATTCCCTGACTTTCCAGACCGCTGGAAACCCTGCTTTTCATGCCTCCGTGTGGTGGAAAATCTGTAGAAATTTGATTCCTTACCAATCACGTAAATTTTTATTCCAGAAGGACATGTTAAACTGAGTTACCCCTACTACAGCGGTGATAAGAATAACATCCCTGAATTTTGTACATTATCCTATGGAGACTTCTTTTGGACGCAGGAATTTTTAAGCAGTATGATCCAATCTTTTACCACAAATTATCAACAGCCACCACGACATCGGATAACTGGATACAAAGGAGGGCTCTCTTGGTAACGTTGGCTATCCCGACGATTACAGCTTTGATTTACGGAGCTTTTGTTGACCATAGGAGTTTGATAGAGAAAAAAGCAGCAGCAACTTTGTAATTTTTGCAAAATTTAATATAGGATAAAGAACTCTAAATGCAAGACCTCCATTCTCTGAGAAAAACATAACCTATTTCATGTAAGCACATCGACATATTTATAGGGGCCGCTGCCCCAGGAAATAAAAAAGATTGTAAGCGCATTGAAAGTTGAATAACTGAGACATGACAATAAACTACTAAAGGTGAGAATATTGATTGCAACGAGTCCATAGAAAAGATTTGACTTTTACTTCCAATACTATTTTGTTGACTACTTACTGGCAAGATTTAAAAATAACAGTCCTGATTTTCAGTACAGAAATTTAAGGTCGCAAGAGAATATCTAAGTGATGGAAAGACGCGACTAAAGACTTGGAATAATTTAAAAGAAAAAAAGTGCATGGAAAAGAGTCGTATACTTACAAATTTCTTTGAAATTTGAAAAAAATTCACATTCTGTGCATGGCACAAGTGGCTTCCTAAAACAGAGCAAGGTGCACAATCTTTGAATATGTACTTGGAAAATGAGATCTGAAGACAATTGTTTGGCACAGTATTGTTTGGATATTGGAGTGCTAACTTCTGAATTAGCGAATAAAATGGGCTTCACTCCTATCAGTGACAACAAATTAGGTGGTCAACCTAAACAGAATGAAAACGCAAACGCGACAATTTTCGGAAAAATTTCAAGGCACAGAAATTCATGAAGTGGTGACAGTAATTTCCGTGAGAGTGCGTTATAATCTCGTGGCGCGAAAACGGTCAATTTTTAAATTGTCGGACCCTCGCTAACACGCCGCTCAAAGGAAGAGGGGGGGGGTTTAAGTTCATTGAGTTCACTGTTTGCAAGGATTACAGCAGATTTTAGGAGCTTTCCGTCAACCCTTGCACTTGACCCTCTGGGCTGCAGTAGTGCAATAGCATGGGGGAAGGAATTTTTTGTCTCTTTTCGAAGAAAAATATAATAAAAAAAAGGGGCTGCAACATAACTCCGTTGAGATGCTGTACTGACTTCAGCTGCAAGGGAGCATAGATTACTTGTCTCTTTCTGAGCAGTAGTGGTGTCTCCTTACTTAAAATTTCGTTTTGAGCTTTCTTTTCCTAGCGGGACTTGCGGCATCGTTACATCAAAGGGGTCAAACAATGCGTTCCCCCGCAACCCTCCAAGAGTGGTTACAGCCTCCGTTGCCCCTTTTGGTGGTGGTGATTTGCCTATGTGTGCGAGAGAGACAGAAAATAGCCAGGCGGGTGTGCGAGAGAAAAAGAAAATAGCCAGGCAGCTCGCTAATGTATGCGAGAGGGATAGAAAAACGCCTGACGGAACGCATATGTGTGTGTGTGCGAGAGAGACAGAAAATAGCCAGGTGGCTTGCTTAAGTGTGCGAGAGAGATAAAAAATCTGAAAAAATCTAAAAAATCTCACTCTGAGAAAAAACAGTCATGAATTTGAGGATTTAAGGAAAAAAAATAGAGAGGGCGTATCAAAAAATAGATTTATTACTTGAAAATCACAAATGAAATAATATTTTCATCTTAACTATAATATAAAAATAGAAATTTTAACAATTTAAAATCAAAAAGTACAACATTTTCCGTAAGACATGATTGACAAATTAGAATCAGAGGTGCTTGATTGCATTGCAAATGCTGCACAATTTTGCTTGAAAATTTGGTTTTCTCCTTAAGTTTCAAATTTCCTTTTACACATTGGCAATTTTTTCTGTGACTGATGAAAATTTTCTGAAATTTTCAATGCACCCTTTGATGAATATAGAAACAATTTGTCAAGTATAACTGCCGAATGTTACAATACAAGCATTCCTTTTTGGCTCTAACCTTAACTTCATTTTTACAGAAATTAAATGTACATGAAAATTACCACTTCAGTTAGGGAACGAAATATACAACAAATTCATCTATGAGACAGGGGGAAAATGCACTTAACAATCAAATAGTCTCCGCTAATATTTGAGGGACTGTACATAAAGCTTACCTCTCGGTGAAAACAATTTTTTTATACTGACTGAGCCCTCCAGTGGCTTTATTTAGTTTTTTTACAATCACAGCAGATGCATCTGAGCCTCAAATGACCTTACTCCATCATTTTTGTTTTTTCTAAGTCTACGCCTTTTTCTTCTTGATGGCAACTCTAGAACTGTGTGATAAGTGAAATAGTAAAAAGTTATTTAAGAATGAAAGTTTAATTTTTTTTCTTCTCCATATTTTCCCTTAAACCTCTAGCGCTGCATTACTCGGTGTAAGGTAAGTTTTAGCTGAGCTTTAAAAAAGGCACTGACAAGCTTATATTGACGCTGAGATGTATCTGCTGTGATTGTGAACACTAAGAATAACGCCACAAAAAAGCTCATTATGCATCTTAAAAGTTTAGAATAAGCTTTAAAATGAAGCTCTTCAGGAACGGTAGGAGCAAGAAATGAAAAAATGTACAAGCTCTGAAAAAAGTTTGAGTTTTTTCTTGTAAGTTAAAAAGAAGAGAGTTTTAACACCTAGATTATTCCTAGTTTTCTGCTTTTGTCTCGAAAAAGTAACTTATGACAAGAGGACCAGTTAGCATTCACAAATACATTTGAGAGCTCAATAAAAACAGCGAGCAGCATTCAACTTGTTTCTTGTTGATTTCGTGGTGGCCGAACATCACTATTTCTTTTAATACAATCGACGAGCCAGTTTATTCCTTCATCAATCCCTTCCCTGGAAGAAAGAAAGAAAGAAACATCAAAGCTATAAAACAGAATACAAGCAGAGCTAAAAGTGGAAAAAATGAATGGTATTCTGCCGAATGGAAATTTCTTCTGAATGGAATGACTAACTCGACTGCTGTACGAAAATCCAGATGTATCCAAATTTCTCTCCACAACACTCCATAATATTTGTTCAAATTTCGAGATGTACCTATGTGTAGAGGACTTTGAAAAAATATAATAAAAGAAGAGATTTTGAAACACAGAAAAGGAGATGATGGTGGTTTCACACTTTAGCCATCTATGTGTAACAGAATGGCAATGCAAATTGTTATTTGGGGAATCTAAATTTTAGAAGAGAAATAAGGACTTAAAAAAAACAGGATAATATACTTCAAATGCAAAGCTCTCATTATACTGATACCTAGGATTATATATGATTACATGAATTATTATTTAAGGATTACATTATTTAAGGATATAAGAATTTGGAAAAAAAATTTTAAAAAATACGAAAATTTCTCAAGGGATCATGAACCCTCATCCCTGAAGCTTACGTATCCTAACAGTTGATAAATAATAGTAGAAACATGATTAACTTACCCTGTGAGCGCTGAAACTGGCATCACCATACAGTCTCTTCTCCCAATTAGATGAGCATTTTTGTTGAAAATTGGTTTTACTTCTCTGACACCCATGGATTCTGGGATGTCTTGCTTGTTTGCTAGAACTAGTAACGGAATACCACTGAGATTTTCGTTTGAGATCATTTTGTCTGGAAAGAGAAAGAGGACGAGTATTATCTTGCTGCTTACAGGAGAAGTTGGACCGTTTAGAACTATGTCAGACTCCCATTCCAGTGGAGTTTTTCACCAAATAGCGCAAATAACATTACAGCCATCGGTGCAGACAGTTGAAAAAGGCAAACTTGTCTAAAACAAGGCCTACTGTTTTATTTAAAAGACATATGAGGACTTTATCGAGAGAGAGAATAGGAAAAAATTCTATATTTTCATGTGGTATTTTGTGCAAAATATACCTAACCTGACTGGAATAAACAAAAACAGCACTTTAAACCCTCCAACTTTGTGACCTTTCGATATAATTATTGGGCAAGCAGGAAAATTTTTCCAAAAGAGTTGAACAGTGTGCCCTGAAAATTCATGAGGAGGTGGAAGTTTTCCAAGAAAATTCACTCCAGGAGTGAGTCAATCTTGATGTCGTAATAAAAAATGAACCTAAGTTTTTAAGAATTATGAAAAACCATGGCAAAAGTTGGCTTGTATGGTGCATTATAAAGGAGTGGTACTGGATATTACCACATAACGGTTATTGAATAATTAAAACCAAAAAGGAACTTTAGCACTGTACATTGGATACTTTTTTTATCGCAAATGAAATATTTCTTATGATTCTTGAGATTAATTTTTACGCATTGAATTTTCAGGTGATTAAGTATGGCTTTTAAGCTCAATTTTTATTTTTCATGAACTTCCAAAGTAAACATTTCTGATTTATTCTTGAGTAAAAATACCAACATCCACTGCAATTTGTTTGCATTTTTATTAAATATTCATGGTTTAGAATATTAAAACTTTAAACTGAATATGAACTCACAAAGGGAGGAAAATTTTTTTCACAAAAAACAATTACATTATGAAGCGTTTGAGAAAAGAGAGCATGCTGATTGATATTCCAATCAGTCATTGAAACAGGTCAGTTGTTATAAGTTTATAGCTCCACCATTAAAAGATCTAATAAAAAAGTCCAACCTCACAATTTTTTTTATCGATCAGTCCTCTGTAACAAGCCATGGATCAAGATTCAATTAATTAGTGGAACGGGAGCTGGACTACACAAGACACCTTACTTAAAATTGTGTAAGACCTCCTTTGCTTACTAAAACACAACAAAGCCAGGCGTGCTTTGGACTGTAAAGTGTACAGTCCATCATCAGTGGGACGACTCATGTGCATGTGACTGATCGAGTCACTTATAATGGATAGTTCAGTCCAAAAACCATCTTTCTCTATTACATCTTAGTGAACAAATGAGTTTTGACACAAATTTAAATTAAATTTTTAATGTTCAATAATTTGTCCGTGGGAAGATCATGAATCTGGATCCCAGTAAAAAATTGCAAGAAAAATACTCACCAAAAGTTTCTTTTGACTCTGGTATCCTATCCCTGTCATTTGAGTCAACTATATATATGATGGCATGAGATTCCGCATAGTACTGGAAATATTACAAAAAATAAAAAAATTAGGATGCCATCATTACGAATTACTTTCAGATTACACAAATTAGGTCAAAATTTTCTGCGAGTGTTGCTGAGTGTAGGGCAGTATATTTTTAGGAGATTGCATAAACTTTATATCCCATATCACCTAAGTATTGTTAGTAATCCAAATTTCGTTACACTAACAAACAATAACTAAGTGACAAAATTCAGAATAGGTACAGACATTTGGTGAGTCATAATAAAAAGTTAATGCAATCTACTAAGTATTATGAACGACGAGACTGATTTAGAACTAAGCAAGGGGACATGCACATTTTTACAAAATCAAGCTCAAAAGCTCAGTATTTTGAAATAGTGGGCCAGAGGCTCTGTGACTAAAAAAAGTTTCAGTGGCTTCATTTTAATGCAGATTAAAGGATTAGCAAAAGGAATTCGTTGTCGATTTAGAAATCTCTTTACTTCAAATTTTCTTCAGAACCACTCTATTCAAAATTTTGAATATTCTAAAGTCCTCTCAGCTTTGAATTGGTGAGCTTGGAATTTGATGAATTCACCTTATCCCAGAGAGATTGCAGTTCTTCTTGGCCACCGAGATCCCAAAAATTCAGCTGAATCCCAGAGACTGTAATTTTCCCGATATTCAGTCCGACAGTTGTGGTGATCTGCTTCGGATTCATGCCTTTGTAGTTTTTGGTGAATTTGGTTTTGGCCGACTCTAAATACGTCTGAAAAAGAATGAAAAACAAAATATTATTCTCTGAAAAAAGCATATATTTGTGAATTGCTACATTAGGCTCACCCTTAGATGTGCAGAGGGTTTCGCTCTGATATTAGATCATACAAGTTGCGAGAGGGTCTCAACCAATAAGACTGCAGCACTCAAGTGGTCACTTCAAGCAACTGCTAACAAATCGAAGTATCTAATTTTTCGATCGTTGGTACTTAAGTACAAAATATACAACAATTGGAGCTCCTGGCCTCACATCCTACATACAGACCAGTGCGCTTGCTTCATTCGCATTTCTGTAAAAATAATTCTTGCAGTCTCTTTATCTGCTAACTGTGAGTTCTGGAAAGGCACCTATCCAGTCTTATGTTATTTTCCCTGAGGACAAATTTTCGCCCCACTCAAATGTAGCTATTTGCTGTAAAAGTAGTCATCAGAGATAACTTGTTTCCTATCACTAACAGTACGGGGTACCATGTGGACTGTTCTCCATGGTATAGCTTTTGTTCTGTCTAGATGGATCAAGTCATGAACCAACGGTGGGTATGACGGAAAGAGCATTGACCAGTCAGATTTATCAGCTGAAACAGCTGACTTCATACAATTGACCATGGAACTGCAGATGGCAAATTCCAAAGTTTTGGCCGGATTGGCTTGAAGAAGAAAGAAGAAAAATACTCACCGTTTTACCAGCATTGTCAAGCCCCACGATGAGAACGCAGTAATCATCCTTCTGCACCAGGTATTTATACAAGCCGTAGAACAAAGTGAACATCTTGAATACTGTCAAAAAGCGTTAGAAAGGTGCTTTCTTTATGCAAAATAAATTCAAATCATTGATCAATCATAAAATTAGAGCGATGTTCTGTAGTTCAGGAATTCTGAAGATAAAATAACCTGATGCGGGAGGCATCAGACAGTACACAAGGAATTAAAGTCCTCGAAAAGATAAAATAAAGAATACTGAGGCAACATGTTAAAAATTCCCACCAGTTGACAAAATCCAGAATACATTACAGTATAAACCACTGAAATTCATCTCTGCTGCTAATCATAAAAGATCTCTTATCTTATCACCAAAATCACCTAACCTGCGCCATTTAATGTTTACATGCGTGTTTCAGAATCTGACCGCTAGAGATAGCTACGATCTTTTCTCGGTTTGCCGCGAAGTTCAAAAATGCGGGCCTGAGTTTTGCTGGCGACAACTCTTCTTTTTTTCATTCTTTGGAGGAACTCCCATCTCGTTGAAATATTAAATTTAAGTCGATTTTGTGGCATTTTCAGAAAACCGAAGGGGGTTGTCAGAGCCACCAATATGAGATTTGTAAGGGAGTCTGAGGCAGTAGGTAATGCACTGCCCGTTACTGAAAAGAGGAGTAAGTGAAAAAATCGAGTTTTGGTCAAATGGACATGTAAATCTGGAAAATTTGATCGAATAAATTCTTTGTATACCCTGAAACTTTCAATAATCATTTGGAAGAGTTATAGAAATTTTACGAGTGGCTATAAGAAGTGACAAAATTCACCTTCAACTATAAAATAAGCAGGAGACTTATTCAGTTCATGCTAGAGGTCACGCCAAATCAGTTAATGCATTTTCAGAGTGCATCAGAAGACAAGCCACTCTTAATTCAGCTCTGACAGAACATACAAAATTCGAGATAGCGGATTTTCTGCCTCATTCAAAAATTGCTTAGAATTACTTAGCAAGATAGTATGTGACCTGTTGCATGCTTGTGTAGTTAAATTTTATAACTAAGGACTTTTTCGGTTAAAAGTTAGAGGATGGGAAAAGCACTTAGAAAGTTTGAATTTAAAAGCTTATCACCCTTAAGACGTCACAAGGAACATCACATCAAATAATATCAAAATTTAGCCAGTTCCGAATCGTCCTTCAATAGTTCCATTTCTTTCGGTAAGAGGTCAGCACAAAAAGGAAGGTTCTCAGGTGTCAAAAAATTATGAATTCAGCATTAGCACATGCATAATTCATAAATTGCTGTCATTCATGTCTGTCTAAACCTCTTGCTCGTTAATTAGTTTTCATGAAGAAGCAAAAAACTTTCTCTCTGATGGAAAATAAAATAACTTCCACAGAAGTATACCTAGTAGATTAATTCAGAGATGAAACTAATTTATTTAAGCTTGCAAGGCTTATATGCTAAAAAGAAAAAAAGCAAGCAAACCCCTCGGTGTCTTCGCTAAAAAACTCTGAACGATTTTAAGGTTCTTCGAGAAGCACACAAAACAAGGAGCATGACACTAAGAACATAACCATTTTCAGAGAGTTTTTAAATGATTATCATGAGACTTCACGAGACATTCCATGACAATATTACCAAAATAGAGGAACAGATAGAGTCTGAGCAAAAAAAGAAAAGAAACTGATAATAAATCTATTGAAAAATAACACTTCTTTTACTTTATTAAAACACTTAATTGGAGATAAAATCACAGGTATGAGGTATGAGAACAAATTAACAAAGGATCTGGGATTCTCTCAACACGAGAAGCATCATTTGATAATAAAATTTGATTCTTTTGCAAAATAGATACATTAAATTTTTTTTTCTTCTTACATGAATTTGAAGAGTAAAACCGATTACAGAATAATAATCGCAGATTGAGCCATTCTTCATTTAGATTCATTGTATTTTTTTAATGTCACTTTACAGTGGAGTTACAGGTTTAAAATGAATGAACTTTACCTTAATGCATCATAGCTGGGAACATGAATGCGTATAAGGTCTCAAAGTTTTGCAAAATTTTATATTATTTTCACATTTTCAACAAATTTCCATTAAAATTGGAAGATAAACTTCCTGAAACTAGAGATTTTGACTTGAAATAATAACGAGTATGAGATACTGAAATTTTATACAAATTTATAAGAGACCAGTTTCCATTTTTCTTGCGAGTCTATTTTATCAAAACAATCAAGATCGAAATGATTTAACTTAAAACTGAACATTGAATGATTTCTAAAACAGACAAATTTATTAGAACAAAAACAAAGCTTTTAAGGAAATTAAAACAAAAAACAAAAAACCAACTCATTATTAGGACTACACTTTAAAAACTTCTCAGGTGGGCAGCTAATTCTTTAGAGATTATGTTAGTCTGGATGTAGTTGCCAACGTCTCTCTGACACCAAGAAAATTATTGAATCTCTAATACTTAAAAACTAACTTAAAAACAAGATCTTCTGCAGTAAGGGTATGATTTAGGATATATTGGACAAGATAAGAGAAAGTTAGAGTTTGTACCAAGTATGTTTACGCATTTTTAGACTGCAACAGTGGATCTGCCATCTGGATCCTTGCACTTCATTTCAATGTGAAACTGACATCACACTACCGTCTGTCGCAGTCTAAAAGTGCATAAACTTACTTGGCGTCGACTCAATGGATGTTCAATTGCTCGGAAAATTTGACTGTGGGCAGAGCAAGATAAAGATTATTTATGCACGATAATTTAATTTGGAATCAGATAAATCATTGGCTGAATAGAATAAGAAATCTGCCCGATTTCACAGAAGAAATAAAAAGGAACAAAAGAACATAGAATATGGGGAAGGAGATTATCAACCTCTGTAGTAGAATGGTGAAATGCCACCAACCAATCAAAAGATTGAACTCCCATGGTAGAGTCAGAAGACCAAGGATTTGATGAGTTGGTCCAGTTAATGATCATAAAATTTATAGTATGCTTAAAAAACAAAATTTTAAAGGGGCTCACTAGCACACATTTTTATTTCTTTGAACCTCTTTCGGGGGGCTCTGCCCTCACCTTCAGCATTTACTCGTGATTGAAAATTTGCTAGAGACGCAGGCAGACGCTAAAGATGAGGAGAGCTCCTCAAAACCCGTTCAAAGGAATGATAATTTGTGCAAGGGAGTTCTGTTAAAATTTTGTTATTTACACAAAGCTTGTGGAGTCCTAGTAGAAAGGGGAAAAAAGACTTTTCATAGTATGCTTGCTGATAATGCTAAAAAAAAGGGAGCTAAGCTCCATGGGTTACACAAGTCATGGAATCGTGTTTAGTGTATTGCAAATCATATATAAGCATAGAAGAATAAGATCTACCCATCCAAAACCCAAGTTCCCACATCCAATATTAATGGAGATCTCTCTCTTACAAAAAACATCGTGTGGGACATCATCCACCGCAGTGTTGCATACCATGGTTTCTTCCATGCTTCAAGTCACCCAACTGGTGCAAATGTATGACTTACTGATTGATAAACCCAAGGTGGAAGAGATAATGATAGTATTATCACAGCAGATGAAGTCATTCATTAAGTTTTTTGAAGGGCGATATGTCTATTCATATTGAACATAAAAACTAAGCGTTTGGAGAGTTCTTCTTATTTTTTAATGATCTATATTCTAAAACCATCAAAGCCCTATTCTGTGGCTGAAACTGACCCACTGAAAAGAGAAAAAGGCTTAAAGAGTGTGCTGGGAATGACAATTGTTATTTGATTATTAAAACTTGTGTTGGCTAAAAATAATACCATTGGTCCGACTGCCAAGTATGTTCATAATATGAAATAGTGTTATTTTATATTATAAAACACAGGGGATGATATTTATAATATTTATGCATTCTATGGTTTCTTCGACTATGGTCTTGTTAGCTAGCGGTGCAAGAATTTGGAAGGATTGCCCCATATGAATATCACTAAGCAGAAAAATACTGGCAATAATCCACAAAGGCAATAATGAAAAAACATGAGCAACAAATTTGCATAAACGACTGAGCAGTGCAAAATGTAGCTGTATCCCAGAATTAACAAAGAGGAATGTAGATGACCTTGATACTACAAAGAAAAATAGGACATACCTTAGAAAATCAGAGATGAGGATACGATTCGTGAATTTGAAAAAAAAAAATTGACATTTGGACCAATGCTGATATTTTTTGTTATCTAACTGTAAAACTAACATATACATAAACACAATTATTTATGCGACATTTTTGAAGGCTCACTGAGTTTCCACCAATTATACGGTGAGCAGGATAAAAAAATTCAGTCTTACACAAACACCTTCAAGCAAAAGAAGGCACTGTACATTCTAGTATGGGTATTCATACCGATGAGAGCATCCCACCATTTAGGTTCTTATTGAGAAAGAGATAACTTCCTTTTGCTTAAAAATATTCTTTATGTGTGAGATAGAAAACTCAATCGGCAGAGGAAAATCAGTTTTGTGGCATGATTATTGACTCAGGAAGGATTCAATTAAAAGAGTCATTAAAAAGATCAAGAAATGCTTTAAGAATCTGATTGCTCGACTAACTGCATTCAGATGTTTTGAATTTTTAAAACAGTACGATAAAAACAACATTAATTTTTTCTCAATTGATTGAGTTTGATAAATCAACAAGTCAGAGTGATAAAAATGAATAAATATTTACAATTTTAAGAGCCTAGTGGTTGTGAGTTTATGTACAGCTGGGTAAAACTTTTTGGAAAAAGGAACAATCGTGACAAACCAAATGAAGTCCACTGATTTCATCGTCTATAAAATTTAAAAACTGAGCATTGGATCGACAGTTGCCGTCGTGAAGTTGAAGAGAATACTGGAGGGTTTGGTAAATTTCGGACAGTGCCAGGTGAGGTGGAAAACGAATGCAGCCGTTGGGGCATGATACCGAGAAACTTTGGCTAACCAACGCACAACGAAGGCACAAGGGGCAAGCGACACTTTCTCCGGAATTCGGGTCCTCAGGCATCATTTCACTGCCCATATACTTGTTGTATTCTGCTAAGATCCAAGCCTCTGAAAAATCAGAAATACTTTAACAAAATTCTTACTCAATGTGGATCCGCAACTTTGACAAGATGCACTCTCAGTTCGATTGATGTACTTCAAATTTAAACCTTCCAATAGATATTTTCGAAAAACTGAACATCACTCTGAATCAATCTCTGAGAAATATGTTCACCAAGGACAAATGTTTGAGACCTATTTTAATATCAAAAGTGCTATACCTAGATAAACATATGTATATTTCATATGTTGAAATTATAGTGCTTAAACTTTTAAATTTTTGAAAGAGCACTCATTGATGTGGAATAAACGATTTGAATTTCAGATTTCTTAAAATAATGTGTGTAAGAGCTAAAATCTGCAAAATATCAAAGAAATGGCGATATGAAATACTGAAATCAATGCATCCAACAAAGGTTAGGATACGGTCCACGCAAATCAGTCTATCCACTTTTAAAGTGAGACAAAAGATCAGCTTTTAAAAACACTGGGGATAGTTCTGGGAGGTAAACGCTGTTCTTTAATAACTTTTAGCGCCAAATCTGAGGGTTATCTCAGCTTCTTGTCTCATACCCACCCATTTTCCAGAGAACCGAATTTTCAAAAAGAAATGCCTTTCTTGAGAGCTAAAAAACAAGTGTTGTTGTAGAATTAATTTCCCCGAAAATTGGCAGGTGATGGGAAAAAACTAGAGCCACTTTCGGCTTCAGCAGCCAAAATTAAGCAGGCATCTGTTCATTAGACACCTGAAATAAGTAATTTTCCTATATTTTTAGATGCAAAACTAACAGACCAGTTTTAAGTGGGCCAATTTTATATGGGCAGTTTAGCCATTGACGGAGAAAACCTAGTTATCAGACAAACCAGGAAAAATATTTTAGGCATGCTGTACACCTGCCAAATATGACCTTGATTTTTCTTTATCATCCACAAATTTCCTGGAAAATAGAATGTTTCTCAAAAGAGTTTGTTTTTTCATGGAAAACCTCGATTTTCCAGAAAATTGGTCGGTATAGGGAAAAAACTGAGGTCCTTATCAGGCTCAGCTTTTAAGATCACAGGAGAAGCAGCAATCATAACCCCATAATTTTTTTTCAAAGTAGTCCTGTGGAATTCAAGAATCTTTTTAATTGAGCTGATAAAAACAAAATCATCGTCATCAAAGTCATTGACACCAAAGTACTTAATTGAAAATCTTATTACAGCCATGAGTTTTGGATATGCCTTTTCTGTGAGGTATTCAATAACTCTATTCTAGAGTTTGAGAAAAATTTAAAAACATGTGATGATTTTCAGATATCTGACACTGAAGTATGAGTTTTAAATACAGATTTTTGAGTACAATGGAAAACTTTAATTTTAGAAATACTGACAGTATAAGATATAAGATGAACTCACCTTGTTCTTGAATGATTTCACTTTTTATTTGTTCAAAAATTTGTAAATCTAGCTCAAATGAATCGTCTTTTTTGGGAGCCGCACATCTAAAAAAAGAAAAAATCCATAAATTACCCCTCACTAGAAATTAAAAAGAAAAAACAAATGAAACTTATTAGAGAGAAAAAATTAAATATTTCTTTGACACATTTCACAATTCAGCTTGATAAACTCGCAGGTTCATGTATAACATTATGAAGTGAACACTTATGTCGATGAAGTTTATTGGCCTCTTTGTGTATTCTTCTGCCGCATAAGTGTAGCCAGTTAAGACTAGATGGTGAGCCATGAGAGATTGCTTTCAGTACTTAGGCTGAGAAACAACTTAAAACATACTTTTTTAAGACTTCACAAGGAGAGCAGTGCACTATAGTCTGCACAGCCAACAAAAGTATGAACGGCAAAGCAGCTGAGCCAAAGCAGCATTGCATGGCTCCTCACTGAGACCTTCCCCAAGGCTGACATAACACGCTCTCACTTCCTGGAACCACCTGTTGCATTATGGTAACTAGAGAACAAAATTGAGGTGTCTCTATGTGATCTAGGGACAAGATTTACCACTACACTGCACTGCTATGCGGTTTGTGTCTTTGAGAAGCAATAATTATCGTTACTTAGCGCAAGAAACTCATCCATAAAGTCTAGCAGCATTAATACTGAAGAGAATGACATCAAATTTGTTAAAATTCATTGTAAATTTATACCTGAAACTACGATAACGGACTTTGTCTATTGACTTGATATGTTAGAGAGAGATAGCGGTATAATGACTCTCTCTTACATATTGAGTAATGGACGACGTCCGTTATCATAGTTTCAGGTATAAATTTACAATGAATCTTAACAAATTTGATGTCATTCTACTCAGTATTGATGCTGCTACACGTTATAGATCAGTTTCTTGCATTAACTGACGATAATTATTGCTTCTCAAAGACACAAACCGCAGAGCAGAGCAGAGCAGCGCAGCACACGTAATGGCGAATCTTGTCCCTGGATTGCATAGAATCTTTTGGGCAAATTTCTTAGGCTTCTGTGAATGACTAAATTTTTCAAGGATTTCCAAACCTTTTTTTTTAACCAGCATTGGGTGCATTGGTTTCTAAATTAACTTGTTTGTAGATGAAGGGTGAATAAATGATCCTGATCAAATCAACCTAGTGCAACATATATGAGTCAAACACAGATTTCACACTATGTTCGGATTAAGAGTTAGTTGAAAACCGTTTTCCACCAGCTGATCTTTGTTAACATAGGATCAACAAACTACGAGAAATGGAGTGAGAAGTAAAGACACGAAATTTTGAGATGAAGTTTATCACTGTATTGAATCCGAAAGAAAGAGAGTTGCAACGAGTTGAGATAGTAACACAGAGATGTGCCAGAAAGACGAGAGAGGGCACAACGTGCTAGTACGGGTCAAGATGGTAAAGGACCTAGATTTTGGGGCAGCGCACGCTTATATAGACTTGCTGACGTCACAGGTGGCGAGACAACAAGTCTACGCGTGATTGGCTGGCTATAATCTATGTAGCTATCAGTTGCAAGTCTAGTAATAACAGTAATGGAGATGTACTGAATGATAAAGAGTAAAGAGTAAAGAGGGTTGGAAATGGAAAAATGAGCTTTTTGTAAGACGGAAAAATGGATGTTAGAAAAATATTGAAAATAGTTCACACCTAGTAATCGAGTGTTTTAAATAAATCAAGTTTTTTTTATTGATTTAATTATTCTTTAAAGAAAATTAGGTTTACTTACACTTCCATTTCAGAGTCTTTTGTATCACTTTGAAGAAAATTTAATTCAGTGGAAAAAATTTCGGACAAAGTTTCTTGAATGTTTAATCTTGACCTTGTGTTTCTAATGTTGTCGAACAGGGCGCTTCTTCTTGCTTTAACTTGATGACGACATCTCTGAAAATTTATTAAACCACAAAGCTAGAAAAATTACAGTGAGAAAAAAAGAATGGTAAAATTACAGTAGCACAAACCTCAGTTAGATTGTTTTAAACTTTTCACTCCTACTTTACTTTCTTTAGAGAATATTACAGCGAACGCATCGCATGTTGAGACAAACGTCAATCTCTGATTACCTCCGAATCAGCACCACTCAACAGCTTAATACGCGCGGTCAGATGACACCACTGATGAGTGGTGACCTAAACAATACTTGACTTTTGTCTCGACATACGATGCGTCCGCTCTACTGGATCTTTCAATCAAAACTTTTCCTCTGGATATTCTTGAAGGGATGGGGAAAATTACATCATTGATTTGGTCAATTGTTCTTCAAGAGAGTAGAGTTTTTTGCAACATCACAAATCAAGATACCGTCACCTTACGGCTGAAGTTTCACAAGTGCCATTTCTGCTTTAGCACCATTTCCAAACTTCTAAAACTTTTTCAATTTTTTTCCGGAAAAACGAATGAACATAATAAATTGAAAATATTACCTAGGTACCTCATATTTTCTTCATTATCAAATTCAATTACTGAAATTTCAGTGAAAGTACATGAGAAAGTTGTGAGGAGAAAATTAAAACCTATTTGACTTATTTATCAGCCCTTAAAGATGTTCCGTTTGGCTCCAGATTAGGTTTGTTTCTTCAAGGATGTATGACAAATTATAAGACATGAAAAATGATAATCAAGTATACCCAACAGTTTCAGAGAGCGTTAGATCTTGCAGAATGGCGATTACTAGTTGCCCCTGAAATCTAAGATTTTTACCCGGTTGTGTGATTTTCGAGTGCCAAGGAAGAAGTGATGGGAAGTTCTAGATGTTGGATGATGACAAAAAAAATCTTAGCGGTGTAAAGTTGGCACCTGCATCTTGATCCGTACTTCAGTTTCTGATGATTGAAGTTGGACTTCATCAGCAACTGCCTTACCCTTTCGATGTTACTGACATGACATTTTCCGTCCTTTTTAATACAAAAAGCTAATTTTAAAAGGTTGTCATTGGTAAAGGAAACTATCATTGAATTGCTCACCTCTCGCAAAGCATGCCGGAAATCAGGTGAGCCGTTCCGTAATCTGTAGACTGCCTCCTGAGTACTCAGCTTCATTTTCAACTCTGGGCTCATCACGCTATCCATGGCAACGTTTGATAATGACTAAAAAGAAAGAGATAGATAATACGTACAAAATATGATGAAAAATCAGTGGGTAATTAAAAAGTTTTGTGATGTGAAACTTTCAGTTTCAGTGATTTGATCGGCTCGGCAGCTGTCACTGTCACTGCTGTCAGGTTGTCAGCTGTTCTTTGTTGTTGTTTTGTTACCAGTTTTACCACTCTTTTTCAATCATGCTTCACAATTTAATAAGTTTTTTTCAGAGACTATGATCCTCTTTTGAACTATTACCTCTCAAAAAATTTTAAAATTTCTAATTTTTTACAGTATAAATTCGAAAAAAAGGGTTATTGAAAGGTTACGGTTGTATGGATAGCCATTCTTGATTTTTCAAAAGTTTGTGAAACTGAACAACAAAGCGCGCGCGTTTTCTTGGAACACAAGCTAACCTAAAAATTTTCATCAGATTGTTTTCAGTTTACAGTTTTGCTCGATTTTGCACATTTTGCAATGGTAATTCGGGTGCAAGCCTTGTTCCTTTTCTGTTTTCGGTTATCATATCACAGATTTTGGGCAAAAATTAGGAGAAAAATGTAGTTTCCTACTCTTGTGTCAATTCCATATGTAGTTCGTTAATTTTTTTAGTTCCTAAGATTTTGTGCCTTTTTCAAACCAAAATGCTTTCAAGAGATGTCTTACACTCTCGGTTCGGGGAAACTATTGAGGTTTGTCAGCCGTATAAGTATTTTTCTATTTTATGTATTCGATAATATATGAATTTTTGTTGCATTAACTGGAGGTAAACTGAATGCACCGGCTTGACCAAGAGCTATCCATTGAAAAAAAGTTTGAAATCCAACTGCTGTTGAACTTCTGTGCAGGTAAGTATACCTAAGCGAAAATGAAGGTGGCATTGGTGAGCCAATATGGTTAACTGAATCCTACTAGTTTACATGCTGTGCCGAATGCTCATAGCAAGTCCTGGTTTGTATTTGATTACATCTGTAAAGAGCCTCAACCTGCTAGGTGTAGGAATTGCGTACAGGTCAAGTCAAGATCCAAGAATCAATATTTCAACTTCACAATGACTGTGAAATTTCAGGAATGTGTGTCTTGTCCGTGGTGTTTCTAAATCTCTGCTCCCATTTATACTATTCAAAGACAATAAGCCAACCCTATCCCTGAAGATATATTCAGATTATTCCTCAGTTGGAGAAGAAAAATCAGGAAGATTTCAAGCAATGATTTTGAGAATTTTTTCCATAGTCAGCCACCACATAAGCCTTTGGCTTATAGCTGGCTATGTTGTTATAAAATCACAAGGACTTGCTTGTGATGTACGAATATCTCTAAAGAATCAAGTGTGACAAACGTATCAAACCGACATACTCATTCCTGCAGTTTCATTATCGGCATGATTTAACTCAATATCAAGTACCCTATCACCCTCTGCATTTTTGACATTCCTTTATGTTTTGATTATTTTATACCTGGCGTGTACTGTACACATCAGCTGATTCTTTGAATGTGGAACCTGTTTATTTTACTTGTTTCTAATTTTGTCTCAGGAATACGAGATCCACAATTTACTGGGACAAGGCGGCTTTGCAAATGTCTATCGGGCAAAATGCCTGAGGTCATCTTTAGATGTAGCAATTAAAATGGTATGTCCTTTAATCTTAACCTACAGGATTTTGGGACGCCTCACATACTATTTTAATTTTGTGGCAGCGTGTGAGTCGTCCACATCTCCTTTAAAACGAGGAAGTATGCAGACTCAAATATTTTTCTTGGTTCTATCATCTGCTGCAAGCTGTATCAGTGAAGCAAAAATTACAACATATGTAGTAACTGATGCGCTTGATCCACAAAACCTTTCTGAAGATTCTTCAGTGTACAACTTACAATTGATGAACATGCAGAAAACATAGGATCTTCATTTGGGGGTAAGACTGCCAGATTGTGTGATAAAATGTGGATAATTTATATGGGATTAAATGCTGATTTTTCAGCACTCTGGTAACAGGTTTTGCTGGTAGCTCTTGAAAAGGCAGGGTAGATCAAAATGTATCAGAGCCCTTCTCTAAAAACAAACCTTTATTTTAAATTTTCATTGAGAAAGATTTATCTGTAAAATTTAACATAATTACACATTGTATCAACATGTGTAGATATGTATCAAAATTTCCAGCCATTTCTGTGAATTTATCAATAGGTCAGTGGCATAAATTTTGGCCTGATCAGTTGCGGTTGGCTGGACGGTAAAATTTTATGAAAAAGCAAAAAAGGTCCATTAAAAAGGTTCCTCTCAGTGCTAAAGAGAGAAATACTTATTAAAATTTGATCAATATGAGGCGTACGGTCGTGGTGATGTAACCAGGCCATTTCTTTGGCCAGGCTTAAGCAAATCAGAGAATACGTAGTCCCTCGTCTGTTTACGATGTAACAGACTGGCATAAATATAGTTTCAAGTGGGTCAAAATTTAGCCGCCTAAAATCAATTTTCTTCATAATTTTGTGGCAGAAAAGCCAAGTCACAGTAGCCAAGGTTCCATTGAAATAATTTTGTGGTACTTTCACAGGCACCCCTGAATATTTGGAAGAGCAATCTCTGCTCATCTACTAACCAGTGGGAGTTCAGGTGGTAATAGAGCCCTAAAGTCATTTTAACCCACAAAATTTGGTTTTTCAAATTCATTGTGCTGCTTGGATTCTCTATGCATAGTTTTTTAATACAGGTTGATCCAAAAAGGCCCGCACCACCTTTGTAACTCTCAAGATTCTCGCCCCTTTTCAGGCTGGTCAAGACTTAGATCCTTTTCCCTGAGACAGTCATACACTGTAAGAAATTCCCAGGTTTTATTCTTCTTCTCTATTTTCCACAGATTGACAAAAAATTAATGGAGGCTAGAAAAATGACAAAACGAGTCAGAGAGGAGGTAGCAATTCATTCACGACTGAAACATCCCTCCGTTATTGAGCTCTATACTTTTTTTGAAGACTCAAACTATGTGTACCTTGTTCTCGAACTATGCCACAATGGGGAACTCTCTAGCTACCTAAAAAGACTGGGACATAAATGCAGTGAAAATGAAGGTAAGCAGGCTTTCAGAATTGCTAGGATTAAAGTCTACTCGTGCCGTAAATTCCGCTACCGGGTGCCCTTAAGGTTTTGTAGTGTTTTGATTTATTCATGCACATGTATGTGAGGGGATCTTTTGTTATAGAATTATTTTACGCTTATTTTGCCAATAAACCGGTGATATTTCATGAATTTTCATGAAAGAATCATTCTCATCAGTCTCAGAATGTTGCTTAATCTGAATTTTATGAAAATTTACCTTGATCTACACGGTGTCTACTAGTCGGAAATTTCTAGAAAGTCCGGATATAGCACTGATTTTTAAAGGGCGTTCAGGAGGTACTGAAAAAGTGCGGAAAGTCCGCATGGAGGTCTGAAATTTTTTCCCTCATATCATGCATGGTTTTTAATAAAGTACCGTAAAAGCAATGATTTTCGGCCACCTTGTTTTAGTAGACTACCTAGCCAAGTGGAGAGTGGAAGTTCAAAATCTGGCAAGTGCCAGCAGGTGTGCTATATACGTGCATGTCGTTCCTGAGCATTAAAGAGCCTAAATGCCTTCCCTCATTAAATTATGAGGAAACATCTGTAAATTTTGGTTTCCTAAAAACTGTTGCTCAATCATACTAACGCCTGATGGCACTTGCCAGGTTTCGGATTTCCACTCTTCATATAAAATAGAAAAAAGTCATGCTTCCCCTAGCTTAGTGCCGGTTTTACCTGAAAATTTCAGCTTTGCACGGCTACAACAAAAAGATTCTCAGGTTTCGACTTTACTCATTTATTTTTTTCATCGTATCGCCAGTAGCTGTAATCCAAAACTCGGTAGAGGAATGAAGAAACACCTTTCAATAAGCTCTTTTCCACACCACCTTAGGAGAGCCCGACCAGGCAGAGGATGCGGTGCTGCTCCTGGAGGTAGAGCTTTCGGCGCGTTTTTTTTAACGTGGTATCGCCAAGAGCCCTAATCCATGGGGGGAGGGAAGAAAGAATGGGGAGAGAAAACAAAAAATATAGCACTTACCAACGCTGACGCAGCTCCATCTGTCACTTCTCCTTGTAGTTTTTGATACTCCTGAACAGCAGCTGTCCCTTAGAAGACGAAAGTAGTGCCCTCACCAACTGATTAACGAGGAGAAATAAAACAATATCTTACCTTCGGTTGCGGGAACAAATCCACCAGCAGCAGCAGCAGCACCTGCACCTGAAACAGAGAATAAAAAAAAGAAAAAAAAGAAAAGAAACAAAAAAAAATCGACGATCCCGGTACGATGGCGTCCAGCAGCAGCACCTGAAACAGAGAATAAAAAAAAGAAAAAAAGAATAGAAAAAAAAAAATATCGACGATCCTGGTACGACGGTGTCCACCAGCAGCGGCCTCCCCCAACCCCGGCTTCCGGCGTCCAGGTTCCTTTCCCACCTCCTCCCTTTTTTTTTTTTTTTTTTTTTTTTTTTTTTTTTTTTTTTTTT